CAATGAGTTCTATGAACAGAAAGATGGAGTAGCTATGGGGAGCCCTCTCAGCCCGGTCATAGCTAATTTCTACATGGAACACATTGAAAAACAAGCCCTGGAAACAGCAACCAAAAAGCCCACCATATGGTTCAGATATGTGGATGATACCTTCACTATTTGGAGCCATTGAGAAGAAGAACTCAACAGGTTCCTGGACCATCTGAACAGCATCCACCCAAACATCCAATTCCCCATGGAAAAAGAAAATGAAGGAAGACTGCCTTTTCTAGATGTCCTAGTCATCTGCAAACCAGATCAACAATTGGGTCACACCGTTTACAGAAAACCCTCACACACGGATAGATATCTACATAAAAACTCCAACCATCACCCAAGTCAAAAAAGAAGCACAATTAAAGCCTTGGCAGACCGTGCAAAAAGAATCTGCGAACCCCACCTTCTCCAAGATGAACTGAACCACCTAAACTGGGCTCTACAGGCCAATGGATACTCCACCTCAGACATCAGAAGAGCTGCAAAACCGAGAACAAATCACGAGCGTAAAGATGAAGATCCACCCAGAGGAAAAGTGTTCTTGCCATACATCATACTGACCGCATAGGGAAACTGATGAGGAAACACAACATACAAACCACTTACAGACCCACCAGGAAAATCCAACAAATGCTATGTTCAGCAAAGGACAAGAGGGATCCTCTCACCTCTGCAGGAGTCTACTGTATACCATGCAGCTGTGGACAAGTCTACATAGGGACCACCAAACGCAGCGCCCAGACACGCATCAAGGAAAATGAAAGGTACTGCAGACTACTTCAACCAGAGAAATCAGCCATAGCAGAGCACCTGATGAAGCAACCTGGACACAGCATATTATTTGAGAACACAGAAGTGCTGGACCACTCGCACAACCACCATGTCAGACTACACAGAGAAGCCATTGAAATCCACAAGCATGTGGACAATTTCAACAGAAAGGAAGAAACCATGAAAATGAACAAAATCTGGCTACCAGTATTAAAAAACTCAAAAATTACAGCAGAAAAATAACAGAGGGGAAACAAACAGGCACATGAAATCACCCTCAACAAAAGATTCCCCTCAGGCGCTACCAAGCCATTGAATGCAAATCAAGGTGATCAGCTGAAACATTCACAGCTAGCCCCAGCAAACAAAAGTCCTTTGTCTCACCCTGGTCATTCCACAGATATATAAACCAATTTTTCCTAGTTCCAACAGACCTCATTACCTCTGAGGATGCTTGCCATAGATGCAGGCGAAACGTCAGGAGAAAAATTGCCTCCAGAACATGGCCATATAGCCCGGAAAAAGCTACAACAACCCATAAGCATTTAAGTACAACAACAATGACAAGTAAAAACTACACATCCTCTTATTCAAAGTTCTTGCCTCATGATCAGTTTACTTCAAAATACCAGTTGAAACAAAATAAATAAATAAATGCCTGCCTTTGGAGGGATTCCATAGAGGGCTAGTGAGGCAATTTCCAGGCTTCCTGACTTGAGATCAACTAAGAAGATCTTCTTAAGTTTCTGTCAGTATTACATGTAGGGATGGCGGATTGCTTTTTAAAAATGCATTATGCATTTTTGTGTAATTATGCCTCTTCGGTTAGTGAATATGAACAAAGATCTACACAGCGCTTTAAAACCCTGTCCTGGCACTTATTCTAGAAGACATGCTCAGTCTATTCTGTCTTCTGTGGTTACATTATCAACATTTGTAGAATTAAAAACATCTTTTTTTAAAAAAAACAGGAGTAAGAGAGCTTTTACTGCATGACAAAATTTAAATTATCAAAATATGCATATTCCAGAAGTTGAGCAATGTTACTGTTATCTATCCAAATAAGGATTTCCCCCAGTCAATTTTTCTTTTAGTCTACACATTTCTAGTAGTGCAGAATCATATTGAAAATTGTTCTCTCCAAGAGCTTTTACATTTGCTGTGTTTGCAGTCCCTTGGGAACTTTAGCTGCCCCATTTCTCCAGGTGTCCAAGCTGTTATAATAGCTTAACTGAAGTTTTAAGTTACAACAATGCCAGAAATTTGGAGACCGGGGTTGCACTTACATTTTAGAATTAATGTAGTTTGACACCACTTTACTATTCTTCAATGGTATGGAATCATGGGAGTTGTTTGGTGAGGCACCAGCACTATTTGACAGAGAAGGCTAAAGACCTTGTAAAACAACAATTCCCAGGATTCCATAACATTGATCCATAGTAGTTAAAGTGGTGTCAGGCAGCATTAATTCTAGGGTATGGATGCACACTGGAACAAATATCATGGATGTGCATATTTCCTACAGGGTTGCCAGTGCCCTCATCTTCACCCATAGCTTCACATCTCATATTCTCTAACCATGTGAAGCATCAGACTATTCTGATAGTTGCATAGTAGGCTTGGGTCCGGCTCAGTTTAACTGAAAGTGATTTGTAATGTTTGCTGGTTTGTTTCATATAATCCACCAAAAACAGAACGGGGAGGAGAAAGCCAGCCAAAACGGATCAAAAGAGTCGGATTTATTGGCTACTGGAGAGGATGAAGTCTGCAATATACAAATGAATAGGCCAATAAGAAAATTAATTTTAGACGAATGTATGTTTACTGTAACCAAACCACAGCTACGTAGCGACAGATAAACGATCAAAGTTTTTTTTGAGCAACACACATGTACGTTAATGCCGCTAGGCGTCGCTAGGGGTCGCTGTTTTCAAAATGGCGGAATCAAGCAAAGAGAAGGCGTTTTGTGTGATGACATTTGCTAAAACAATGTCAATAATTACGGTCCAGCGAGAATTTCAAGGGTTAGGGTTAGGGGTAGGGTTAGGGTTAGGGTTAGGGTTAGGGTTAGGACCTCAACGAACACCTTCCCAGACGTTGCTGCATTCGATGCCATTACGTCGGATGTGCTGCAACGGATGTGGAATGAACTGGACTATCGCTTGGACATCTGCCGTGTCACACGGGGCGCCCATATCGAACATCTCTGAAGGTGAGACAAAACTTTGATAGTTTATCTGTCGCTACGTAGCTGTAGTTTGGTTACAATAAACATACATTCGTCTAAAATTAATTTTCTTATTGGCCTATTCATTTTGACTAACCCTGTATATGAGGCAGGGGTCTGCCGTGAGGGTTCCTGGAGAAGACAGGATTAGCTGTAGAGCCTTTTCTCTCTCACTGGCTCCTCCTCGGGGGGGGGGGGGGGGCTGGGCTGCTGCACACTTGCTTTCCCTGCAGCAATTGTATGGGACGGGCATTCAAAAGTCTTTGAATTTCTCTTGGATCATGATGGGAATTTAAGTTTTTCTCTCTGTCGGCCAATAAAAGGCCTGGTTTTGTCCATGCTCTGATTGACTGATAATGGTCACACAAGTAGCTACAATTCCCAGAATCCTCTTGTGGTTTGTCTTATTTTCAAAAATGTTGTGGTGAAAACTTAAAATAATTCTAAAAATCAGTAGATTGGTGAATTGTTCAGAAACTTGGCAGACCTGCAGTTGTAAATAGGGTCTAAAAGGCTGAGGACTGAGCCTTTAAAGTTTCCCATTGTAGCCGATGGAATGAATCTTTGCTGAATGAAAATGGCAACACTCCTTGCGATTTAATTTCCCAGTAAACAGAAAGAGGGGTTAGCCGAAAACGGACCCTTTTTGGCCGAATTGCACAAGTCTGTTGCATAGGATAGCACACTTTACTTGCATTCTAGTCATCACAATGTCTCTTAAAAGATGTTTTACTGGTGACTAGAGCAGGAGAGCTGTGTACATAACAGCAGACAGAAGATGCCCGAGACAATTGTATTTGTTATTGTGTGCATGAACACCTTACCAGTCTTCTGTTTATTGGTCACTGTGAATGTGGCAATGTAACAATCCCACAAAGAAAGCTTTCCAACTTGTATTCTGATGGAAGGCTGCTTCCTTGTGGCATCAAAACTACCCAAGGAGCCTATGAGCCTGGATATCAATGTTAATTCCAGGGAACCTTGGGGAATGCCATTGCTGCAGTAACGACTACACAGTAAAGCCTATTACTGCTCTTACTATTTTTGGCATTGCGTGTTTGTTAATCCAGTGCTATAAGCCTTATAATTTCCAAGGTATTTATCTAAAATGGATTTGTGAAATGTGGGAGTACCCATTAATGAAACACAGGGAATCTTCTGGTTGGAAGTTACATAGACAAACACAAGAGGTTCTCACAGCTGTCTGTAAAAAGTTGCAGACTTCTGTTTCCTAGTTGATGGAATGCTCTGTCTTCAATGAAATAGTTGAGATGGTAACAGAGTTACTAAATCTTAAGAGCCTTATCATCTGAGGCTCTGCACCAGGATCTTCCTGGTACAAAAAGCAAGCCTTTTTAATTTATGGTAGTGTTTGACCTTTGTTTTGATATGCATATTGGACTTTATGGACTTCTTTAGATTTATCGTTTTGTTTTATTTGCCTTGCTTCTATTATTTCTTTCCAAAAATGGAAACTGATATGATTCGAATAAACCCTTGCCGAAAAGCAATGGTGATAATAAGTCTCCTTGCTTCTGTCTTCTTTCCTAATACTTTCTCCTCTGCCACTCTGTTTGCATTATAAAAACACTACCACAGCTAAATGTGGTATAATATAATGTAATAATATATGCACATTATTACTTTGTTAATTATTAATAAATTAAAATACATCAAAGTTAATCTAATAGGTAATAAATTAATGTAATACAATAAATTAGCATGATATTATTCTCCTTTTACACAGGGAGGTCCAGGAACCAAACCCCAAAGAATACCAAAGGGCCAACATAGCTTATATATAATGCATTTCTGCAAAAATTAGAAATGACAGCATTGTAGTTGAAAGAAATTCTGCTGGAAATATTAGACTTAAGTATAATCTTGAAAAGTAATCTTGATTCCCCCAACTCCATATTTTAAGGTGATAGCAGTTAATATTATTCCCTTTTTCCTTTATTTGTAGGAAGATCCTCATATTAACAACTGTTTAGTGAACTGGGAATTAAGCACGTGGAAACCATGTTGGAAACAATAGGTAAGGATATAATATAGAAGCAGATTTAAATACTTTAGAACAAGATCCTATTGAGAGCTGTCATGACATTCTGGGACATGGGTTTGTATAGGAAACCAGCTTATACAGACTGGTGAAAGGTGCAACTATAATTGCAGCAAGCACATCATACATATGCAAAGCTCAAATGGGATTTTAGCTTGTTCCCATGTTGTACTGAACTAGGTTTCATTTGTGTTTGCAAATAAAACCGATGTAAGGAATGATACATGAGCTGTTAACCAGTAAGCATTTAACTGAGACATGTTGAGGTTTTGCGTCAAAGACTGTTGGTAAGCCATGATTCTGTTAGTTTCTATACAAAGTGGAAAGGTGAGGTACCACCACTCTGGCAGAGAAGGCTAAAGACCTTGTAAAACTACAGTTCCTATGATTCCATATCAGTGAGTCATGGCAGTGAAAATGGTGTCAAATTGCATGAATTGTTCAGTGTAGATGTGCCCCTAAAGGACCTTTTTTTTTAGTCACCCTGGATTGTGGAAAGATTTGCTAGAAAAGATTCAACAGCTGAATACATTCTGGATTTAAAACAGCATTAAGACCAGTCTCTTTCAGCAGGCCTATCCATTTTATTTAAATTATGATTTTTAAATTATATACTGGCTGTTTCTGATATGTTTTAGTAGTATATGTTCTATTATATTTGTATTTTAGTTCGTTTATGTGTTATGTATTTTTAATTGATTTAATTGTGTGTTAATAATAACCAAATTATAATATGAAGATGACTCATACTGAGACAGGTCACTGGCCTTCTAGAATCTATTCTAAACGGGGTAACTCTTCAAGGTCTGAGATAAAGGTATTTACCAGTTCAGCCAGGCGAGTTCTTTATGTAAGGATTTCCAGAACCTATTTACATAGAAAGCATGGTCTCTCCCTCTTAGCTACAAGAAAGTCAATTTGAGTCAGGCAACCAAAGCAGAAATGGGCTGTGAAAGCAGGCTTATTGGGGCAAACTAACCATAGACATCCAGTGGCTAGTAAAGTTGACACCAGATGCATCCTGCCAAGCCAGCTTCTGTGCTGCTTGGTGTCACATGGTCCAGCCAGGCTGAGACTACATCACCCCTGCTGGACCATCACCTCACCTTCCATGTTGCTATCACAGTTCCCAACCACCCACAGAGTTCTGTGTAAATTTTTGGCCATTACAGGTGACCTTTCCGGCATTAGCAGATGTGCCCAATTGGGAAGGACCCAATCTTCCCACCTGCTTCCTGGTTGTGTGGGCGCCTCTGATGATCTTAGAACAGGTTATATAAAATGACCAGGGGATTTCATGGAGCTCTGTTGCCAGTTGGAAGTGGTGATGGCAATGATATGATCACCATCCATCCCATTTTTCCTACACCAATGATCCAGCAGCCAGTTCAAGGTGAATATGGGTTTTCATGCCTATTTAGATTTGCCTTAAGATACAAAGCAAGTAAAAAAAGTGAAGTAGCAAATAAGATGTCATGTGGTGTGCAGCCAGTTGGGAATTTAGCTTAGACAGAATGCCAACAACATGGCCAGAGTCAGTCAATAAGTTGTTACTCTTCTTGTTATCTTTAACAAAGCCCATTCTGAAGACCAGTCCACTGTAGGTTGAAGATAAAAAGCAGTCATGCAAATCCATTGTTATGTGAATTCTTGCTTTGTTCTGTAACAAACTTTGGAAAACTATATACAGTTCTCCTTTTAATGTTCAAAAAATGCTCCTCACCTTTCATATTTAAATAAATGTAACTCCATCCAGTTTGAGGAGTTGATAAACCGTGTGTAGCCATCCCTCTTTAAAAGTACATATTAAGGGCATCAAGTAACAATGATTTTTTTCCAGATACACATCGGGCCCTCCAGGCAGTGGAACGTCTGCAAGCCAAGTTACGTGAAAGAGGTGATACCTCAAACGAAGAGAAGTTGAGCTTACTGAAGTCAGTGTTGCAAAGTCCCTTGTTTAATCAAATCTTGAACCTTCAAATTTCTCTTCCACAATCAAGAGATCAGGTAAGACAGGAGCACCTTGAGAAGCAAAGGGAAGTGTTGATAAGACTTTTATGTGTATTGCTGGTAGTTCACAAAATGGATATTGACAAGTAAAGGGAACTGGTAAGTTTGATGGTAAGATTTAAAGACTTTAATGGAAGGAGGCAAATTTTGTATCCTTAAAGCTTATATATGTACAGTTACCTGTATGCTTAATAATATATGTGTGTAGTATAGCTTATTGCTACTCATAGCAGTAAATATAACTTTATTTTTATCAACTTATTTTGGTAAATGGTAAATGGTAAATTAGTATGTCACATTATACCCTATACATTTGAAAAGATCACAGAATCATAGAATCATAGATGGGAAACCTGCAGTCCTCTAGATTTTGCTGGATAGCAATTGTCATCATCTTTCATATTGGTTGTGCATGATTTAAATTGACAGACAAAAGCTGAATCTGTAACAGATTATTAAAGACTAAATTCCATGGAAGACATTAGGAATTGCTTTTGAATAAACAGTCATAAAGTTATGTTTTTATTCTCAGTTCAAAAATTATACCAAATTATGGTTTAGGTGGTTTAACCTTGGCTTGGCATAATGAATGGCTTATAATAGGCCATGAACCAGCAGTATCACAAACCATAGGTTGAGATATTAGCTTACAAACCACGGCTTGTCCAAATGGAAGCCAGTGCAACAAACAAAAAGATCCAGAATATTCTGTAGTCAAAATCAGCAAAGCAAAAACAGAATTCTGAATTTCTGCTTTGAATTCAGAATGGCTCCTTCCAGATGCTTCTGAGTTTTGATTATGCATTTGAATTTGTGACAGCATCACCACTATTTATGACTGCATTAAGAACCAGAAAAAAGCTTTGGGGGCCTGCTTCCACTTGAACCCCAGATTACATGTTGTCAACCTGTTTGAGTACAGTGTACAGACTTGACCCATCTTCCATGCATGTTCATACCAAAGATTGATGAAATTGAAGAAATACTCAGTTTTAATATACAGCTGGCCCTCCATGTTCATGAGTTTGACTTTTGTGGATTTGAGTATTCATAGATTTTATTAAAACATTCACCCTTGGAATCTTTACGTCTTTTAGTATGTCTCTGTGGTCACACACTGGTGAAAGTTGACCATAGGGTTGTGCTGAAGGACTTAGAGATTCCCAGTGAACGATTCCGTCAGGTTTCTTGTTTTTATGGTTTTCACATTTTGAAGGTTCCTGGACCCCTAAGCCCAGGAACCTCCAATTATGACATATTTGTTTTTGCTTCATTTTTATTTCTTTGTTTGCTTGACAGGTAATACTTTATTTGATTTCATTTGTAGAATTTCATTCTGGTGTTTTAGCATTTTACATTTGAATTCCCACTGTATTTATTTATCGTGTCATCAGCAACCAGACATTTGTATTACATTTTTTAACAAAAACAAACAAACAGACAAAACACAGAATTTGCAAGCTTGGTAGTTGATTAAATGTCCTTTGACCAGTAGCTGGCCACTGGTGTTGCTGCAAGAAGGATCTCCATTGTGCATGTAGCAGGACTCAGGTTGCATTGCAGCAGGTGGCCTGTAGTTTACTCTTCTCCACACTCGCATGTCGTGGATTCCACTTTGTAGCTCCATTTCTTAAGGTTGGCTCTGCATCTCGTGGTGCCAGAGCGCAGTCTGTTCAGCGCCTTCCAAGTCGCCCAGTTTTCTGTGTGCCCAGGGGGGAGTCTCTCCTTTGGTATCAGCCATTGATTGAGGTTCTGGGTTTGAGCCTGCCACTTTTGGACTCTTGCTTGCTGAGGTGTTCCAGCGAGTGTCTCTGTAGATCTTAGAAACCTATTTCTTGATTTAAGTCGTTGACGTGCTGGCTGATACCCAAACAAGGGATGAGCTGGAGATGTCTCTGCCTTGGTCCTTTCACTATTGGCTGCTACTTCCCGGCGGATGTCAGGTGGTGCAATACCGGCTAAGCAGTGTAATTTCTCCAGTGGTGTAGGGCGCAGACACCCTGTAATAATGCGGCATGTCTCATTAAGAGCCACATCCACTGTTTTAGCGTGGTGAGATGTGTTCCGGGCATGCATACTCAACAGCAGAGTAGCATAGCACAAGGGCAGATGTCTTCACTGTGTCTGGTTGCGATCCCCAGGTTGTGCCAGTCAGCTTTCATATGATATTGTTTCTAGCACCCAGTTTTTGCTTGAGGTTCAGGCAGTGCTTCTTGTAGGTCAGAGCAGAATTCCCACTGTGAGCAGAATATATTTCATTGATTGTGAGGATGGGTGAAAAGGGATCCCTGGGTGACACATGCCTCTGGGAACGTTTTGAGTAAAGATGTAACTCTTGACCCTTGCAAGGAATGGAATTTACTCCTAATAAGAACTGTGAATCACTAAAATGCCTTGTGTCTTCAATGACATGTACGGAATGTTTGTGTGTGTGTTTTGTATAGTAGGCATATTTCAGTCAGAGAGGCCGTCTCCTGGTATACACATATAGTTAGATCAAACAGTTAAACAGTTAAGCAGAGAACCAAGTAATTGTTAGACAAAATGTACTGTAATTTCCCTTTTGGGTATCTCAGCCATTTTGAGCAAGTGAGAACATTAAAACCTTTCACTGTTCTTTCTTTTTTTGGTTACAGGCTATGACATCTTTGCATATCTAAGTTAAAGCTAATTATTCCCTTCTAGGCCCTTCTTTTTACAATGGCAGTTCTTTTGCTTGTTTGTGCTATCTGCTCTCTATTTTCTTTTCATTTGTATTATTGAGGCTTCACATGGAAGAAATCTGCTCGAGAGATATGGAATTCCCTTGTTTGAATGCCAAAGGGCTGAAAAAGATTAATATGGCTATTGTTGACTTTGCTGTTGATGCTATTAATGTTTCCCCCTATGCTCAGATGCCTATTGATAGGTGTCTTGTAAACCCTTTTTATATATAAAAAAGAACTCGAAGGTTTTTTTTGCTTATTTTGAGAGTTTTAAATTGCAAAATGAGCAGGTAAACAGGAGCAAAATCCCAGCAGCTATCAAGTTGAAACTCAACTGAACCAATCTTCTCTCTGAGAGTGTGAAAATGGTACCCTGCTTTCAGTGCTCATTTGCATCCTAGCATGCTAAAAGCAAGCACACATTTGTTTTTCCCCTCTGAACATTGCCACTCTTTATTGGCTGTCCACTTTCCAACTCTTGATGCTACAGCAAAAGCCAGGCGCTTGAAGATAAGGCAACCAAAAAGCAATAAATAAAAATAAATAAATCCTGCTCTTGTGATAGGATGAACTTCTGAAGTCTTAATTTGATTTTTGTTTGTAATTTGAATTATTTAAATATTTAAACATTAATCACTTGGAGCTGGCAGCCTTTATGCTATCAGTGTTTGTTTCCCCCTCCTCCTTCAGAATAGCTCAAAGCTGTGCTAATGAGAAAAATCCCTTCCCTTGGCTGGGCCACATTCTTGAAATATTTTTTCCTTACAAGTTAGAAGATAGATTTTTACAGGCTGGAGAAGTACTGATTGTATTGTAAGAAGCAAGCCTGTCTTCACTTCCACAACCTTAGCTTCACTTTTTTGCTGTTGAAATAGTTGTGAGATTTTTTGATAGAGTCTAGATTAGGGATTTCATTGAAATATAACAATTCCTGCTTTCTTTGGTTGGTAGCCAATTTTCAATCCTAGCTTTCAATCCTAGAGAAAATTCTGTTGGGGGTGGGGCAGATATATGGAGTATGCTTTCCTGATAAAGGAGAATTCATTTGACTGGTTTTACTGGAGGATGCAGGCTTAAATCAAAAATTCTTCATAAACTGTTAGACTGTAACTCCCATCAGACCTAGCTACATAGGCAGTGGTGAGAATGTTTGGAGATGTGGGGTAATAACCATTCATTTTTCATTCATGCTTCAAATCAGCAGTTTTCAAAGTGTGCTCCACAGAGCCCTTAGGGAACAGATCAACTTGGTTAACCGACCTTTTCTTGTTGTGATGGCATGCCCGAGCCTTTGGGAAAATTATATTGTCTGGCTTTACTCGGGGGCTATCTGTATACCTTCTGTTAAGATTAAGACCCTTAGCAGACAGATGCACTTTAGGCAGGATGAAAAAATAAACAAAAGCAAGATGAATAAATGGTTAACTTCACCTGGGCCTATTATAGGATAATTTAAAACAATATGTTACAAAAGGAGATTTTGCTGGTTGCAGTCATCTTTCTGGAATCTTTGAAAGTCTTTTGCCTCTGGTGTAAAGCGATGGATTATAAGTTGTTTCTTGCAAACTGTCTTAATCTTCTCTCCTGTGAAGCTTATGCTGGCCAAAAGCTTCTGTTGTCCTTTGGACTACTGGTATAATAATACTGCTAAATGCAGGTGCTAAGAATGCCTGTTTTTGGATTGCTTGACATAGGATCACCAGACAATGCCCAAACCTCTAGTGATAGTAGAAAAAGGAGGAGTCCAGCAAGAGAGCTCTATACAGGGAAATGGAATAAACCAACTAAGGCTGGGCTCTGGGGAGATTTTAAGCTCAACCCAAAACTAATAGAGAGGAAGTTATCTACACTATTGGGAAAACCTATAAACAAGGGGGAAGTGAAACAGAGGAGAGGAGAAGACAGAGCTAGGACCTCACACTTGAACTTCAACATTTCTTAATTAAAGCATTGTACAGTATTACTAGCTGGAGGTAAAACAGTGTTGTAGATAAAGATTATTTGTGGGCGCTTTATGGACTATTTGGCATTGGTTGTGGGAAGAAATTAGAGAGTTAGAACATATCTGATTAGGTCCAGAATACAGATATGATGGTGCAAAGAAGGTGTGGAAATATAGACGGAAATCCATTTTCAACTTTCAGTTCCAATGGAAAAATAGAAACTTCTGGCAATATACTGGGAAAAAAATCCTGGTAAACATAGGGGCATATTTTTTTAGGAAATGAATGATTTGTTTTTTAAACAAGGTTTTACTCTTTTAAGTTTCCAGGAACGACTTAGTATGTACATTTATATATAAGGTAGTCTACAAAAATTTTAAAAAATCATAAAATCTGTGCGACATTGAAATCTAAGATGTGTTTCTGTCCATAGTGTCTGTCACCATCTTCATGTGACAAGCAGTTGGCAGGGAGGGAGTTTATTGACTGAGAATTGTTGAGAGGCTCCGTATATGCCAAATAGTTTTGTTTGCTAAGTAAGCAATGAAGAATCATTTCATATTGTTATAGCTGTAAAATAAATTTAGATTTTGTTGTAAAATAATCATTTTATATTTTAATTTTTGCTCAAAAACATTTCCTCATAGTCTACATTTTCTATAAATGTGACATTTTCAGCCCAGAGCAACTGTAAATAATAGGACAGCCAATATTAAAGTTCCTTTAAAATGAGTAAGTGCTGAAGAAAGGAATGACACACCAAACATGTAATTTTAGAGATGCTACTGTTCATGAGATGAAGTTGTTAAGTTGTCTTCACTGTGAAATTATTGACATATTTATTATACAGTGGAGGTGCAACAGCTATCGTATTTTCCATATATTCAAGCCAGACAAACTTATTTTATAGGGGCAGATGAGTTTCATTCTTTTCTCCGCCACCGCAGTATTTGTGCTGGGGCCAGAAGCCACTTTGTCTGACATAGTCTTTTTGCATTAAACTAATCCCCTTTGAACATGCAACTCGATTTCTTTAATTAGCTTTAAAAATGAAGATCATTAGAGTGGAGTGCCACTATCAATTACTGCAGATGAGTTAGTAGTCAATAATACATCAAAACTCTGACACAGTCCATACTAAAGCCTTTAAAAAACATCTTAAGTCTTACAATCTTGAACTAGAGTTATGTGAATTAAGATTCTTTTTTCATCCTTCTCTTCTAAAAATGATTTAGAGCCATACCCTCCCTTGATACTTCATATTTTAAGGAATAGCAAGGTAGATTTTATTTCTTGCTCACTTTCTCTTCTTGCATTAGCAGAAGCACCCTATGTTGTCCCATAAGAAATGGGAACCCTCTTTTATTATTTTGGAAAGGCAGTTCCTAAGAGAACATTATGATATTTTGATTGAAATTCTGTCTCCAGTAGGGGAGGAAACTAAAACAACTTCCTTCCCCTTGGAGAATGAACCTATTCCAGTCACTTATTTGATATATCTTAAGAGCTGTCTTGAACATTTTGTTCCTCAAGTCACAGGAATAATCCAGTAACTTTGAAATTTCATTCTCTTACTTCTGAGAAGAAAAGAAAGCTTAGAGAAGACAATTAATCTGGGGAAAATAGAAGGAAAAAGGAAGAGGGGCCGACCAAGGGCAAGATGGATGGATGGCATCCTTGAAGTGACAGGCTTGACCTTGAAGGAGCTGGGGGTGGTGACGGCTGACAGGGAGCTCAGGTGTGGGTTGGTCCATGAGGTCACGAAGAGTCGGAAACGACTGAACGAATGAACAACAACAACTTCTGTAGATCTGTTTTGTATATGGGTTTATTGATAGTGCTGTGTTTTTAAAAGTGTGAATATATAGAATTGATATATGAGTTGTCGAAGGCTTTTATGGCCGGAATCAGTGGGTTGCTGTGCATTTTTCCGGCTGTATGGCCATGTTCCAGAAGCATTCTCTCCTGACCTTTCACCCACATCTATGGCAGGCATGCTTAGAGGTTGTGGGGTTTGTTGGAAACTAGGTAAGTAAGGTTTATCTGTGGAATGTCCAGGGTGGGAGAGAGAACTCCTGTCTGCTTGAGGCACGTGTGAATGTTGCACTTTGCCTCCTTGATTAGCATTGAATCTGGCTCATTGCTGGCTCGTTGCTGCCTGGGGGAATCCTTTGTTGGGAGGAGTTAGTTGGCCCTGAGTGAATCTTCTCTGAAATTCCCCAGCTTTTTGAGTGTTCCTCTTTATGTACTGTCACGATTTTAGAGTTGTTTTAATACTGGTAGCCAGATTTTATTCATTTTCATGGTTTCCTCCTTTCTGTTGAAATTGTCCACATGCTTGTGGATTTCAGTGGCTTCTCTTTTTCCCACCCTGGGCGTTCAACAGATATATAAACCTCACTTACTTAATTTCCAACAGACCCCTCAAACTCTGAGGATGCCTGCCAAAAAATGCACAGCAACCCAGTGATATATGGATATATGCATAAGTCAGTAGCATGTTTTGGGATCATAATTATGAGTTTTAATATGGATAAGTCAAAGGTCATTCCACTGAGAGGAAAAAATGCCTGCACCGCCTTTGGAAGTCACCTACTTTTATAATTTCATATTGATAGGAATTTTCCATATGTGCTGGCTGAACCTTTTATTTTGAAGGGAAATATGTAAGATATTTACAGATGCTGTAGATAATCAGTGTATCTACAGCTAGAATTTTTAGCTAAAACCCCCCAAAACCTGAGTGGTCTTTTCCTTGGGTCAATGCAAGTAGTTTTTTCTTATCAACAAAGGAACCATCTCCTCCTCTGAGCAGAGTGATGAAATACAAGTATATCTTGTGAGAACCTAAAATAAGCTTTGATACCCCCCCCCCCCCAATCTCTCTGCTGCAGTGCCACTTCCAGCTTTTTTTTTTTTAAATATATGTCTGAGCAGGAAAATGGTAGCAGTGATTCTTTGGTGCTTCTTCTCACATAAGCACCAGTAGAGTAGAGAGGGGTTAAATGTTTCTTTAAGGTTCATTTTATAGGAGTTAATACTGTAGCATCATTTTTATCAAAAAGAAAAAAAAGAGCCATCCCCTTTCCTGAATAAAATGGCAAAAGATCTACTGACTTCCTAAGGCGGTGCAGGCATTTTTTCCTCTCAGTGGAATGACCTTAGACTTATCCATATTAAAACTCATAATTATGATCCCAAAACATGCTACTGACTTATGCATGAGGTTGACTTATACATGAGTATTTACAGTAAGTTTTTCATCTACAGAATAATTCATGAACTCTGGCTTGTGTGCCATCAGTATGTACAATATTTGTTGTACAGTGATTCTGTAGTTTGCTCTTAAACAGGGTTAGTGACTCTGACTCTTATTTTAAATCTAGACGATGTATTGTTTTAGAACATGCTAAGCTCCATTCCTGATTTTGACTTACAGTTTTAACTGTCTCTTTCCCAACGTGTCACATCTAAAATCAATAATACTGCACACCATTTCTAGGTCAACGTTGCACCTTTGGTCACCTCGCCTGGAGAGATCTTGCAGCTTCCCCATCATGGTTCTACACTCCCAAATGTGGGTTCTTCATTCCAGAATGAGTCCTATCTGTTGGCTCAGTCAAATGGTAGCCTTTCTAGTGGGCTGGGAGCAGGCATACGATCAGTCACTCCTCAAATTAATGGAAAGTTTACCAGTGATGAATTTGAATTACTTATCAGAAATATGGCACAGGTAAGAAACCATAATTTGAAATTACAATTTGACACTGACGTGATGTTAGATAATTGGGAGCATCCTCTGTCTTTGCAGACTCCTTTCAGTTGCCTTACTATTTTCTTTTGCCTGGGTGTTTTTCTCTCCCTTGCACATTTAGAGTTAACTGAGTCTTCTTAATTGTTAATGCTAGCCATAGTTAATCCAAAACTCATTTCTAACCAAGCCCAAAATGAAAGTTAAGTATTAACTATGATCAGATGCTAAATGTTTTAGTTCTGAAATTGAAAGGGAACAGAAATTGACGAATATGATCATTACACAAATGCTTGTGAAAAAAGGAGACCGGCGCTTGAATCTGTGCAAGGTCCACATTGCTTCTTTGTATGGATCTCACATGTTGCTGCGTTATTATTGAGTTTATTTGCTGTTTATCTGTTTTGGGTGGGATCCAGTCAAGGTTTTCCGACTGTTGGAACTTCTTCTGACTATGGAACCAGGAGGACTGTTCAACCTCATCCCCTTCAGCATACCTTTGTTCACCATCAAAAACATGTGGACTGGAAAACGCACCAGAGCAAGTTTTCAGGCAGCATAGAGCAGTGGTTCTCAACCTGGGGTCTCCAGATGTTTTTGGCCTACAACTCCCAGAAATCCCAGCCAGTTTACCAGCTGTTAGAATTTAGGGGAGTTGAAGGCCAAAAACATCTGGGGACCTCAGGTTGAGAACCACTGGCATAGAGGGTTTGGGGATGGGTCGTATATCATTGCTGGATTTCTGTTAATGTATCCTTAAATCTAGATCTCATAATTTGTTAATTCATTTTACTAGTTATAAACTACATGAACCTTAAAATCTGTTGTTCCTGAATTTATTTTATATTTGATTCATTGTGTTTGCAAACAGGGGCGCCTTGTTGAAACTATAGAACTTGTAAAGCCTTCAAATGGTGGCCTGGGATTTAGTGTGGTTGGTCTGAAGAGTGAATACAGAGGAGAGCTGGGTATATTTGTGCAGGAGATCCAAGACGGAAGTGTGGCACAAAGGTAGGACTTTCAGTTTTTATTTATTTATTTATTCACACACACACACACACACACACACACACACACACATATAGTGGACGAAAATAACTTAAAAGAGAAATGTAGCTGTTATTCAGAAGTAGTAGCAAATGTTTTGAATTGCAGTTGTTTAAAACAAAGATTCCCTTTTCAGTTACAAAGCTCTTGTCCAACTATTTGTTATTCCTTTCATTAATTCATACATGTTTCTATTTTCCTTTGGAGTAACTGGGCTGCTGGATGCCAATATATGTAAAGACAGATCATGACTGTACTAAAAGTGGAACATATTTTGAGAAACTTTTGAAGGTCCATTTTTTTCATATTTTGCTCACTTTAACTATTATAAAAATTCTTTCATGAGATTTTTTAAAGTTTTTGTTTCTGAATCAGTTAACATCATTTGAATGTTTTAGCAATTACCTGAAGCATTCTTTTATATTAGAAAAAACTCTTTGGACTGCTATGAACAGATTACTTGTATCTCTAAATTCTATTTAAGTCATACTTATTCCTAATATTTCCCTCTGCCTCCCTCTCCTCCTCTCCTTTTTCATTCTCTTTCTCACTGTTACAATTGTGTGCTATCATTGTATATCCTTGTCCCAGAGAACTTCCCTGCCCCTCTCTTCAGGCTTGTCTAAAACGGCCCAAAAACCCTTCCTTTGGGCTTGTCTACAGTGCTGGATATCTATATCACTGGTTCTTAAACTGTGGGGCCGAACCCCAAATAGGATCCGCATAGCTTCATGCCGGAATTGGGAAAAATTTGGTAACAGTGAAAGGTTTCTGAATGCCACCTAGACGTTTACATGAATCTGTAAGCAGCAACTTACAGCAAGAGTGGACTCTGCAAAAATAAAATGCTTGAAATCTGCCTGTTTATCAGGTCTTGCAAATGCTGATTTAGTTAAATATTTAATTTTTTATACTTCTTTTACCAGAGGTTGAAAAAAAAATTCAGGTAGAAAGGGTTTGTGGGCTGAAATAGTTTAAGAAGCCCTGATCTATGAAATGGCTAGGGACATCTGGACCTTAAGGCTGGATAAACTAAGTTGAACCTATTAGCCCCACACTAAGGAAAGTGGGAGAATCCTTTTTAGTTTTGATGAAACTCTGGGACAGCTCTGTGCTTTAGGCAGAGTGTGGACAGCATGAGTGGCTCTGATTCATACCAATCCACTGTCCACTCGGGCCAGTGCTGCCATCTTCTTTTTGTCAACATAGGGAAAAGTTTATGGATATCGCCACTGCCATTGCAGTCTGCCTCAGAGCACTGAGATCACTCCCTTCTTTTCCCTTGCACTTTATTCATTTTTAAAGCAATTTGATGACTTAAAGAGCTTAACCCTTTTTTACTTTGTTCTGTCTGTGTTCTACACAGTTAAGAAACTGAAGATAGAGTTTTAAGCTTTTTAGGATCACAACTTTAGTGAAAATTGTGTGGTTTCATAAAATGCATTCTTAAATAGAATATGAATTTATAAAAAAATACAAAATCTATATTCTTTTTTAAAATGTAGGTTCTTCTCTTTTACTATGAGAAAGAAAATTAATCCTCCCACCTACCCCTAAAGATTTTAATGGAAGCATCTAGTAGGTAAAGTGTGTGGATTGATGAATATTCAGCACTTATAGTGTGAACCAAGTAGAACTCTTGGTCTGTTAAGCAGCCAGCTCAAAGTCAAGAATGAAGTTCCCAGGCTATAGCAGGGAGAGCTGGAAGCAACCAACATGTAATATGCTTAGTCTCGCATGGGGGTGCAGAAGGAAAGCGCTAGCTGTGGGGTGAAGCTAGGAGAGTGCAGCATAGGATTAGCTTCAAAGGGAGTTGATCACCAGGGTGCCAAGATAGCTGCTCACAGCAAAACTGCAGGGAAAGATTAAAAAAAAAGTTGGTAGAAATAGAAGAACAGAATTATAAGAAACTATTTTGGGAAAATTGTCAAAAAAGGTTGTAATATTTGGTAGCAACACTTACTTTGTTGTTTTTTTTATTCTTCATATGCCTATAATAGAGATGGAAGACTGCAGGAAGCAGATCAAATCCTTGCTATTAACGGGCAAGCTCTTGATCAGACAATTACACATCAACAGGCTATTGGCATCTTACAGCAAGCAAAAGATATTGTTCAGCTGGTTGTTGCTAGGGGTTCTTTGCCTCAGCTCATCAGTCCTATAATTTCTCGATCTCCATCAGCTGCTAGTACAATCTCAGCCCATTCCAATCCGGTGAGTAAATCAAGTGCATTGTGAAAAAGACTGTGCCTTCTTTTCTCTTAACTCATGCATGGTTGCTGATTGGATGCCCTTCTCTGGACTTTCATGGGTCAGTTGTGCTTGTCCTCAAGGCAGAGCTACCTGCTATACGCTCTCCATGGATATTAAACAGACAGCAGCAAAGGGTTGCATTGGAAAAAGAAGTTTTCCATGCTTACGTTTTTGTCTTTCAGACCACTAGAAAATGTGTGTGCACAGTTGGGATCATTTTATGTACTTAAAGCAGTGTGGGTTTTTACAAGATGAATTGTAGTTTTGCGAGGTGTGGGGGGCAATTAATGATAGGGGTTATTTGTGGAAAGGGTTTGCCATGTGGTTTAGTGCCACTCCATACTGATACTGATGCTGATGATGATCTACATCAGTGGTTCTCAACCTGGGGTCCTCAGATGTTTTTGGCCTACAACTCCCAGAAATCCTAGCCAGTTTACAACCATTGATCTACATGGAGAATTTCTGTAATTTGGGAAAGACAATGATGATCTACATGGAGTGATTTGCTCCTCAGAGAAAAGCAGATATGAATTCAGTTTGTATGCCATCATCAGTCTTCCTACATCGGTATCAGCTCACATAGACAATGACATTCACCATACTCTTACTTGCTGTGCAGACAGGATAAAGGTGAACTGATGATCATCTGATCAATCTCTGTTTAGACAGAAGGAAAAAATGTATCTAATTGCTACAATATGTGTCCAAATCATCCACATGTTTCTGAAAAATTCTCTTGTAGTCCAGGGGTCCTATACCATGTGGGTATGGGACCCTCTCCAGGTTGCTCCTACAGTTCCAATCGCGGAGCTCATCTTGACCTTTGACCCTAAGGATCCATCCCTGGATCTGGTACTCAGACCGCAAGGAGACCTCTATACTTTGCCCCGAGTCCCCAAGGGGAGATGGGACAGGGTATAAATAAAGTTGACTTGACTTGATTATGCTTGACAACTGGTTGTGTTGATAAGTGGGCTCAGTGTGGCAAAGCATGGCCAGTCTTTCCCTTTAGTTCTTAAATGTGAATAGTTGGATACAGTTGTAGAAAATAAAACTAGTAACATTTATTGTGAGAGTCAATGCAGTATAATGACTTGATCATTAGATAGGGCACTCGGAGATGAGGGTTTGACTCCTTGCTTGGCCATGAAAACTCACTGGCCAAGTCACACTCCCTCAGCCTAGGAGGCCCTGGTGGTGCAGTGGGTTAAACCTTTGTGCCTGCAGGACTGCAGTTTCTCAAGTTGCTCCTGACATGAAAAAAAAAATACAGCCTCAGAGAGAGGTAAAGGGCAAACCTTTTCTGAACAAATTATGCCAATAAAGACTTGCTTAGAGGTCACCATAAGTCAGAAGGGACTTGAAAGCACAGAAAAACAACACAAAAATTATATTATGAATGAAAACCCTGAATTATTTCCACATCCCCAGCTCCCCAAACCTATTCAGTTCTTTACCCTGTCTCTAACTTCCCTGGCTGTTTCATTTTTTCCTATTTAATATTTTTAACAGACAAGTCTCTAGGCTATATGCCACAGAGGCTCCACTTCACAGCATTTTGAAGGAAGTGATTGGCTTGCCAAGGTTTTCACTTCATTCTATGCTATACCTCTTTTTTGTGGGATGTTGTGACAACATGCTTTCAACACAACTCAACATTATATATTTGGCAGAGCATTTCTATCCTTTGTCAGTGAATCTGATCCATCACAGGCCCCAAGATTCCTAACTGGACATGCTGTTCCTTACTAAATGATGGTTCTTTGGGCAAACAAAATGTTTGGTTCTGTGTTACACTGGATGGTGTATTTCTTGGTTCGTAATAAATTATATTCACTTTATACATCCATGTTTTAGAAAGAACAATTATACTGGTGGGTTATGCACTGAATCTGGGGGTGTGTGTGTGTTATGCAGTGGTGGGAAGATTTTCCCCCTTCTTGCCTTGTCTACAAGCCATTCAAGGGTAAATGATTTCACATCTTTCGGTTGCAAAATTATATTGTTTCTGGTGTTTCAGATCACAATATTTGACAGGGCTGGCTGGCTACCTTGGTTTTTCGGCACTGGAAACAACATAATTGCTTCCTCTCTTTTAGTATTTTTTGATGAATTTAATGTACTGTCTATCTTTGCAGGTTCATTGGCAACATGTTGAGACAATTGAGTTGGTGAATGATGGGTCAGGTCTGGGATTTGGGATAGTGGGTGGAAAATCAACTGGAGTAATCGTTAAAACCATTCTTCCAGGAGGAATAGCTGATCAGGTACACATACCCTACCATATTCCTGTTCTTGTTTATAGCATGAAGTGTTACAGATTTGCAATAGAAGTATTATCATTTAAGAAATCTTTCTTCTTGGGATAAAAAGGGGTGTGCTTGTTTGTTTTTTAAGGGAAAGTTTTCTTCATCGTAGTATATATATACCCCATCATAGACCAGAAGGTAGCACTCCAATCTATAAAAACCCTAGCCTGACTCAGTGTGGCAGACATTCAACATTGATAATTAGGGATACATATATTTCCTAAGAAATATTTAACATATCCTGTCTTTTTAGTGGCAGTTTTATCCTATTGATTTGAATTGCCTGGCAAGAAAAGAGGGTTGAAGGAAGAGAGAAATGCTGTTTCAGATTGTGGACTGTATCTATATGTGCATGCAGACACTCAGTATAATATTTATGGATATAGCTTATCTTTGTTATTATGAGCCTGAGACATTCTGCTTTTCCTCATAATACAGTGAGATTTAACCTTGCAGGCATGGAGTTTGCTCCTACTTTTGGTTGCTCTCTGCAGGCTGGTTTGAGCATGATGCTACGTGCAATACATGTCTCTTATTGCATTAAGGAGCTTGTTCCAAGGGCCTTTACTGCATGAGGGTGGTATCATGGCTAGTAGTTTTTCATATGTTCTGTTTTACTACCTTAATGTTATAACATAACCCCGTTGCTAATAAATAAATAAGTAATGCACACAGTATTATGCCACTATCCTTTTATAATAATAATCTCTTGCTAAGATGCAGGTGTAGTACATTTGGTTTCCTTATTTATGGCAATTCATTAATTCAGCTCTTCCTCATCCAGAATGGTAGGCTGTGCAGTGGAGACCACATCTTGAAAATTGGTGAGACAGATCTGAGTGGAATGAGCAGTGAGCAAGTAGCCCATGTGCTGAGGCAGTGTGGAAACAGAGTGAAACTGGTGATAGCCAGAGGTCCCATAGAAGAGCCTGCACCACCAGCGGTTCCTCCAGGGACACCAGTACAGACGTTCATGGTAGATAACCAGGTAATATCGGGCAACCTAAATTCAGGAAATGACACCAGCAGCAAGAACTCCAGTGGCAGTTCATTATTGAAAACAGGGAGTGCTTTTCTCTTACACCAAAGGAATGTAAAAGCAGTGTTTACAATTTTATATATATATATATATATATATATATATATATATATATATATATATATATTTAAAAGTCCCTCATAATCACCACCAGGAAAGTCTGCCTAGTGGGGACACTGGGGAGCCAGACGTACAAATATGCAAATAGTTTCTAACCCAGTAACCTCAGTGTGCCACTTGAAGGGTACTTTAACAGCAGCTGAGCAATCAGTGTGTTGCAACACCTCCCACTTACTCTGCGGCATCCCTTTCAGTCCAGCTGGATTATTAAAACAGTTCCTCCAATATGGCTTTCTTCTTCTGCTTCCCACATTTACCTCCTCATCCCCCGCATCCATTAGCCAGCTCCTTTCTGTGCCAGCCGGCACACAGCTGCAGCTCTTCACCTAGGTCAGCTGCCACAACTTCAGCTGCTGTGCATCATGTGCCAACTCCCCAGCTGCCATCTTCACTCCACACAGAACCTTTCATTTCTGTTTTGTCAATTCTGGCGATCTTCCTTTACTCTCTGCAAAATCTCCTTCTTTACGCAAACTCCACAACTCCCCTTGTGTTATTTTGTTTCTCTCTGTTAATCACAAATACTTTCTTCTCTAAATGTTTTGAGAAGAGACCAAGGAGGAGCATGGCTTGTAATATGAGAAATGAGATATGATTTGACAAAACATATTGGTGTATGCAAACAAAGAAATGTCAGAAATTGAAACTGTCCATATATTTCTGCCTTTCTTTGTGTCAAGCCTCGCAAGACTTTCAGCGTCCTGTGTTGATAATGCGACAGCTGTTTTTGCAGGATGCTTCAGTTAACTTGATTTTATTCATCCGAATGAGGTGCTTTTCATTGAAATTGTGCCTGATTCAAAATATAGAAACAAATAAAGGGACAAGAAAGGTATTATGCTCATTCTCTTCTGTTGGGGACATGGTTTATTTCAGTAACTTTCTATGTTTTTGCTTTGTTTTTTTATGTTCTGTTTTCAAGAGAAATCTCACAAACACAATTTGAACCACTCTTTCCTTAAGTGGCTTTTTTGTAGTAATTGCCTTTTAGTTTATATGTAATCCTTTCTATCTTTGAATTGCTATTTGATTATTTTGACTCCCAGGAGCAGTTTCCGGGATGAGTTTAAAGCAATGTTGTAGGTTTGTCTGCTGCATATCTGGGAAGTAAACATGAAAAAAATTATTATTATCATAGTCATCATCATCATTATTATTTGCTGTACAGGCAGTCCCTGAATTACAAACATGGACTTACAAAGAACTGTGTTGAGACAACAGGAAGTGAGAGAAATCTACCTTTCGCAGGGGAAATTCACTTCTGTAAGAGTTATCATAGGGGAAAGATGTCTCCACTGAAGCTTTATCACCAATCCTTGTTTCTACAACAAGTCAAATATTTCAAAATCTAATTATCACAGGAACAGAAAGTGAGATGAAATTCCCTGAACAGGCACAGAGACAGCAAAACAAACACCACAGGGGTATCAGTAGACTCTTCTCTGTTGACACCTTGTGCCTGCTTTTCTCTAGCACACAGAGTACTGGATCAAAGATTTTTTTTATTTTGCTCCAGGGATTATCATTGAACATTATTCATCTCAGAATCCTTACACTACCAGAAAAGTAGGGAAAGCTGTTTTAAACCAGTTCTCTTTCCTTCTTCAGCCCTCAGTGTCATTTCTCCACTGTTCTGGAAGCCCTTGCAATATTGCAGAGCAGATTTTATGCACACAAATGGCACCCCAAGGAAAAAGGAAACTTGCAGAAGAATGGCTCTATACATGTTTAACAAGTGCAGTTGAAGTGCAGCCATGAAACAAAGAGGCCAGATCCATACATGTGGTTAATTAATGGGCGTTTTATTGACATGACTTGCAGTCCAAACTATATGAAAGCCATCTGAGTATTGGAGAGGACAAACACCAATATTTATTTATTTATTTATTTATTTATTACTGCACTTGTAGACCGCCGTTCTCAGCCCTAGGGCGACTCACGGCGGTGTACAACATATAAAACCAGGTACAATTTACAACAAAAGCAATATCACATCAACAGTAAACAACAACACTATCAATAATACAGTTATACTAAATCATTCGCAACGTCTCATCATTGAATCACAATCCAAATCTCGTTATCCATGTTCCGTTCCAATCGTCATTGCCAATTGTTGCCGCACTTACTCAAACGCCTTCTCAAACAACCACGTCTTTAGTCCCTTGCGGAATGTCATGAGGGAGGGCGCCAGTCTGATGTCCGCAGGGAGGGTGTTCCACAGCCGGGGGGCCACCACCGAGAAGGCCCTGTCCCTCGTCCCCGCCAGGCGTGCCTGTGAGGCAGGCGGGATCGAGAGAAGGGCCTCCCCGGACGATCTCAAAGTCCTCGTGGGCTCATAGGCCGAGATGCGGTCAGACAGGTATTTTGGGCCGGAACCGTTTAGGGCTTTGTAGGCCAACACCAGCACCTTTAATTGGGCCCGGTAGCAGATCGGCAGCCAGTGGAGCTGGTACAACAAGGGCGTTGTATGCTCCCTGCGTCCCGCTCCTGTTAGTAACATGGCTGCCGCGCGCTGGACTAGCTGGAGCTTCCGGGCCGTCTTCAAGGGCAGCCCCACGTAGAGAGCGTTGCAGTAGTCAAGGCGGGATGTGACCAGAGCGTGTACTACCGTGGCCAAGTCAGACTTCCCAAGGTATGGGCGCAGCTGGCGCACGAGCCTGAGCTGTGCAAATGCTCCCCTGGTCACCGCTGAAACCTGGGGATCCAGGCTCAACGATGAATCCAGGATCACACCCAAGCTGCGAACCTGCGCCTTCAAGGGGAGTGCGACCCCATCCAGCACAGGCTGTAACCCTATACCCTGTTCGGCCTTGCGACTGACCAGGAGTACCTCTGTCTTGTCTGGATTCAATTTCAATTTGTTCGCCCCCATCCAGACCGTTACAGCGGCCAGGCACCGGTTCAGGACCTCGACAGCCTCCTTAGTAGCAGGTGGAAAGGAGTGACAGAGTTGGACATCATCTGCGTACAGATGACACCGCACCCCGCAACTCCGGATGATCTCACCCAGCGGCTTCATGTAGATATTAAACAGCATGGGGGACAGTATCGAGCAGCATATGGGTTTACTTGTGAGGGCCAGATGTCACCATGATGAACATCTCCTCATCATCCTGGTTGAATCGCCAGATCCTGAGCGGATACTCAATTTCCCTTTGCCAACAATTTTCAGAGGTGTTTTTCTAGTTCTTTCCTCTGAAAGATTGCCTTCAGCACCTGGTTTTCATTGGCAGTCTCCCATCCAAGAACTAACCAGAGTAGATCCTGTTAAACTTCCTATATTAGATAGGATATGATTAGAGTGATTAACGTCTGTTATAGCACTACCAAAATGCTTTTGGGGGCACTAGTGGAATTAGGCCTGCACAGACTGTAAATCTCCACCTTGCTCCAGAACACTCGAAAATCTTCTTCAGCAGGGTTTCACCACAGATAGAGTTGTAGTGGGAAGGAGGAATCGGAAATCCAGGTTGTGCTAAAAGCCATAGATTTTCACATGCTGGAGTTAGATAATATATTAGAAAAATAAAATGTTTTATACAATACTGGTATATCCCCCTTTTTGCAAGCTTTTGCAGGATCTGTGCTTCTGTTTTTAGTTGTTTTGTGTATTTCTTCATCTAAAGCTGTTCTGTTGCAGCTATATAAGGACAAGGAAGATTCCCAACCATATAAGTTCTGTTTAAACAATTTAAGTTTACTTTTTTAAGCTTTGAACTGAAAGTTTCAATATTTATTTGTGTTTCTTGCATATGTTCTCATAATTTTTAATTTTTAATATTCTTAAATGTATATTTTACTTTGAAACATTTCAGTAATAAAATAACAACAATTATAATTTTGACCCTTACCTTTACTTTGATTATATGATATAAAAGTGGTCAATGTTCTGTTAAAGTTTCAGATTTCTGAAACTTCAAGACACTGTTTTTATGACACTATAAAATTGTATGAAGAAAGATATATAAAAGACCTGAAATAAAAAAATAATGTTAACTTGTTTGAAGCTGTAGTGGTTTTTGCCAGAGTCATGCCCTCTGTTTAACCACCATCCAAGGTGTATTCTGACTAGTAATATTACCTGTATCCAATCTCTGTGATTGAATATTAAGGCATAGTTTGTTGATTCCGATAAAGACTACCTTTGAGAATCGTAACCATAAGTGGAGTCTTGGAGAACCTTCATTTGATCCTGCCACCCTGAGGCACATTTGAGAGGACATAAGAGAGAGCTTTCTTAGGTGGTCTCAACACTTACTGTACTTGATTTATCTGGAATTAAACTGCTCTAGAGATGCCCAAATGCAGCCCAGAAATGTTTCCAGTGCCCTTTGACTGTTGAAACAAATGGACAGCCAAGGATGCGTCAGGGCTGCTGCCAGCGCTGCTGCATTGCTGGCTACCAGGAGTTCTCTGGCAGAGCTTGTTGGCAACATCACATTTTGGTCACATGGCTGGGTGCCTTGGTGTGACTTCACCAGAAAGAACATTGTAGGCAAGCTTTTGGCAGGAAGCTGATTCTGGTTGGCAGCTCAGATGTTGCACATGGGCATGGTGGATCAGATGAGGGCTAGCCTCATCTAGCTGCGCTCTGAAATCACTGGAACTTCCTGGAAGCTCTGAAGTAAATCCCTCTCGAGCACCTGTGTCGAACTCAAGACCTATGGGCTGAATGTGGCCTGCCATGTCATTTATGTGGCCCTCCAGCTCCTGCAGTTCCTGTATTCCTCATAATTCGATATCCTGACTAGAGCTGTTGGCAGTTGTGATACACTAACAACACGAAGGCTGCAGTTCTGGTTAGTCAGAATTCTGGGGTTTGAATTTAGGTACAAGAAATGTGGATACGATGCCTGAATTTAAAATGTCCTTTAACCTGTCCCCAACCTCAGAGCCACAAGTGCTGTTGGGTTGCAATTCTCATTTGCCCAGTCATCATGGTGGGTCATCAAAATGATGTGAATTGACATCCAATAACACCTGGGAACCCAAATCGGGTAAAAAGTAAATAACACTGACCACTATGTAAAAATATACGTATAGTTGTCCCCCTGTATCCACAGATTCTCCTTCTCTGGATTCAATAGCCCTTTGAAGGCAAACATAAGGCTGATGTGGCCCTTGATGAAAATGAGTTGACACCTCTGATCTTGTGCCTTATTAATGGCTAGATGTAGTGCTTCTGATGTGAATCCATATGTGCATCATCTGTAATTCTTACATTATTTGAGGATGAGTCCACATTTAGGCCATGTAGACACAGACCTGGTAGCTGCTCGCAGGTTTTGGAACTCTTCTTTTAAGCTGGTCTTTCTTCTATAGTACTTCAGTTGGCAGGCAAAGACCCTTTTATTCAGACAAGCTTTTGCCAATTAACTGGTTACTGGGGAACAGACTTTCAGTGGGTGGGTGTTGCACTTTTTACATTATAATGGCTTTAAATGCTTCTAACTCCTCTGAGTTTTAATACTTGCTCAGTTAACAAGTTAAGTCTTATTAATTATTTTCAAACTCTGATAGCAAGTGATGTTGACCAACGTTGTGCCTTGTTAACAATTAACTGAATCACATATAATTTGCTGGATTTAACTAGTTATTTCCTATCTCTGAGAAAAGTGGGATATTGACCAACTAACCAGCATTTATTCTTTTCATAAAAGAGAGAGGAAGAGACACAAGTCGATACTGTTGCAGATGGAAACACTTTTGAAGTGACACTTACGAAAGACATCCAAGGATTAGGAATAACTATTGCTGGCTATATTGGAGACAAAACTTCAGGTAACGTCTGTAATCTTTACAGACTCCCCCCCCCCCCAACCTTTTTTCTCATTTTACTGAGATATTAGCAGAGCTTTTCAAATCACAATGTAAATGTATAAAAATAAAGAAAAATATGTGGAGTAACTTGTGAGGTTAATTACATATCTTTTTGAGTTCCAAATCTGGATTTCATTTTGGTGGCTGGTTTTAATTCATTGGATATGGCTACTCCTACTTTAATTGTGTTTCTGAATGGCAAGGCATTAGACTGGATAACCCTTGTGGTCTCTTCCAACTATGTGATTCTGTAATACTGTATGGAATTTAGGACGGATGATACTACTAAACTATTTTTCTTTCAAAGGTTCACATAAGCCAATAACCTTTGGTTCACTTGATCATAATATTTATAGCACGTGGCTATATGCACCAATACAAGGATAAAAAATACATGTTTTGAAAATATATGTTCTGTTTTTCCGAGAAGCCAGACTGATAGCATGTTTGTGTGCCTTCAAGTCACTTGTTGATGTATCGTGGCCCCATTCATTTTATAGAGTTTCCTTAGGAAAGGAATACTCAAAGGTGGTTTTATCAGTTCCTTCCTCTGAAATATAGCCTACAACAGCTGTTTTTCGTTGTATGTGCTTGTGTGTTAGAATATAATTTTGACTCATTAATGTGATTATTGAAGAAAATGTGACATCGTTGTGACTGCAGATAAAACATTATGCAAAATATGGTGGGGAGTCATAGTAGAATGTTGGCACACTGTGTTTGTGGACTCATTTCATAGAGGCTCACCTAGCAACAGCTGAAATGTAATTTTAATAATTTGACTTCCCTTTTTTATTTTACAGAACCCTCTGGGATTTTTGTGAAGAGTATCACAAAAGGCAGTGCAGTTGAGCATGATGGTAGAATCCAGGTTGGAGACCAAATTATTGCAGTGAGTAATAATGGGGGAGTGCTTTTATTGACTTTTTGGTTTTTTACTGTTACTAGCTTTTTATTTTACTATCCATTTTAATTGCCTCACTGACATATTGAAGATTAACAAATCACTGGGCCAAGATGGAATGTTTTCATGAGTTTCCAAGCTGAGCTTTATTTTGCTGACCAAAAAGAAAAAAAGAAAGAGTGACGTGTTCCAAAGTTTGCTCTCCATATGAAAAACTGGGAAATGGCCACTGCAATGCCACTCTTTAAAATGAAATCAAGAAAGAATCTGGGTCATTAATTTAGGTCATTACAGGCTTGTTAGCTTAACATGTGCTCTGGATAAATTGGTGGAATTGTTAAAGGTCAAATTACCAAGCATATAGAAAGACAAGTCTTATGGAAGAAGAATCAACATGGCTTTTGCAAAGGTTAAGTCCTGGTGCATAATGTTTTTAGAATTCTTTGAGAGCATTATGAAGCATGTGGCTAGGAATGATCCATTAGAAGACACTGTTGACTTAGACTTTCACAAAGCCTTTTACAGTGTTGCTCCCTAATGACGCCTGAGAAAACTGAGTATTTATGGAATAAGGGAAAAAGTCTCCTTGTGTGTTGCTAACTGGGTAAAGAAGAAAAACAAGGAAGCAGAAATAAATTGCCCATTCTCACCGTGTAGGGACATAAATATTCAGGTCCCGCAAACATATGTATTGGGACTGGTGCTTTGTGATTTCTTCATAAATAATCTGGAGCTAACATAGAGTATTGAGATGATCAGATTTTATGATGACAACAAATTACTTAATGTGATAGGAAGAAGAAGAGTTAGCAAAGAGATTGCAAAGAGCTAGTGGAAGTGGTCTTTAGAAACTGAATGAAAAATAATTAAATTGGTAGATGCAGTATATTTATGCCAGTATAAAGTGATGGATATTGGGATAGAAATTGCAAACTTTGCCTGATGGGGTCAGAGCTGATTGTGACTAAGCAGGAAAGGGATCTTGGGGACCATCTACACTGAGCAGGTTAGCCTGGTATAAATCTGGCCTGGAGCAACCCCAGATCTAAAACATTCATGCTGAATCCTGGGCTGCTGTTCATTCTTTCTGTAAACTACACATATCAGCTTTATTTATAGGCAGTCGAAATTTATATAACTATAAATGTGTGGTTTAGATTGGCCTCTTCTGATGCCTGCAATACTTTTGATGCACGTAAAGCTGCAGGGTCAAATCTGAATTGTAAGAAATGTTTCAGGAGATAATTGTCATGTTGCTCGTAGAGGTGTAAAGCACTTTTGCAAAACTGAAAATAAGTAAAAAACCTCATAATAAACATCCAATACAGGCAGTCCCCAAATTATAAACATCCGGCTTACAAATGACTCATAGTTAAAAATGAGGCTGAGACAACAGAAAGCGACAGAAATCTATCCTTCGGAAGGGGAACTCACTCCTGGCGAAAAGGTGACTTACATATAAAGTAAATTTAAGAACAAACCTATAGGCCCTGCCTTGTTCATAAATTGGGGACTGTTTGCCTCTGATTTAAGATAAAAAAATCCATTTTCTGTGCACATCTTCTAAAAATGGTTCCTTAAAATTTTTAAATCCGAGTTGCCTCATAAAGTCAATTTGGCATCAGCTTAATGATCAAATTATAATTGAGGAAACTATTTGCCACACAGTTCTAACTTCTGACATTGTTGGCAAAATACTACCCTTTTTATAAAATAAGAAGCAAATACTGTCAATTTAGACAGATACTAGAAATGAAGAAGTAGTACAGTTGGTTACCACGCAGTCACTTATAACATCATACTATTTATCCAAGAGTAGCAACCAACCAAGGAAGCTGTGATGCAAAATTTTATAGATTCTTTTTTTTTTTGCTCTTAAACCATATTTATGAATGGTATAAGTGGAATACATTTTTACTGGGTTGTAAATTATCAATCACAGTAAAGTAAAAGAGGAAACATCTAAGTTGCTGGAGACCAAATCAGATCTGACATTTTGCAAACATCTAAAGAGAAATTTGGCTGATTTTTAATTAGACAATTTTTGTATCCTACAGTGACCTACTGAAAATTAACATAAGTGTAATTCTTTAGGTGGATGGAACAAATCTTCAGGGTTTTACCAACCAGCAAGCAGTGGAAGTTTTGCGGTGCACGGGCCAGACAGTTGGACTCACATTGGTCAGGAGAGGCCTTAAACAGGAAATTCACATGCGGCCTCATGAGGACTTCAGTGGTGCTGTTGAAAAGGATATAATTTTTCAAATGATGGATATTGGCACAGGCAAAGGTAGTTGCAACTGGCTTTGATTCAAATTGTTGAATTTTATTTTCCTTTCTCCAGCATGTAAAATTGGGGGAAATGAACCAAATTCACCCTCAGAGTCTATATTCTATTTACATTGCAATTCATACAAGACTTTCCTATTTAAGAAAGATCTGCCCTGGTCTAGTTTTTATTTTATTTTCTCTGATGCTTAGTGCCAAAGAAAGTGTCAGTAGAAAGTTTGGTATTTAAAAGGTCAGGCAAAAATGTCTAAGAAAAGGAAATGAACACCGGAGATCACCCTGGTTCTGGACCTGTGTAACATGGAGAACTGCAGGGAAGGAACCAAATATATAGGTCCCAATGGGAGAGAACCAGAGTTTAATGTTGAGCACACAGTACTGTGACTAAGGATGTGGGGGCAGAACTAGCGGGTTTTATGGGTTCTTATTTCCTTTCTTTTCAACATCATAGAGTCATAGAGTTGGAAGACACCTCGTGGGCCCTCCAGTCCAATCCTCTGCCAAGAAGCTGGAAAATTGCATTCAAAACATCCCCAACAGATGGCCATCCAGCCTCTGTTTAAAAGCCTTCATAGAAGGAGCCTCCACCACACTTCGGGGTAGAGAGTTCAACTACTGAACAGCTCTCGCAGTTAGGAAGTTCTTCCTAATGTTCAGGTGGAATCTCCTTTCCTGTAGTTTGAAGCCATTGTTCCGCATCTTAGTCTCCAGGGCAGCAGAAAACAAGCTTGCCCCCTCCTCCCTATGACTTCCCCTCACATATTTATATATGACTATCATGTCTCCTTATAGGGCTTGTTCTGCGGGCCCTTGATCATTTTAGTCGCCTTCCCCTGGACATTTTAAACATCACTTGTGCAATGTTAGCATTGCTGGTTGCTTTGGGTGTTTGTAGGAATTTCCTCTATTTAACATGGAGTTTTTCCCCCTTACCCTACAGTCTATCTTGGGGAATTAGGTTATTGGCTTATGGTGGTCTGCAAATAGGCAGTCACTTGGCAGCTAGTAGTAGTAGAAATATAAGATTAATGTGAATACCTCTGACACTTGCTTGATGAAGGGAAGAAGTCTGAAACTTCCTCTGTAGGTCACAGAGTATGGGAAAAGAGACCATCCTTAAGGACTGGGTCTGGAGGATTGCACCCTCATTTGAAGTCACAAGATCTGGGAGATAGATTCCCAGGTTTGTCTTCCAGCAATGGATCATCCAGGGAGCTACTCAGTTATTGGATTGTCCTTGGGGTTCTGGTTTTCATAGGGTTAGTTGAGGGGAAGGTCTGATGTAGACACCCTGTTCTCACTTGCTCCTCAGTTTAATAGATTAATGAAATGGCCCTTATTCCACCAATCTCACGGTAAGTTGGTTTTTTGATGATAGGTAATATCTCAGTGGAAAAGAGCATTCTTTTATTAAAGAGCAAGACAGGTTTGATCCTAAGAATTTTTAGTATTTTTTATGTTATTACATAACAAGGGTGGAAAATCTCCCCCAAAACCTTGAAATGCATTTCTAGAATAAAATTATACTGCAGCTTAGTACATTTAAATTGCTTCCTTATTAAAAACAATCTTATGGTTATTTGTAAATCAATGGAGAAGAATAATAACATGATGCTTACACAGAAACGTATACTTCATCACAAGAATTATGTTGCTGGCCTAAAATCTGAGATTGAGACTGGAAACCTGTATATCTTCTTGATAACAATGGAATATCAACATAAGAGTGATCTGTTTGGAGAGTGACTTTTTCTTTGAAAGTTTAGCCTATGAAATTATAATTGACACTGGAATCCAAGGAAGCCCCTAGTGTAGCAAGTCCCAGAATTAAAAGACATAATAAAAATAATCACTTTTTACTACATTAAAAATGAATATTTTTATATTTGCGATTCACAAAGGTCTAACTTTGCTGACAGGTTTCCTTCTCTTTTAAAATAAAAATATAGGTCCTGTTTATTATAGAACAATCAGCATGGTTTACTCACCAGTTTTATTCTTCCACAGTCTTCAGCCTCACAGCCTTGCTGTTGAATAATGTTAGTTGCATGGAGTATAAATGTTGAAATACAGAATGATCATTAGTGCGCCTAATTTCTAGAATATCTGGAATATTTAATAGCAGTCGATCTTGTATTGTTACATGTGACAGATATTGTGAATGAAAGGGCTATAGATTATGGTATAATTAGCAACCCACATGTCTGTTCAGAACTGTTCAGTTCCATTGACTAAACAAGTATGGGATCGCTTGATGGCATAATGGGTGAAAGCCTTGTGCCAGCAGGACTGCTGACTGAAAGGTCAGTGGTCCAAATCCCAGGGAGCGGGGTGAGCTCCCATCTGTCATAGAATCATAGAGTTGGAAGAGACCTCATGGGCCATCCAGTCCAACCCCCTTCCAAGAAGCAGGAATATTGCATTCAAATCACCCCTGACAGATGGCCATCCAGCCTCTGTTTAAAAGCTTCCAAAGAAGGAGCCTCCACCACACTCCAGGGCAGAGAGTTCCACTGCTGAATGGCTCTCACAGTCAGGAAGTTTGTGGGGACATGAGAGAAGCCTACCACAGGATGGTAAAACATCCTGGCATCCCCTGGGTAACACCCTTGCAGATGGCCAATTCTCTTACACTAGAAGCAACTTGCCATTTCTCAAGTCGCTCCTGACACAGAAAAAATATATATAAATGTCTCTTCCATATCCCAGCCTTTTCTGTACATTAAAAATTACTTCATTTATTGTGTGTTATTTATTAAAGCACACACATAGTACTATAGTTGGAAAAAACACATCTTCAATCTGAACCAGGAGCCCTTGTCCAGTGAAAGCAGGGAAGCATATACCTTTCATTTTTGCAGAGCAGTGTTATGCCCAAAGCTGCTGAGGATATTCTTCTTCTTTTCCAGAAAGCTGTGAAAGAGAGCAGGAATCTCCATTAATGTCATGCAGTACCAGTGTGGTTCACATTGGAGAAGACATTAGTCCACAACAACCAGGTCCGAATTAATAATTTGTAGTTGCGTGTATCTTTTTCCTGTGGAACACACCGGCTTACATTCCTGACTTTGACCTTCTTTTTCTTTTCTTCTGTCCCCGTTTTTGTACATACACTCTCAAAAGTTGTTCCTCTGTCCCCAAAAGCTATGAAAAGGTGGTGTTTGAGGTGTAAGGCATAAATACCTATTCAAAGGGACATTCTGAAGTCATTTCTAAAAATTTTGGATACTTTCTTTTGGAATAAATAGTGTGCGCATTATTTAGACACTACGCTTAAAAAAATAATAAAGCAGAGGAACAATTTCAAAAATATTAACATGTATCTCCACTACATACTAATACTTACATTTGATCTTCTCTATGGTAGGTTTTGCTACTTTATTCTTGAGACATTCTAATTTTGATCTTTGATGTTGTAATAATTAGGGATAACTTTGCTTCCATCTAACAATAGCAGCAGTTCTCTTTATTCACATCTATACCCACTGGCAATATTTTCTAGATGGGTTTATTCTAAACACTTTTGATATACTGACTTTTATGTTCTCTCTCTTTATACTTTTATCTTGTAGTGCATTTAATAGTTTAAAGCTTACTAATTTTTTTATTCTGTATTGCATCTGTTCCGAATGTTCAATATGGAATGTCAAAATGTCTGTATGTTATATTTTTTACATATATTTGCTAATAATGGTGATATTTTATTCCTCCAGTGACATTACATGCCTAAAAGCTGGGAGACTGTAAAAAAATTGGGAGACTGTAAAATTGTGATTTTGTCTTTCAGTCATCTACACAAACTAAAAGTTAATTACTGTTAGTTCTGAAAATGGTCATTTTTATGGCCGTGAATTACTTTACAGGGGCCAGGAACCAGTTTTCTTCCCTTTGACTCAAGGACTTCTTACACTTTCGAGACAGACTTTGTTACAAATGGAGTTCATTGAAGTCCCTGAGGAGTTTCTCTGGGAATGGGAATGTTTTCCCTTGTTTTTGGAGTTTTTCTCTGCAGTTTGTGGGTAAAAATGCACATAAATTGTGCTTTTTAAAAGAAAATGTGGGTCTGGGTCTTTGGGGAAATTGTAAAGGGTCTCGGCAACTGCAAAAATTAAGCCCAGGGACCACATGGAGCACATAAGGATCATTTTGACCTTATATTATTAGATTGTGTTTAAACACACTAGACAACTAACATTTCAGCAGTATTTAAATATGGGTTGTTGTAGGTTTTTCGGGCTGTATGGCCATGTTCTAGAAGCATTCTCTCCTGATGTTTCGGCAGCATCTATAGCAGGCATCCTCAGAGGTTGTGAGGTCTGTTGGAAGCTAGGGTTTATATATATATGTAGAAATTCCCGGGTGGGAGAAAGAACCCTTGTCTGTTGAAGCTAGGTATGAATGTTTCAATTGGCCACCTTGATTAGCATTTGATGGACTGACTGTTTTTAGGTGTGGCTTGTTACTGTCTGGGGGAATCCTTTGCTGAGAGGTGATTGGTTGCTTTTTCTCTGGAGTTCCCCTGTGTTTGAGTGTTGTTCTTTATTTACAGTTATAGTTTTAGAGTGTTTAAAATACTGGTAGCCAGATTTTGTTCATTTTCATGGTTTCTTCCTTTCTGTTGAAATTGTCCACATGCTTGTGGATTTCAGTGGCTTCTCTCTGTAGTCTGACATGGTGGTTGTTAGAGCGGTCCAGCATTTCTGTGTTCTCAAATAATATGCTATGTCCAGGTTGGTTCATCAGGTGCTCTGCTATGGCTGACTTCTCTGGTTGAAGTAGTCTCCAGTGCTGTTCATGTTCCTTGATTCGTATTTGGGTGCTGTGTTTGGTGGTCCCTATGTACACTTGTTCACAGCTGCATGGTATATGGTAGACTCCTGCAGAGGTGAGAGAATCCCTCTTGTCCTTTGCTGAACATGGCATTTGTTGGATTTTCTTAGTGGGTCTATAGATAGTTTGTAGGTTGTGTTTTCTCATCAGCTTTTTTATGCGGTCAGTGGTTCCCCTGACGTATGCCAAGAAAGATGTATTTAAATACTTTACTAATACATCGGCTGAGACCGTCATTTTTGTGGCACAATCATTGTTCAGTATGAGGGGAAATCTATACCACATTGAACGGATTGGAAACCTCATATTGTTTTTTAATGAAACCATATTAATACACTTAAGGATCCACATATAACTGATTGCAGTATTCCATGTCATTACTTTTAAAATGAGTGCTGAATGTAATACATGGGCTTCTTATGTGAAGTACCACCAAGTGTTTACATATTTAGGGATTGTTACATATATACCAGGGCCCACTGGTGGTGCAGTGGGTTAAATCTCTGAGCTGCTGAACTTGCTGACCAAAAGGTTCAGATCTGGGGAGCTGGGTGAACTCTTGCTATTAGCCCAGCTCCTGCCAACCTAGCAGTTCAAAAACATGCAAATACGAGTAGATCAATAGGTACCGCTTTTGCGGGTGCTCCATGCAGTCATGCCAGCCACATGAGCTTTGAGGTGTCTATGGACAATGCTGGCTCTTTGGCTTAGAAATGGAGATGAGCACCACCCCGGGTCAGACACAAATAGACCTAATGTCAGAGGAAACCTTTATCTTTACCTTACATATATGCCATATACTTAAACACACATTGTAATAGTTCTTTTCCTTTTTCTTCACTGGCATGTTAATCATCCCATCCTTCTTTTTTCTTTGTATTGTTTTTAGTCCTACAGTAGGTACTTTAAATTATTTGGGATTACTGCTTTGCTTTGTTTTTTTGCAGCATTTGTTCACTGTTCTGCTGTATTTTCTGAAGAACCTTCACATTGTCTTCCTACAGGAGTGTACTTCTGTTTTTAGATGGGCTACATCTCACATTATTTCATGAAGTTGTGTTCTTTCACTGCCCTCTAGGGACCATGTCTTTATAGTATTGCCTGAAACTGAAGTCAGAAATTTTGAGTGGCAAAATCCCTAAGTCATTCAATTATAAAGAGAACATATTTATGTCTGGATCTTTTTTTAAAAAAGAGGAACCTTTTTAAAATACAAGTGCATTTGTTTTGTTTATTTTACGCAGTAAAGCAACAATTCTAAAGTCTATTAACATTACTAGGAAGGTTTTGGATGATATGACTACAACTTGTATATTAGATGTGCAGTTGTTTCTGCTGTGATGTTTCATGTCTAGTAAAAACTGAATACATACTAGTACTTAGTTGTAAAATGTTTTATTGTGTATAAGTGATGCATTAGTTACATTTTTAGAAATAAAAACCAGGTTCTTGTTCATAGCTTTGAGGGAGGGGAGGTGGGAGCTGAAAATTTATTACATGTTGTGCATCCTTTATCCAAAATTTCGAAGTCTGAAATACTTCAAATCCAAAATTGTCCATGTGGGTGGTTGAGATAATTATACCTTTTCCTTCTGATGGTTCAAATTTGTTGCATGCAAAAATATTAAAAATATTATATAAAATTTCTCTTCTGGCTATAGTTATAAGATATATATATATATATATAAAATGCATTACTTTCATGTTTGAACTTGGGTCCTGTCTTCAAGATATTTCTTTATGCATGTATATGCAAATGAAGGTATTAAAAAAACTGGTCCCAAGCATTTAAAATAAGGGATACTCAACCTGTCATACTTTCTGCTGTATCCTTTCAAGTCCAGCTCTTTATAGAAATATATATCTATCTATCTTGTATTTTTAAAGTATCGGAGCATTTTAAGATGGCAGATTAATAAAAAGTAATTTGGTGAACAATTGTAGCAAAGGAAGACAGAAGGTGCACGTAATTTCTGCATTCAGGGGAAGAGGAAGGTGCAGCAGAGGGTAGCCAGAGAGAAACCTAGTTATTCAGGAAGCTGGCTGAGCACAATTAGCATTCTTTGGAAGAGAGGAGATGAAAGAAGATCCTTGAGGTAATGCAGCTCTGAATTGAATAGCCGGAGTAAGTGCAAAAAAGGCTTATCCTTGAGGTGATACAGCTCTGAACTGAATAGCAGGTGCAGTTCTGAACTGAATAGTGCTAAAAGGCTGTTTAAGGTTGTTTCCAATACAAGGGATGCCAAATGAGATTTAAGGAATTCTCCTTAATACAGTCTCACCATAAACTGCTCATCTGGTGCGAGTCATTTTGAAAAGAACTACTTCGAAAGAACAAAAAAAGTTACCAACGATACTCAAATGCAATGTAGTTTGAGGAATACATCAGAATGGTCCCGCTTGTGTTGAAATTTCTATTTTTAATTTTCTTTTTTTTTTTTTTGCGAAGAATGAAATCCGATAAGGATAGATCCAATGTGTTCATGATACTGCCTTTTTGATAAACTGTGACAAATGCGAAATGGATGCAAATTCTAACACATCCTGTTTATGACATGATGATAAGACTGTTACATTTTTTTTCCTGTAGTTAACTATAAAACATTTTTTTAGGTTTTCAGATAACTTCCACAGATGAAGAAATGTCATTACATAACAAATGGCAGACAATTTTGGGAACAAATTATGAAGTTGTGGTAGGTAAAGTCAGTACCTCGCTGATTAACTCCCCCAGCCCCTGCTTGTTCAATGTTTTTCCTCTTTTCTTTTCTTGGATTTGTTGTATGAAAACTTTAGAAACAGTAAGATGATTTGTAAAGCAATCTAGGCAAATTATAAATAAAATGCTTGTTCCTTGAAACCCCCTAGATTGAAGCAATTTTTGGAATTGCATCATGTGTAAACAACACCGCATGTGTTAACTATATAAACATGTTTCTATCACTGCTCTGCACCATTTGAACATGTGGTAAGGAGACAAAGTTCGTTACATCGTTTATATGCAATAAATGCTTCAAACATAAGCTGTCCACAGTGATAAAAATGATGAAGAAACATTACACCAGTTCTATACTAGATATAATTTTAGCCTTGCAATTAGCCATCTTATGTACTTGGTATTGGTAGCCTTTGAAAACAGGGAATGAAAAGGATTTGACACATGGATTTGACACAGCTAATGGGAGTGATGGCTTCCTAACCTTCGTATCCAGCAAGAAAATCTAGGCTTCCAGTTTCCCTATAGCAGTGCTTCTTAACCTGGGGTCCCCAGATGTTTTTGGCCTTCAACTCCCAGAAATCCTAACAGCTGGTAAACTGGTTGGGATTTCTGGGAGTTGTAGGCCAAAAACATCTGGGGACCCCAGGTTGAGAACCACTGCCCTATAGCAAGCTTAGTTTAAGGTATTTTTTCTGCCATGAGTGAAAGGCAATATCATGGCTTTCCTTTCCATGTGCAGAAGCTAACCGGCGGTCATATGAATCTGAGTGCCGCTCTACTGGTGGTAGTAGAGATGTGAAAGTCCCAAAGGGAAAAGCTGTGGTTGTTGGAACCTGGAGATGTAGGGAACATGAAGGATTCTTGAATGCTTTGAAGGATTTGTTGGTGCATAGGGCTGGTGATTTAATCTAGTTCTTCGTTCCACAATGGATTAATAAAATGAAAGGCCCACTGAAACAGTTGCTCCCAAAGACCCAATCTGGTGTAGTGGAACCTGTCATTCCTTAGTTTATAGAAACTCATTGGGCAATGAAACAGATTGGGCAAAGCCAGAGTGAGGTAGCATAGAGCATGGAGCAAGTGTGATTTAGTATCAGTGAGGATTTTTCAATATGCCAATCATGTGTCAGTGACATTGGCCAACACCCCAGCCCCCCATTTTATTATGTTTCTACTGTCTTTCAAAGGGCTTTGGAGCAATTGGGATAGGGTTTAGAGAGGATAGGAGTGGAACCCTTGCAGGCATGCTATGATAAATTTGTTAGGAAGATAATGGTTTCTTTGTGTTCCTAATTTAATGGCACAGTTATCACAGACACTGAGTCCAGTGTGCTATCTGGTCAGTTATCATGAGTTCATATTCATTTGCTGCAGCCTGACGATGTGGATAAAACAAATGAATCAGTTTATTCCATCACATAGAAGCTTGATCCTTTCCTCTCTTTGCTGATAAAATCTGGCAGAAAGGCATTGATTGGCTGGATTCAGCAGTTGGTAAATGCTTCACTATGTCATCAACTGAACCACTATTCTATTTCTAATCTCCCCTTTTTGTGCAAGGTACTCAACTATGTGGTGATTTGGCAACTACAGATATTCTTGAGGGAAATGGAATAGCTGGCTGGACTTATTTTAGACTGCAGCTGGGGGCATGGTACTGAAATTGCTTTGGTTCCCTAACTTACAACTCATTTTGTATGAAAGACGGAGTCTATCCTTCCTTCAGGGTTTTAGGACTGCCTTTTGCTTCATGTTTGTTTCATGTTATTCCAAATATGGGCAAACTTTGGCCCTCCAGGTGTTTTGGACTTCAACTTCCACAATTCATAATAGCCTACTGGCTGTTAGGAATTGTGGGAGTTGAAGTCCAAAACACCTGGAGGGCCAATGATCAACAACAGCTCTGTTTCGCATCTGGCTGCCATTTTAAGTAACAGACTTTTCATTTGTGTTGTAGCAGATTGTGAAACACCGGATCTAAGAAGTTTAACTAGTTTCCTCTTCACTGGTGTTTTAAATTGTTTTGGTGTGCTTTGAAGCTGGTTTAGTTTTTCTCTCTCCTTTGAATCCTTGATGTTGGTTGCTGATTTCTCTGTGTTTATTACTTTTATTTGATTGCTTTGGAGGGCTTCAGTTAAAAGGGCCTAGAAGATGTTCAACATACATCACAGTAAATTTGTTCTAAATATCCAATGCATCCTATTTATTTAGGTATTGGCTACTTCTGTTTGAGGATGAGAATACTCCTTGTCTAGTTCCTGTGGCACACTTAGGAATTTATACCAAGTTCTGTGCTCCAGGCAATCCAGGGATTGTGTTTGCTGTGATGCTCTGAACATACATGACATTCAGGAGAGGGACAATTTACATCTCTAATTCATTGAATAGTACAGCTTTTCCTACACCTGGGGATTAGTAAACTTTAGAGGATTATATAGCCAGGGGTGCGTCTTGTGCATGCTTGACTGCTCCCAGAGGGTGACAGCCGATGTGCATGCAGTGTGGGTCCTGACAGTAGGAATCCTGGGCTTCTACATTGCATTGGAGACATTTCCGCTTTAGAATACTGTATTTGCTACCCATTGTTTCTGTAGCACTCACAAAGACTGACTTCTTGTGTAACAGGAAGCGCGGGACCTTTGATTGTATCATTTGTTCCATTTATTTTTCACTTTCTCCAACTACCTTTCATCTCTCAGGCAGCTGGAGCTGCAGCATCTGTTACCCTTTGCAAAAGAGAATAGGAAGTTACAGCTGGCTGCTCCCTTTCAGCTTACATTGTGATTCCATCTTGTTTTGATGTGAGAAATCAATGAGCGCGGATGATGTTTGAAAGGAGGGAACTTGTAGCTTAGAAGGAGAGCATCTGTGGCAAAATGTTATGGTTAACTGCTTTTAAGTCTACTGTTCCTTTGTCTATCAGTCTGAGTGCAGTTTTAAAAACAACCAGTTCTTTAGTGTTCTAAAGATTCATTATTTTTCCTCTTTCTAGGTAGCTCACGTGAACAAGTTTAGCGAAAGCAGCGGACTGGGGATAAGCTTAGAAGCTACAGTGGGACATCATTTCATCCGATCTGTTTTGCCAGAAGGGCCAGTTGGAAGATGTGGCAAGCTGTTCAGCGGAGATGAATTGCTGGAAGTATGAATAATCTGTGCCTTGTGTAGTCCCACTTCTTATAGGATTTTTTCCTCTTTTAAAATACTCTCCTTTTCAAAATTAGCACATATAGAATGAGATAGACCTCAGTTTAAAAAAAGCTTTATTACTTTAATAGATAATTTGGTTCCAGAAGGAGAAATGTCATAGAAAATATAAGGTTAGATTCGTATATCACACAAAGGAGCAGTTCAATATATTTCTGCAACCCTTTTATTCAAAACTAACAATATGCACATGTAAAATGAAACAGTCGGGTAAGGCTTGCATGAGTAATCAAAAAGCATTTTGAACTTTCTAGACACTTCTTGAACTTTATTACTCTTTATTGCATGTTTATTTCAGACTATTGCAACAATACTGAAGGTCTTTGTTTCTCCAGTCTTCCTTCACTATTTTTCCAGCATTGATGCTGCAATACACTTCTGTATAATACAGTAGTTCCCAACCTTAGGTCCTCCAGGTGTTTTAGACTTTAGTTCCCACCATTCATAACATCTGGTAAAATGGCTGAGATTTTGGGAGCTGAAGTCCAAAACAACTGGAAGACCAAAGGTTGGGAACCACTGATCTGGTAAGAGGATGTGGAGGAAAGGAGGGCCCATGAGAGCAGAAAAAGAATTTGTAAAAAAGAGTTTCTGTGTCAGAGGCTTTGTTAACTGAGATATGCTCATATTGCATATTTTGAAGAAGATACTTTTAGCAATTGTCTATATTTATTTCAACTAGAACAGAACAACCAGAACAGAATTAATTACTGAATGATAAGTCAATATTGGTGTAGCCCTCTGATTCAATAAGTGTACTGTGATTGGGAGTAGAATTTGTATTTTGACACTGCTGAATTTATTAACTATGATTTATATGTAGAATTTATGCACAACACTTGTTTCATTCATTGTGTATATGAGATGGCAATAATATTTTTAATTGAATTTGATAGATAATTTCCAAAAAATGTTTGAACGTTGCAACTTGCTTTGCTGTGGTATTTCTCCAGTGAGTTCAGGGCACACACATGTGATCTTGCTATAATAATATAAATAATAGTAATATAATAATAAATCTTTATTTATACTCTGCCCTATCTCGCCAGAGGGACTCAAGATGGATTCCAAACATAAAAGGCAAACATTCAATGCCCAAACACAACAACAATACACCCATAGTAACAAAATTTGGCAACCCAACATATAAAAACAAATTATGACTTAACAACAAAAATTAAAATTTAAAAAATGCAACCTGTTATATCAGACATAAGACAAAACATCAAGCATTGAACATAAGCATAAATTTCCCAGTTCCTTGGGGGCAAATAGATTGATCATTGCTCAAGATATCTGTTGAGCTATTGGAGCGAATAGGGCATGGATACAGATGGTAGCTATTAATCAGAAGTATACTGGTAGTATCTCCTCCTCCTCCTCTTCCGCCAGTGAGCAAAGGTATGACTTCAGCTGTTTCTTGAAGGCAGGGAGGGAGGAAACAATCTTTAACTTCTTAGGAAAGGAGTTCCAGTGGTGGGGGGTGGCCACAGAAAAGGCCCTTTCTCTCGTTCTCACCAATCATGCTGGTGCATACCATATTTTAGGAAGTCTCATTTATCGTTTCCTTTCTTATTTTTCTAAAATGTATTTTCTCTTGGCAGGTAAATGGAATATCATTGCTTGGAGAAAATCATAAGGATGTGGTAAATATTTTAAAAGAACTGCCCATCAAAGTCACAATGGTTTGTTGCCGTTCAGCTCCACCTGCAAAGAACCCAGCCTTGGAGGAGTCTCATATGATGGAACAGGTACATCTTATCAAAGACTTCATGTCTCAGTTGGTGTGGTCACTGAGATGCTCATTCATGCAATACAGTTTGAATTTTACCTCTTAACTTGTCTGTTCCTAGCTCTCCAATGACAAATGTAAGAAAGCCAGTGAATCCTCACTCTCTTTTCGCATTTAATCTTGTCTGGTGCTTCATACTGTGCTCATTTCAAGGCAGACATGTTTTCCTGTCTAGCAGAGAATCTGTGCTTTGACCATGCTTCTCAGTTGAGGGAATATGGGGTTTTCCAATAAGGATATGCACTGATATACATTGCAGATGGATTAATTGCAGCTTTGTGACTTCATTGGGAATATTTACATTCACTTGAGTAGGCAATCTGTTTTCCCCCCATTGGTTCATGGAATTATAGCAAAATACTTCAAGGGGTTTCCTGTCCAAATCCTTGAGGTAGCACTAGGTGTTCTCTTCACATGAACCACTGTATATTAATAAAAGTGCTCATCTCCCTTCTGTTATGACCCCCAGTAATGGGCCCCACTGGTTTTTAACACATTCCTTCCTATTGCCTAAAGATTCAGAGTGATCTAGGTATTGCTATTACTGGTTATTACTCATACAGAAGGAGCCCCCGGTGGTGCAGTGGGTTAAACCCCTGTGCCGGCAGGACTGAAGACCGACAGGTCACAGGTTCGAATCCAGGGAGAGGCAGATGAGCTCCCTCTATCAGCTCCAGCTCCTCAAGCGGGGACACGAGAGAAGCCTCCCACAAGGATGATAAAACATCAAATCACCCGGTCGTCCCCTGGGCAACATCCTTGCAGATGGCCGATTCTCTCACACCAGAAGCAACTTGCAGTTTCTCAGATTGTTCCTGACACGACAAAAAAAACAAACATATACAGAACATTATGTTGGTTGTTTTATAATATCCAGGAGATAATGTATAAGGCATAGCTGATGTAAATCAAAGCAGAAAAGTGTGATTGTTTTTACCTGAAGAGTTTCCAGTACTGACTGGGTCCATATCTAATACCTAGGGGGCTTCCTTTTTTCTCACACTTCCCATTTTTTAATTGTCTGAAATTTATGACAACATCACAAAGACCATCTCAATTTCCCTGCTCTTAAAAAAAGAACAAAACTTCAGAAATCTTAGCAGTAGTGTCTCACCTTCATATGGGACCCAGAATGGAATCTTAGTGACCTAGAGAGCCATCTTCCGTATTCTTGGTGAGCTGTATCCAAAAGAGCTCTGTGAGGCTGACCGTATTTCTGTTAGCAGTATTTTATTAGTGATATCTCAGGTGGGCCTCTCCCATTTTCATTCCTTTTCTTAAACTCAGGAATCTTACCAGCAATGATTAATTCCTCTCCTAGCCTCCTGTCTTTCTCTCCCTTGCCTCAGGAATTTTATCAACAATGCCTCCTTCACATTACACATTTATATTCCACATTATGATTCCACATCACCTGCTACAGCCTGTGGAATCCTAGGGTTTGGAGTTTAGAGAGACACTCTGGCTGAGAATTCAAAATATGTTTCAGTGTGCCTTCAATGGAGCAGCCCTCCATCATTTTGTGTGACTCACTTAAAGTCACTCATTGGATTTCCCTAGTTGAGTTGAATCAAATCCTGATCTGCAGAGTTGAATTTGACCCTGATCTCCACTACACCACGATGGCTCTAAATATGCCTCCTTAAACTGCAGACTCCAGGATTCCATAGGATGTTGCCATAGCAGTTATAGTTGAATCATGCCACAGTAATCATTTGGGGAGTTACAGCTCTAACTTCTAGCTGAATTATAGCAAAGCCGCTTCTTGTGCTTTTCCGAAGCTCCCTTTTTTTTAGAATGCCAGGGTCATTGTAATTTGGATAACAACAAAAACATGCTGTCAGATTTTGAAGTGTTTACTAAGAATTCTGATATACTTTGGCTGCCACTTATAGCCAGAAAATGGCTGTGTTTACAATGGCCAAAGAAAGTGGACCCACTCCTCAGTCTGTTTTCTTTGGCCTTTGTAGACTAACTGTTGCAAGAGTCTACATTACATATGGTTGATTTTAGAAAAGAAATGTTGCTTTCAGCCAGGAATGAAGAAAAAGGGGATAAAAATTTGCTCTGGAATTTCTAGGGTTCTCCAGAGTGAGCCTGGTATTTTTGAGACGTGAACAGCTGGATCCAGCCTGATCCAGAGCCCACATATTCAACTGATGTCATTGGCCAGAAGGAGCTCCCTCCCTCTTCTTTCTACTTCAAATATTAGATTGCATGAAAGAAAATTTTGTATTTCTTACTTTCCTCCATGCTCTGCATATTCAGCAGACTTGTGTGGCTAATCACTTCAGACAACAGAAAGATGAATGATGAATGAGAAACAGCAAATCACTTATGTTTTCTGTAATCCATCCTCTCAGTGTCCACAATAGCATTTAGTCTATGGTTCTTCATGGGAATACTTTGCCATTCCAGGGTCAATTGAGCTGGATCAGAATCATCCTGGTTGAATGTGTCTTACATTTAGTTCTTAATTCTTGTAAGTTTTTTGGAAATACATCTTCAATGTATAGACATGAAAACATGAGCTTTACTACTAGGTATCTGGAGGCCACACATTCCCCTCATTGGAGCTTTCAGAGTCACCTACATGATGCCCCACCTTGTACTTTTCCAAAATAGCAAGTGATCTCAAATCACTTCTGGTTCTGGTTCCTCCTAAACCAAAAGAGTCAAAATAGAGCAAAAATATAACAAAGAGAACATGTGAGCATTGAGAGTAATCTTAAAATAATTAAAGGTCTATTTGTGAGGTGTTGGTGGTAGGGATGGCTTTCAGAAGTCATAAAATGATACTGGAAAATGTAGATGGCTTTACCTCTGCATTAAAGTAATACTGTTTAATCCTTTGCTTGCCACAGAATTTATAATGCTTTGTAAAAAAATCTTACAGTTGGTATTAGCAACAATTCAGAAAGAAAGAAACCTTTCTAGCAATAATATGTGTGATAGATATTACAAATAATTTTAGCAGCATAATGTTCACGGTTTTAGTTATAAAAGTAATTTTGTTTGATTTTCATAGTCTCATATAGATCTTGGTGGACTGCCTGGCTCTTCAGAGACAGAGGACACTAACTTGGAAATGCCTGATATGAGCCAGAATACAGATGAAGCTCAAGGATCGTCTTTGGCAATGTGGGAAACGGAAGTACAGAAAATTGAATTAGAGAAAGGGAGCATGGGACTAGGTTTTAGCATATTAGATTACCAGGTAATTTATGCACTGCTTATTTTTACTGGAAGAAAAAGAAATATTTTGAAACAATGTTTTATTTATTCTCTCAGAAGCAAATTGAGAATGCAGTTATAATGTATAGAAAAACCACAAACAAAGTTGAAAACTTGGCATTGTACTAAATTTCCTTTGACCAGAAGCTGGCCACTTGGAGTGCTTCTGGTGTCACTGTGGGAAGGTCCTCCATTGTGCATGTGGCTGGGCCCAGACTGCATTGTAGTAAGTGGTCAGTGGTTTGTTCTTCTCCGCACTCACATGTCGTGGACTCCGCTTTGTAGTGCCATTTCTTAAGGTTAGCTCTGCATCTTGTGGTGCCAGAGCGCAGTCTGTTTGGCGCCTTCCAAGTTGCCCAGTATTCCGTGTGCCCAGGAGGGAGTTTCTCATTTGGTATCAGCCCCTGATTGAGGTTCCGGGTTTTAACCTGCCACTTTTGGACTCTCACTTGCTGAGGTGTTCCTGGGAGTATCTATGTAGGTATTAGGAAGCTGTTTCTTGATTTAAGACATTGGCTTGCCGGAGATGTCAATGCCTCAGTTCTTTCATTACAGGCTGCTACTTCCCGACCGATGTCAGATGGTGCAATACCAGCTTAACAGTATAATTTCTCCAGTGGTGTAGGGGGTAGCCACCCTGTGATAATCTGGCATGTCTCATTAAGAGCCACATCTACTGTTTTAACATGGTGAGATATATTCCACACTAGACATTCGTATTCAGCAGCAGAGTAGCAAAGTGCAAAGGCAGATGTGTTCACTGTGTGTGTCCCGCAGGATAGTAACACATTCAGGCATCCCCTGGGCAATGTCTTTGTAGACAGCTGATTCTCTCACACCAGAAGTGATTTGAAACCATGGAAAACCTTGACATTACTGGTAGACATGTTACTTTGAGTAAACATGCCTGCTAATTTGATTTTATGGGCCTTCATTTTATGCAACTGATCTTTTCTTCTAAATTGGTTTGATGTTTGTTGTAGCCATATAACACTAAACTACAAATATATACACTAATTAATTTGAAAAGTGGATCTCCAGCTTCCCTTTTGTTGGTTTCTCTATAATTTAACATTTTTAATTCCACTTGAAACTAGCATGCTATCTCTGTAATGAGATTTGAGTAGGGTTCCCACTGTGGAAGTAAAGCTGGGAAGGAGCTTGGCATTCCTTGTGCTTTTCTTACATCCCCAATGAATATTTCAGTGTTGCTGTTTGCACTGAAATTAATATTATTTCTTTAAGCAATTAGATAATGAGCAAATATATGGCATTGTGCATGTAAATGGAAGGGTAGGAGACATGGACAGAATTTCACACTGCTGAAATAACTGACTTGCGATGTGATAGGTATGTGGCCTTCTTACACCATAGATGGAAACAATGCAAATGTTCTTACAAACAGAACTATATATTCCATGTATTAATACCCCCACACAACTGCTTTTTCTTATATTAGGCTAGCTTGGCCATCAGACATACAAGACAAATCTCAGGGTGTAACATGCTATATCTCAGTGCATCATCAGTCATGGTAAAAATCTAACTATGCAAAGTTGCTCTTAGAACTTAAAATAATGATAAAAATATGAAAACTTGTCCATTGGCTGGGAAGTTCTCCCATATTAAAAATATGGCAAGAAGAGATTAAGGAACCTATCACACTACAGCAGTCAAGAACTATATTCTACTTTAACTACCATGGCAACAAGCTGTGGAGCTGTGGAGTTTGTAGTTTAGTGAAACCCAAAGCGCCTGGAAACTCAGGATTCCATACAATGTTGCCATAGCAGTTAAAGTGGATTAAACAATCAGCTCTTTTCTTTCATGGGGCTAGGGGCTGTGGACCCCTATGAAAGTGGAAAAGTCACAGATATCTCTAGACCCTCAAATCATATTTAACACACACACACATACTGGTTTCTACACTTATATATTTATTTTATTCATCTCCCACCTTTCTTGCAAATGGGACTCAGAACAGCTTACATCAGCTAGATTAAAAAGTATTGTCTTAAATTGGCATCTCCAGCTGTGATGTAATATCCTAGAATTGTGGAATTCAGGTTTAATGTTTCATTGTACACAAAAGTGATGTTTATAACTTGGCAGCAATTACATCAGTATTCCTTGTGAATTCCTGAAAGGAGTATATCAGCTACACATGTAGACCTGGCTGCTCAGTTAGTAGGAATGAACTCATGAGACTGGACGTTATGGAGATGCCAAATGTTTTGTAAAATGTTTGAACAGAGAAGCTTTTCATTTCCCATGAAGTAAAAACAATTTTTTTTATTCTTTATGAGTTTTAAAAAAGTATATGTAATCGGACGATTGAGAGGGTAAATTGGGAGTTTTATCCTCAATACAGTTTTTAAAAATATTAAATTTATCCTTTTTTGACATTTATACTACAGTATGTGCTTCTTAGATTTACTTAAATATATGTGCTAAACTGCTGCTCTAAGCATAAGAGTCAAATGATACTATATTTCAGCTAGGTTCTTCTGATATCACATGATGGGATACAATTCTCTATGTTCATTATGGGGAGGGGTGCATGCTACCATTAGTTGACTGTTGTCTAAATTTTTCAATCTTTTAGCATGCTACATGTTCTCTATGCAGTTATATACATCACCAACCCACATACATATCTGAGGAAATATTATTCTATTGTGCACCATATGTAATATTTGTTGGCACTCTTATGTCCTACGCTGCAGAACAAATTGAAATAATATAGATGACCCATGTGTGTTTGAGAGTTGTGCACTAGTAATACAATGCTTTCCTTATTTTGATTTTATGAGAAAGAACAAACAATTTTAAAGCTGTTCCTCAACTACATGGAATCATGAGATATTTTTGCATATTTTTTGCATCTTGGGGCTTTTTAGTGAAAATGTAGTTTTTAAAGTAAAACACATTGTTTGGAAGGGGCAGTTAGCACATTATATATACAGTGTAGAAAAGGGTATACTGTATAAATATTTTTCCCAAAATGTCCCAAAATGTTTTTTTAAAAAGTGTGGTTGCCTGTTTTTCTTTAGGGTGCCTCAGTATGTTGAAATCCCCTTTCTCACTGAAAATAGGAAACATATTATTCTGCAAGTATTCTTTATGTGCATAGTGTATGCATACTTGCTGTTATCTTCCATACAAATGTACACTTCTGTTAATTCCAGCATTATGGTTTGAAAGTGATTTCTATTTTCTTACATAAGCAAAACTTGCTTGCAGTCTATTTTTTTTTTACAATTTGAGAATTAATTAAAGCTGATTTTCCTTACTTTCCCCCATATTGAAAAGGACCCAATGGATCCTGCAAACACCGTGATTGTGATCCGCTCTCTTGTTCCTGGTGGTGTTGCTGAAGAAGATGGCAGACTTCTCCCAGGAGACAGGCTCATGTTTGTCAATGACATCAACCTGGAAAATGGCAGCCTGGAGGAAGCTGTGCAGGCCCTGAAAGGAGCACCAATGGGAAGAGTTGGAATTGGAGTCGCTAAACCATTGCCTGTAAGGATGTTAGCTTTATGTATTTTGGTTACAAAGAAATCAGTCAGAAGTGTCCACATGTGCATGAACTCCATGTATTTGCTCAGCAGCTGATAGCAAAGAGTTGAATAGCTTGTTCGATGTGATGATATAGTACATGCTCTATCTTTGGTTTTGTACTCCAAGGGTTAGGTCATGGAGGTGCAAGTTCTCATTTGATCCATCAAGCGATGAACATGTACCTTTTAACCAGTATCTGCCATCTGCAGAAAGATTTTGTGCCTGTCCTTCAGGAAACTTTCTGAACCAGTCAGCAACAGTTTTGATGTGTTTTAGGAATATATTACATCATACAGAGAAAAGTGAAAAAGGGAGCCCAGAACCCTCATTTTCTTGGAAAGAATAAAATTTTGTGGTGCTCCATTTAAAATGAAGTCAAACTTGCTTGCTTTCTTTCTCCATAGCCTAAAGTGCATAGATATTCTTATACCAAAGCCCAGAATATATTAATTTTCCAGTTGTTCCCCTACAAACATAAGTTTCTCCTGTTTGTGCTCTAACAGTTGGATAGATCACTTTCTTAAATCCGTTTTATATGTGCAGAAAGGGATTAATTGTACTGTTGGCACTCCTTTCCCCAGTTTTACAAAATGCCTGGAAATTTTACACTTCCCAGCTGGCAACATTGTACTCATAGTGGGCAAAATTTATCTGATTTGGGGCCCTGTTTCTGCTAATGAATGCAATTGATTAATAAGAAAATAGATTTGCCTTCTAGTTTAAGAGCTGAAGGTTTAGGAGGTTGTGTTTTTTCTTGTTGTGAATATATGTATGTTGTGTATATTTTGCGGCTGAGTCCTGTTTGAGTTCTTTTCTACAAGTGTTGATTGTTGCTTTCTGTATTTTACATACTGAAGAGAGCAGGTCTTCCTTCTAATGGGATAGGTCAATTTCGTTAAACAGACATTGTTTTTACATGCATTTAATGGGCTGCTTATCAAACACGTTTGCATTCAGTAATACCAAAACATAAAGTAAATTGTTGATTTAGCTATTAAAAAGTATATTTAGATGGTTTCCCCCTCCCCTGTCTCTAAAATAAAGTTAAAAATAGCAAGTGGCTATAATAATCATTGTACAGTAATGGACTTTTATTTTAATAGGAGTGGTAAAAAATAATGTGAAGAGGTTTGAAAAAATGCATCTTTTGTTTCTTTTGTTTCTAATAAACAAAATATGTATTTTTTAGAACTTCTTGTAAGTTCTTGTTGAAATTTGTAATACTGTCAGGGAAAACAGCATTTGTGGCAAGTTTGTGACCATTTACATTCCAGTGACTTATAGATAGATCCATAAGTCAATTAAGTATAAGTACAGTAAAGCTAGTTTACACCTCACTCCAAGCACCCCTTGGATTAGACTGAAGATCTATCTAGTTTAGCAGTACGTTCCCACAATGGCGAGATATGTCTTCGGAATCCCACAAGTTAAATGGTACTGTCGTACTTTTATGTTCCAGGAATTGGCATTCAGAAACATATTGCTATTGATAATAGTGTTCATAAATAGTCATTATGAGTAGTATCTATTGATGGCCTTGACCTCCATGGCATATTTACAGTCAGTTTAATTGAGGAGGAACCAGTAAGTGAGACTGACATCGATGGCACTAAATAGGCATTAATCCAATTTCTTCGGCTTAACTACATTAAGAATCAGACTCTTTAGTGTGAAGGGAAAATATAAAGGGGCAAATACAAATTGTCATCTGGGCAAGAAAAAGATTCCAAATTTGCAGGTGTCCTCATCTGAGTATCAGAGTTTAATATTTCAGATTCAAGAGTGCCATCAATGCATTTTTTTCTTCAGCCTTGTAAGTTTTTACAGAGACAAAGGACAATAATATGATATTTAGCATATCATGTTAATTCATCAAAAATTTCCTTGACATTATGCAACGCTGCATTTTTGAACGCTGGCCATCACTCAACTCAAAAGAGCTTCATTCTTTCTGCAGCTTTCACCAGAAGAGGGCTATGTTTCTGCTAAGGAAGATTCCCTTTTCTACACTGCCCAGTCCTTTGAGGAGGAAGGGCTAGCTGATTCAGCCCTCTTCCATGCTGAGCTGGCTCTGGTTAGTGGCCACTTCCTTACCATGATAATGCTTGAAAACCCTTTTAATCTGTTTTTTGATACTAAGCAACATTTTGTCTGACAGTAATGCAGGAACAGTCTTTGTTGAAATGTAAAAACATAATTAAGTAGTTAATGTAACCTTCTTTCTAAATGCTTAAGATTATTGCTTTTTTTGGATAGGTGATACCAGAAAATGTTCTTATAGTTCATCAATTTCATTTTATCTGCAGGAAAATGAGAGCATATTTCGGATTAGATTTCCAAAACATGCAGTTCTAAGGACATTATCCCATTTTGAAAAACTCGTTTCTTCATAGATGAATGTTAGATACTGTAGCTGAGTGAGCAAGATAATTATCTTTGAAGTAGATTTGTCTGCCCTTGAAAATAATGGGAAAAATCTACAGTATAATGTTAAACAATCTTTAAACAATCTTTTAAAACCGACATGAGACATGGAGAAATAGTTTTTCATGAATTCAGTACAGCTCTTATCAGCAGATTCAGGATAAAGTAATGCCTTTCCTCCCAGAGTCCTCTCTATCATCCTAAGATCATTTCCAACGTACCGGAGCAGGTATAATAGGTTGCAGGAGCTGAATGGAAAGGAATCACCTCTTGGATCCAATGACAAAGCTTCTTCCATCTGTCAGTGCACCTGATTGGATCTTGGGTACTGTGTCTGCATCTAACAGTATTGTAATCCCCAACGATTCTTTGGATTAAGTCATAACTCTTAAAACTACAATGAGAGATTAAGGTTTCATTATTTTGAATAGTGTGTTTCTGGCAAAATTGTTTGCAGCTAGTAAAGATACCTCAGGACTAGGGAGGAATTGCAGATAAAGATATCAAAACCCAATGTCTGTGATTTCTCATACCCAGAGCATTATTTAGAACTTCTGTGGTCTACTTACACTGAGACTTTTGAGCTTGAGGTTCCTACCACCACTGCCTCATTGGGTTAGTCTGCATAAACAGCATTATATTACATTATCTAAGTAGCTGTGAAGACTATTTCCATGCCAACCCTCATTCTTGTCCCTGTGATATTATCCCCATTTTACAGGTATGAGTTGTAATAACATCTCATGCCTTGGGTACATACACACACAAATATAGGTGACTTCAAAAACCACTATACTAGACACTAGCTATTTCCTCAGTTACATTCATTGGCCAACCAAAATGCAGAAAATACATAATGTAAGTTACCAAACTTTATTGATACTCAGAAGTTTACTTTATAAAAAATGTGAAAGCTGAGTTTTTCAAATTATAAAGATGTATGCTGTGTAATTAAATCCAGTATTTGAACATCACATGGAATACCCTTCTGCTAAAAGCACCTTAATTTACAGAAATGGCTGTGAGTTCATTTAACTATACAAATGCATAGGAACTATGCAAAAGTGCTGAGGTACACCCATTTTGGAGAAGTTCTGGGCAAATTTGATTCATATTTTTGTTCAATGTGTTCTGACTATCATTTAACCAAGTAGGAATTTGGAATTGTCTGCATGGAATGAAATTGAATTTTTCACCTTACTTACTTATTATAGGAGCAGGATTACAGTTTTACTGTTTACATTGTGAAACATTAATTTGATAGCAGGAAGGTACATAGCCCTTAGATGTTTTAGCAGAATTATATGAAACACTGATCTACAGTATGTCTTAGCTAACATGAACTAATATAGTGATCTCTACATTTTTGAAAGAAATATTGTAAGATTGTAAATTACTTGGAATCTTAGTATAAATATGTAAAACACATAGCACAAGTTGAACATTTATTATCTAGAATTCCAATATTTGAAATACTCCAAAATAGTCAACATAGGTATTGAGATTGCTTTCTGGTGGTTCAATGTACCAAAAAAAAAAAATGTTTAAAGCACAAATTTATTACAAATGTTGTGGATCAATGTATTTTCAGACTATATGTATGGGATGTATATGAAACATAAATATATTCATGTTAAGACATTGATTCTATCTCCCAAAAAATTCATTATGCGCGTGCATGCAAATACAGGTATTACAAAATCCAAAAAGAATTCAAAATCCAAAACACTTTTGGTTCCAATCATGACACAGAAGGGATTCACAGTCTGTATCATTTTAAAATAAATCTAATTTGAGCAGCATGATATTCAACACTGCAGCATGAAAGAGATTTTTGTTTTCTGAGTTAGAAAATTGCAAGAAATGAAACCATTTTTTCTAGCATCAAATACAGCCTAAAATTTGATATACTTGCAAATTGAGTTGCAAATTACATTCTCAGCTCCTGTGCCATTTTGCAGGTACAGGCATAAAGATGAAAATGGAAATAGACTTATTGCATGCCAAATACTTTTCACTGAGGGAATTGAAAAGAAAAAAAAATTACGAAGCAAAGAAGCAGGAAGTATTATGCCGCAGATGCAAATGTTTGAGGCTTAAGTGATACGAAGGTTGCAGATAGCCACAGACTGATTAAATTGCCTTTGCTATTAGGTGGACTCAAGTGAGGCAGATCTAGCGGAGGAATCCACCTTTGAATCACAGTATTCTCCAGACAATGATGCTACATTCCAGTCTCCAGTTTCAGCTCTACATGGCAGCACCTCTGTTGATGATCTGAAGTATAATTCCTCTTCAACTCCCAAGGTAAAAAGCAAAAATGTTCATTTGAGTGATGGTGATAAAGCAACTGTTGTAAAAATGTTTGACTGGCTATTATATTGGATATAGAGTCAATAATGTTGCTACGGTTGCTTCCATCTGTTCATGGGTTTGTTATTAGATTAAAGCGCAATTTCATTTAAATAGGAGTGTTGATTGAACGGGTTTCAGACTTTCCGAAACAAACCATTCCACTGTCCAGATAGATTTTGTATTTTTAGAAAGAAAATAAATGTTTGAGTGCTCAATTTTTTTAAAAAAAAGTTAAAATGAACCTATAAAGACATATTTGTAAAAATGGTTTATATAAGATCTAGAGAAGTAATTCATAACAGTATAGCAATGAAAAACATACTGATTTTCTCAGTTTCTCAGTTTTAACTAGAAAATTACTTACTATGTGCTTCGTTGATAAATGGCCTCTTAAAATGATAATAAGATTAAATTGGCACAAAAGAGCATCAAAATGTTGGAATTTTATTAGATCAATCAATAAAAAACTATATCTTTGAAAATATTGATTTCATACCCATATACAATTCATTTCTTTAGCTTGATGGTGTCTTTTATTTCCTCTCCCATGTTAGTTTTTCCTTTCCATTTCTTGGTAACCTGTTGGGTTTTTTCCCCCCTTTTTTTAAAAAAAGGCTTGGATTATTCCATGTGCTGTCTTTAATCACTCATGGTGGGTCCAGCTTCATCAAGTTGATTCATTTTCTTTGGGTGGCTTGCACTGTGTATTCATGAAAAGAGAGGCATCCCTTCGTTCACACCTGAGATTCACCAGCTGGCTGTATCCCTTCTGGAATGTATTTCAGCCCTATTGGTCATGGAGCTGACAGCCGGAGTTTATCTCCTAATAGAATTTCCTAATCCACAACAGAATGTACCTTTGCTGTGCCAATGAGACAGATTGCATTGTTTAACTTAGTAATTGTTACTTAAAAGGATTAGGAAGAGGGCATGCTGGGAAATGATCATTCTGCAACACATCTGGTCTTATCGAAGATGTCACATTGGCATTCCTGCAACCCTCTCTCTTCTTTCTATGTAGGATGATCACAGTTAAAATGGTCACACTCTGACATGTTAGTATTTTATTTTTTGCTCGGTTGAAATGAACATGGAACCATGTAGTTCTTTGTCTGTTATCCAGTTACCTCCATGTGATCATGATGAGATTTTCTTGTTCTCCTATAAGAGCTAAAGAGTATGTGAAGCAGGGAATAGCTTTACTTTAGAAGAACATGAAATGAATTTGTTCAGACTTTGAGAGAAAAGCAGCAACAATGTCTGAAATGTTAGTGGAGCTCTGGGCTAGTATAAATAAACTGGCATAAGCAGCATCTATGTAGGCATTGTAAGAGTAGCTAGCTTGGAGTTAGAAAATGTGTTCTCTCTCCTCATAACTATTGCAGGCCCCCTGAACGTCAAATTTGGGTTTTGTCCATAACCAGTAGCCCATTGCATTCTTCTTCTTCTTGTTGTTGTTATATTTTTGTCATCTGCCTCTCCTTATGACACAACACTGTAAAAATACATCATCATAATGCATATATTAAAACATATTTCTATAAAATACATATATTAAAATACATGGAGCAAAGATTTAAATACAGTAGATGTAGATTGTGAATGTAAAATTCATAGTTAAAAGTTGACTAGGTAGTCCTGCAAGAAGAGATAGGTCTTCAATTGTATCTTAAATTATGACCGCCACAGTCCATAGGGTTTAAAAAGAAAAACACTGGTTTATCATATATTATTTAGATGGATGTTTGTTTTGTAATACTACCAATACTTGCAAAATGTCCAAAACCAAAATACAGAAAACCCCAACCAGATCTATTGTTCAGGTTTTAGTGGTGCTGTTCTGGAACTGCAAATGTTTACCAGTGGAACCAGAAAGAGTCTTCCTTCTGACACCCTTCACCCTTCCCAATCTGATCCAGAAGACTGGAAAACCTCCACAGCAAAATTTTGCGTGGTGCAAGGGGCTCTAGGAAGAAGGAGAGCAGGGAAAAGACCAGTTGCTTATTGGGGAAAATACTGTAATTTATTTCCATAATACTGTACTGTAACTTATTTCAGATGCAGTGCATTGAGAGAATAATTTCGGAATATTAAAGCCATTATGGGTTCAAAAATATGTGTGTGGTGTAGTGTCATTATTGCTTGGTTTGCAAACTGACTTCAGTAGGAGTTGATTCCAGCTAGTCCAGGATAAATATTATAGGTTGGCATAGTAGATGCTGTTCAGACAGTTGTCTGAAGTATCTCTTCTTCATTATGAGATTTCAGTTAATTCTGTTATGCTGATTAGAAACATTTAACTTTGCTCAATTTACTTCTCACGTTCTTGCTGGAACAATAATGTTTTCATTCTTTTGGAAGCTTTCTAAAAAATTTTTTTACTACTACTACACTTTTTCCAATTACTTGGGATTCATTGTATGGAATAGCCCATCTGTAAAGTCTTTCATTGTCAATGCCGAGTCAATGCAGCTTTGATATAAAGTTTATTTCTTAGTTTGAGATGTACAACACAAGGGCATTTGTGTTTTGTAAAATTGTGATATTGTATCATTTTCATTTTGAGAAATGGTATCTTTCAAATGGCAATGAAAAATGTGTAATCAGAAACTCATACTAAGGTGTACATATGTCTATATTTCATTCATTCATTCACTTGAAATTACCTAATAATACATTTTGTAATGGCTGGTTTAAAATACAGGCTTGATAAAGCGGTGTATTTCTGCTGATGCAACTGCATCCCTTGTGCACCCACAAAACCCACTCCACTGTGCTATGAAATCCGGAGTAAGTTTTTGATGATCCTAGGGGGTCTGCAGCTACCAGGAGAGGGAGTCCTGTTGCCCTAGCATGCTTACTTCGTCTACACTATTTTAAATGTTAGGCACGATAATGGAACAGTTTTGTTCACTGGCTGCTCCTTTGTCTTGCAAAATATCTATAAAAAGTTATTGATCAGTATTGTCCCCTGTGCAATTTTAAAATATTTTTCCTGAATTTTGCCTATTTACAGTAAGTAGTTTTTTCTATTTTTAAAAAAACAACAGATGAAGTTTTAAAAATCAATTTTATTTTGTTTCCTTTCTAACTTGCATTTTCTGATTCATGTTCTTCATATACAAATACTCCTTTTTACAATGGAAATTTTTGTACTTGACAGTACTTTGTAACTATTTTTTGTGGTCAGAAAATCAAGCAATTTTGGGTAACTCGGTGCATAATAATTAAAATATACTGGGTATAATTTTCAGATTTGTAACAGTTCAGGTACTCTTCAGTAAAATGATTTGGAATAATGCTTACCTTTTTGGAATGGTTACAAGGTCTTCAACTATTTATCTGCACATTTTCATAGCTATTTATTCACCGATGAATTTTAACAATGGAAAGGCATTCATGCTTGCAAAGGTATCTATAATAAAGTGTAAAAATAAAAAGGATAATCAGGGATTCTTTTACTTCCTGTGACATAATTCTCGGTTAGGATTGAAACAATGGTATGGTAAGGAGAGTATGTTGCCAGAATAATAATTATTGTGTTTGTGAAGATGTTATAATTTCTCAGGACTTTTTTGCCTTTATTCTAATATTAACCATTGGTTTCAATTTAATTAATAATCCTGATTCTTTTACATGCAATCTTTGAGTTTGTAAAAGTAAGAATTAAATACATCTATTGCTTGAATAATAACTTGAAAGTTTATGCAATTACCTTTATCTTGTTTGATAGACGGTGTGCAAAGAAAGTTGTGATGCCTCAACCAGTTATCGTCAATTGTCTGACCAGAACTTGTACACTATGGATCTAATGCAAAGAAGAATGGAGAGTAAATCTTCTGTAGATGTGTTTGTGGAAGAGTCTGCTATATCTTGTCTTGTGAGTCCCACAACACATTCTTCTAAGAAACTAGTTGAACATGAAAACACAAATATTTGGAAACAGTCTTCATTAACACCTGAACTTTCACACAATGAGGACTTGACTCTCAAAATGCCATCTGATTCTGTTGGGAAGGTAAGGATTTCAGTGATGTCAGTCTGTTCAATTATCACAGTAAACAAAACAAAACTAAAAAATGGTATTCTTTTTGAAATTAGTGAAATATCTGAAGTTCCACCATATTCTTTACAACATTATTGGTCTGAGCATTAAAATACTACTCATGTGTATTTTCATGCCTCCCAAATATCCTCTCCTGATCGGTTATCAGAAGTGAAAAGGGGCACTATACAGGGAGTACTCCTCTGTTACGTCAGCTCCACTGGCTGTCAATTTGCTAGCAAGCCCAATTTAAAGTGCTGGTCTTAGCTATAAAGTCCTAAATGGTTCTGATCTATCTTATCTGTCCGAATGCATCTCCACCTATGAGCCAACAAGAGCTTTAAGACTGTCTGGGGAGACCCTGCTTTCAATCCCAACCCCTTCACAAGCGTAATTTGTGGGAACAAGAGACAGGGTCTTCTCAGTGGTGGCCCCCTGGCTGTGGAATCCCCTCCCCAGCAACATCAGGCAGGCCCCATCTCTTCTGGCTTTCGGAAAAAAGTTAAAGACATGGCTGTGCACTCAAGTGTTTGAAGAATAAGCTATTATGGTTTTGACTGAGCAAAGATTATGAATGAATGGTACCATGTACTTTATATGTTTTTAATCTGTTATTATTCTCTGCTTTTTATTTGCTTGACTGTTCTAATTGTTTTAGTTGATGGGATATGTTTCATTGTTATATTTGAAAAGGCATTGAATCTTGCCAGAGTTGTAAGCCGCCTTGAGTCCCCCCATGGGAGTAAAAAAGGCGGGGATATAAATGAAGCAAATAAATAAATAAATTAGCATGGAAGCCATCTATAAAAAGGAAATCAAACAATGTTGTTCAGATAACTTCATTGTGAATTGACATTGATTTTGTTTTTTCCAGGAAAATAATAGTCTAACACATTCTGGGAACTCTTCTGCAATCCTTAATACAAACAGAAACAAATTTGAGAAGACTATTACTATTGCAAAAGGGAATTCGAGTTTAGGTAGGATATTTAGAATCAATTCTGTTGTGGTTTTCTGTTGTTATTTTTATATCTGCCTATTTGCTCCCCAAAAAGAGTTAAGCCATAGCAATGCTTACTCTGTTTTAATTGAAAAGCCCACATTTCACACATACTTTCGTGAACGGAACAGGTATTTGAAAGAACCTGTGAACATAACATGCTTTTGGCTGTGATCTTACTAGCTTATAGATTTCAGACCTTCCTGATAATTAAATATGGCTCAGTTTTCAAAATGGAATAAAGAAGCATTCTTGAAATCCATTAATGGAATGTATGCTTTCATCTTGTGGTTAATATTTTAATTAATAGCTGTAGTAATCATTAAAGTGGCTTAAGTCTTCTAAGACTGTCCAGCTTCCCTCATAAAGACATATTAAAATTGCGATACTATATCCTTTCCCCTGCTCTATTTAGGTCATTTAAGCTTATGTGTAAAGTTGGATAATATTGCACTATAAAATTAAGCCTTGAAGTTATGGTGCAGTACCTAAGGACCAAGTTCAAAGAAGGGTTTTAATCTACAATTTGTGTCAGACACCTTCCAAAAAGCATAGAAGTTATAGCCGTGTCCCCATTTATGAAATAATATATAAATATCAGTTACTTGCTCAAATCGCAGCATAACAATTAGTTGATTAATATAACATTAAATGTAATATTTGATAAGGCTGGTTTCTAATTGACAAAAAGAAAACAAATCTAGTAAAAAACCTAAGTTGCATGTTGGTCAGAACTAAGGTCTTACAGTGGGCCAAAGTATGTTGCCACATTTTCTATTACAGTAGCTAAATGCAGAACTTGTTTATTTTTCCTTTAAGGAATGACAGTAAGTTCCAATAAAGATGGCTCAGGAATGATAGTCCGGAGCATCATCCATGGTGGTTCTATTAGTCGTGATGGGCGAATCGGTGTAGGAGACTGCATACTGTCTATTAATGAGGAACCTACCACTAATTTAACCAATGCACAGGCGCGGGCAATGCTGAGGAGACATTCTCTCATTGGACCAGACATAAAGTAGGTAGAGTGAAATAGATTTTTTTTTTTACATTCAGGAATAGTGGTGGGAGGGCTGGTGGATAGTGATATCGTTGTTGTCATCATCGGATACTGCATTTCATGTGTATTTTTATCTCACTGAGTAACACATGCAGGAGGTTAAGTTGACATAACTTCCTTGAATCTAGCAAGAAAGCAAAAGAATATGGTTCTCATCCAGCTTTCAAATTATAATGAGAATTTGCAGTCTGAGACACCAGTCCAATTAAATACTTCTGTCCAGTGATATATAGCATTTACTTTAATCTTTCCACATTTGTGATTTAATTTCATGGTTTTGATTAAAACTTTATCTCTAGGAATCTGTAGGTTGGCCAGTGTGACACTATAGTTAGATTCCTCCAGTCATGCTGGAGGACCTAGTCATAGCTATAGAGAACACCACTCTGGGAACCTCTAGAACCCTCAGTGCAATTATATCCAGGGGAAGTTGTTCACAGAGTTTTGTTAGAAAGATGTTCTCTCAAGTAAATAAAAAACATTTTTTTTTCATTTATGGTTTTTCACTTTCACTGGGCCCTATGTCCCTAATCCCAGTAAATATGGAGGGCTGACTGCATATCAGTGTAAGATGAGCTTCCTGTGCACACCCCTTAAAGCAATAGAAGACTCTAGAACAGACAAGAGCAAACTTTGGCCCTCCGGATGTTTTGGATTTCAAATCCCACAATTCCTAACAACGGTTAAACTGGCTGGAATTTCAGGGAGTTGGATGTCCAAAACACTGGGAGGGCTGAAGTTTGCCCATCTCTGCTTTTTATTAAAGTTCAAACTTCATTAAAAAAATGATACCCACCTTTATGTTACATCCTTAAATATTTTTCCAAAATGAAAATTTGCAGCTTTTTCATGTTTGATGAGGCGATTTTCTGAAGAGACTGGCTGTACCATAGCCACATCTAGGTATTTCAGTCTTGCAAATTTATAAGAGGAGGAAATGGCACTTTAAGCAGCAACCTTGGCTCCAAGGGTATATGAGGTAATATACTCACATAGGTAAATTGAGGCCCTATTTCTGCCATTTATGCATATGGCACTTCGCTCAGTTCATCACATTCGAAAAAAAGTTATTCCCTTTTTCATGGTATTTCATATTTAATCAAGAATGCATTGCTGCAAGCTTTATTTATCCACCATCAGGAAAGTCAATTATATAGCAGAAAAAAAAAATGGAAGCATACCCTCTCTTTTTAAAGTTACAATTCCTAGCGTTTCCTAGCTAGCATGGCTAATTTCCACTCATGGACACAGACTTCAGAGGAAGCAATAAACAATAGAGATGGATGCAAATTATACCAGTCTTTTTCTCTCTTCTCTTCTCTTGCCAGAAATGACATCAAATTGTGAGGGCTGGACAGGGAAAAGCACAGAGTATCTTGAGACCTTCATGGTTTGGTTTTGAAAGAGGAGTACAGCTATTGTATATCCTTGACCAAAGAACAATACATTTCTTCTGTCTGGGCTGGTCGTCCTCTTTCACTGAGCACACAACTTTGGGAGAGATGCATGTGGAACTTGTTAGTTGGTAGACTTTGTGGCCAAGATGACTGCCAGACCAATGATCCTTGAGAAATGTATTCTTATATTTCTTGGCATTAGAAGCCAATGCCTCCAGCACCATGTTTGATGAGGATGATTGTTTCATTCTAAAATATTTTATAATCAATCAAAGAGGCAAGCACTGGCAAGGATAATGGAAATCATAATGTGCACCCATAACACATCTTGGTTCCAACAATTATGTCACTGTTCTTACTTATCCCACAAACTGACATAGATTTTATGTTCATCTAAACAATAGTGAACAAAGGGGGTCCTTTTTGCTGCCCTTCAACTGTACCACCTCATTCCTTAACATAAACATTAACTTTTTTTCAAAAACAAGATATACTGTCTCTTTTGTTTTTGTTGTTGTTATTGTTTGTCATTTTTGACACTTTGTGCGGGTCCCAGAGGGCGTGAGAGCAGAAAAATGGCCCCCAGGGCAAACATAGTTGCCCACCCTGCCCTAGACCATCTCAACAGGTTCATTATTATCTAAATATACCTCATAATAAAGAAAGTATGAGATCTTTGGATTAGGCACAAAATCTGATGGATCTCAAATGTGCTTTTGGACACCATTAGTCCCCCAATTCTTGTTGGCAATGCCTCTTTGGTGACAGATTAAACCTATATGTATGTATGTGTGCATAAATATGTATGCATTTCAGTGTGCCTGCTAACCTCTGGACTGGCCTTATCTCCAAGGATATTACAGATGCATGACTGTTGTACCTGCCTATCCAAGGTCCCTTGTTATTAAGTTCTACCCTGTATAGACAAGTGGTTTCTAGTTTCCGACACTATCTATCTCATCACTAATCTCATCACAATTCTCATTTTCATCCTCTGCCTCAGGAAATTGTGCTTCACCAACTCCAGAGGGTACCCTGGAATCAGTGAAGTGAAGGTCTTCCTTCCCTTGGGTAGAGTAGGCAAGCTCATTGCTATACCTCATCATCATACAATAAATAGTAGTATAGCCTGAGTATACCAGCTACAGACTTTTGGGGAGGCAATAGCAGTAACTATCTGTATCATACTTCTTAACACTCCTATACTTCAAGTATGGATTTCTGATCAGTTTGTGTCCCAAGAGTAACAACTTTCTAAAACAACTCTACATATTTATATATTTATTTATTTACAGTATTTATATACCGCCTTTCTCACCCTTGGGGGGATTCAAAGAGGTTATAGAGGAATATCACTGTTTTTCTACATTGCTAAATGATTCATGACAGTCTCATAGCAGGAACCTTTCATATATACTTTGGATTCATTGAAGCATAGTTGATTACTGCATCTAGATGACATTATAATTATGACAAGTGTTTCTTCGTAGCCGACCAATGCCATCTAAAGGCACTACAGTAGGGATCACCAAAGTATAGCCCACGGGCAGTTTCCGGCCCATCAAGGTGACATACCCATCCCCCAGCAATGAAAGATGTGTAAATGCTTTTATCTGCATCCCATGGGAGGTGCAAAGAAATTTGCAACACAACTTAGATCATGCCTGGCACTTTCACAAAATACTATAGGCTAAACTTTTTTGACTCGCAACCCCATTTTACCTGAGAAATATTTACACAACTCTGTATGTAAAGGATGGGGGGGGAGGCATGTGCACATGAGAGAGAGGAAAAGCAGAGAGGTGTGTGTGAGAGAGAAGGGAAAGCAGAGAGAGGCACACCTGTGATAGAGAAGGGAAGCAGAGAGAAATTTACACACTGGAGAGAAAAGAAAGGCAACCCTAACATACAGTTTGTGGTCCTGACCCATGCTTTAAGAAGCTCAGGGCTAGACAAATCCAACTCAGCTAGTGCATCCTTTGGTAGAAGGGTACTCTGCTTATTCTTGTCAAATTAACAAATGTTTGCCACCTTCCCTCTTATGTTCTATTTATGCTAATATTATTTCATTTAATAGTTGGCTTTTTCTCTATTGGCTGAGAATGACACATTGACAATTTACTGCGAAGGTCCAGCCTGGCCAAGGAGAAGGAGCTATGCACCCTCTCCTTAAGGAGGCAATGCCACTTTACTTTCTCTGGGGATCTTCCTTTTGTCCTTTTCCACTTTCTTGGTTAGGAAATGAATCCAATAGGGCCCCTTCTACACTGCCATATAAAATCTAGATTATCTGCTTTGAACTGGATTATATGGCAGTGTAGACTCATATACTCCAGTTCAAAGCAGATAATGTAGACTATCTTTTTTTAAAATCTGGATTATATGTCAGTGTAGAAGGGAAATAATTTCTAAAACAGCAACTGATGCCTAGCCCTCTCATGGACAGTGACGGGAATTAACTCATGGATGACTCCTTCTCTTTGGCCAGAATGGGACTTCATGGTAAGTTCTCCAATGTACCAAACCCCTTCCTTCCTTCAAGGGTAGTTACTTTCTCTTGGTTACTTTTGTGATGAAATTGTTGAACTAAGTAGATATTTTACCTGACTATACATACTAACCAGGCATTACTTCTACCAAAATGCTTCACTGTTGTTCCTCTGTTACCTTCTCCATTTTCTGATCTGTATAGATCCCCATGAGCCAAGAACTGTTACCGTTTAGACAGACACTGTTCTCCTTCTCCAGGCAGGCCTGGGGTGTTCTCCATGGATTATAGCCGTCTCGGCAAGTGGAGAGAAGCAACTTGATTTATTGTGATATTGCCTAGCTTACATGGGTGGCACACTAATTGCCTCTTAACTTTGTAATTCCTATGCAGAAAATGGCTGTGTGCCCCATAGGAATGGCACCTTTTATTTGGACAGGAATACTGTTGGCATTTCTTTCCTTTCTTTGACAATTATTTCAACAATGGAACAGCTTTGTTATTTTTTATGCTTTGTTTCACTTTGTTCTGAAGGAGTAGGGCTAGATAGTCTGTTGTTTAAAAGAGATACATAAAATAGAAGATTTCAAAATATAGCTTGTTATCAGCTTACTTTTGAAAGTGGGTTTCTCCTTAGCATACCTGCTATTAAATTTGTAGTCTTGTTGCAATTGATGTAACATATAATATTGTACCTAAAGTTAATGGACCAAATATACCTTATATAACCAGATAAAAGATTTTTTTCATGGCTACTATAAAAGTGTCATTGAATCAGCTTTCTTCCTAATGGATGACCTTATGTTCATTAGTTTGTGCATTCGAGAGCAGAGTAAAATGATTAGCTCCATGTGTGTGCATATACACACGTGGTTGTCTGTATATATGTTGATTGATCTAATTGTCTTTCTACCTCTCATACAATTGCATACTTATTTTAAAGCAGAAAAACAGATGTGTGGCTTTACCAGAATGTGTGGCTTTACTACTCACCTTACATTTCCGTAATAATATGTAGGGCTTTGCTTTTAGCAGCAGTTGTAACAGCTGCCTGTAACATCTGCCAGATAATTACTGAGCTGATTCAGAATTCACCTGCCTTAACCAAACATGTGGAGATGAATCTCTGATCAAGGAATAAAAGATTGATTGCCGTTCCATTTTTCATGCTTGTTAATAATCACTGCTATACACTCCAATAAAGAGCAGATGCTTTCAAATGGGAGGTGTGGAGAGAAGGGAGGTGGGAGGGGGGTGAAAGGGAGGAAAATAGGAGTGCACACTTTTAACTACGCGTGTATCCATCTTGCATTCAGCACAAGTCACTGACATTTGTTAACACTATTGTAAAAAGATGCTGCGTCGTATGCTTCACATTCTAGATCTTCTCCAGCACCTGCTGATGATCAGGCCCCCTTTTATGTGTGAGTATTGGTGATTCAAAAGCTCATTAAAACTCTATGTTCCAACTTGTCTGTTAAATCATTCATGCTTTCATAACATCCAAAGTAGTTGAGATATATCCAGATATAGGTACGGCACTATAGACACAGATGCTTTCATCCAATTATAGTACCTTACTGGAATTGATTAGCAGATTAATTATCCAGTTATATTGAGTGTTACAATAGACAGTTATTGTTTTGGAAACATTTAATCAAGATATCTTTTTGTTGTCTTCTTGAATGCCATTGTCATATAGCATTGTATCAAGAGATCATTCATCTTTAAAGGACAGAGCTCAGTTTTGTGATTTCCAAGAAGTCCTTTTTAGTGAATGTCGATCTGCCAACTGACAGGTATAAATCTGTGCCAGACATCCCTAGGGAATGACTTATCTACATTGCAGAAGATAAGCAAGTGAAGGTTTCATCAGTTTCTAGATGGAAGGCTGACGAAGAACTCCATCTTTCCTCCCTTTAATCCAATGATAGGGGAAACGTTGTGAAAATATACTGAGGGCCAGCATGCTGTAGTGATTTCAGTGTTGGACTATGACTCTGGACACCAAGGTTCAAATCCCTGCTCAGCATGGAACCCCACTGGCTGACCTTGGACAAATCAGCCTTAGAGGAAGACAAAGCAACACACACACCCTGAACAAATCTTGCCAAGAAAATCCCCTAGACAGGGTCACCTTAGGGTCACCGTAAGTCGAAATGATTTAGAGAGACACAGCAGCAACCTAGCTATACAGCAGCAGTTCTCAACCTGTGGGTCCCCAGGTGTTTTGGCCTACAATTCCCAGAAATCCCAGCCAGGTTCCCAGCTGTTAGGATTTTTGGGAGTTGAAGGCCAAAACATCTGGGGACCCATGGGTTGAAAATCACTGCTATGCATCCAGCCCTCCACATTTGCTGGTGTTAAGATCATAGGACCTGTGTGAAAGTGGAAAATGCAAATAAAAAACACTATCACACTGGAGAGTCCAAAGAGTCTGAGATTATCTCTCTGGAAATTTCTAGATTCTCCAGCATGACTCTTAAGGGTAACGTCTGGCAGAAGCTGACCATAGAGTCATACTGGAGAACCTAAAGATTTCTAAAGATAACTTTTTAATTAAATCCATGAATAATCATTTCTACAAAGTCAAGCCTGCAAATGTAAAGGACAGACTGACTGCTAACTTCATTAAAGCCAGTCCAAGCATGACAAGACTTCCTTTCTTTCACATCCATCACCATCCCATAGCAGCCCTTGACTCTGCCCCCAAAACAAGCTTTGGTAGGGTTTCCCAGCTCTGTGCATGACTCTAGTGAAAAGGGGAGATAGCCATTCCCTTCACCCACCCAAAGAATTTCAACTCTGGTTTCTCTCAGGCTGAATAGGGTTCAGTGTTTTCTGAATTGAAGGCACATTTCGGATGAGCAGATAGATGGATATAAACTTAGCAAGCTTCCAGAAAAATGCTCAGTCCTCTATTTTTCAACTGTTGGCTCAGTTAATACTATTTTGGTGCATTTTTGGGAATTCACTGAGTAATACCTTCAACCTTCTTGAGGCACTAGTTACTGATACAGTCATGGATGTGCTGATATCTGGATTAATCTCACCATCTTTTTTCTGTGACACTAATCTTTTATTTTCTCCACTGTGTAACCAACATGAATCTATGTTATCAAACCTGCTGACTCTATACTGTAACTTGCCTACATGTAATCAGAAAATGATTTTATTTCTTATGCGTCCTATTGTAGTATCCATGGAAGGTTTGTGTGGCTAATGAATCATGCATGCATCCTGTTTCCATTTGTATTGCATGCTACTTCACGTGTTCATCTCTTTCTTCTGATACAGAATGTCTTTACTTTGCTTCTTTTGGAAGGTGAAGCCGACGTGATGTGTAATTGGTTCAATCTATTTCTGCTTTAGCTTGGCAGTTGTCATGGCACCTGTAAAGTCTAAAATACAGGAGCTTGTGAGCTATTTCTCATTTTATTGAGTCCTTCTTCCCAAATTCTCTTTCACCAAAAAGCAACTGCTGTGCAATTCTCCACAGCTGTCCAGTTCTGCTGCTATTTTCTATCTGAGCCAATGATTTGGAAATTGTGAAAACTATCCCAGACTCTAAAAGGAATTTGCTTCTGATAATTTTGGCTTCTATTCATGGGCTACCAGTCAATGTTTTTGTTTGATTAATTAAAATTAGTATTAGAGTTTTCACATAGTTCTCATTCTGACTCATTCACCCTGAGTATAGGGAATGGCAGTGTTTGAACTCGTTTCCTTCACTTTTCTCCTTTTCATCTGGTTCAAATTTTGGTGACTATGATGTTTTCCAAATACGTTTTCTATCCATACATATCATTCTTCCCCTTCTACTTTCTACACTTGATTCTTTTGTCTTTTTAAAATGAGCCATTTCAGGGATAACAACTTTCAGAACAACAAGATGGCATTTTAGTTGGAACTGTTGTCTGCAAATGGTGTTGGTAATTTCATCTAATTTACTTGGATAATGATAAAGTGTGGTAAAGAAACTTCACCAGTTTTAAATGGTTCATTCTTCACACTTGTTTATTCCTTAATTGAAACATTCAAAGTGATGTGTAAGGAACATTTTTTAAAAAACAACCCATTAAAAGTGTGGAAAAATCTAGACTAGTTAAGTAGGCAGTAAACCTTTAATTGGACATCTAAACAAAAAGAGTTGATATGCCAAATCTCCTTGAAAGGTAAAATAAAATAGATAAGTAAAAGTGACCAAAACAGAGTGCCTTGGTTTGCACAAGAGGAAGCATTTCTACAAGCGCAAAGGCATCATAGGCTGCAATGTATGGAAAATGATAGTTTACAATGAAACTGGATTTTCACAGTTTTCTTTCCAGTTTTATACATCACACCTCTGAATAATAAGTGTAGCATCTGTTGTATTATCAATACAATAAAGCAGTGGTTCTCAACCTTTGGTCCTTCAGGTGTTTTGGATTTTAGCTTCCACAATTCTTAAAAGTTGGTAAAATGGCTGGGATTTCTGGGAGTTGAAGTCCAAAACTCCCGGAGGACCAAAAGTAGAGAACCCTGCAGTAAAGCATAACATACAATAAAATGTATTACTTACCAGTAGTTACTTTCAATGTATTTAATCTGTAAAGTCTAAAATACAGGAGCTTGATAAGGCTTTAATAAGGCTTGACTTCAGAATTGTTGTATTCCAAGTGACGATTGCTGACTTAGGAGCCAAGCACTTTGGCTGAACTAAGTTGTGGATCACAGTCTTAAAACCTTAACTGGTAATTATCAACCCATTGTCAAAACATCTACAGTATCTTGAATTCATGTTTATGTTTTTTTCTTGCAGTATTAGCTATGTGCCAGCAGAGCAATTAGAAGAGTATCAGGCCAGTTTAACCCAGCAATCAGAAGGAGCTATGCCATTAGATGTTTTCCCTTCCCATGCTGTGAGGTAATGTATTATAGTGTGTTTATAACCCACTGAATCCTTTTTGCAAATGTATGTTGTAGCTAGAAATTTTTACTTGTACATTTGCTGAAGAAAACAGCTTTGTTAAAAATGCCAAAATTTATTTATTTACTTCAAACATTTGTACCCCGTCCTTCTCAACCCCCGGGGGGAGGGGAGGGCTCAGGGTGGTTTACAACCGGCAACAATTTGATGGAAACACATACAAGCAACATAGTATAACACACATAAACATTAGTTACAAACAATAAGTTAGAAAATATCCATCTAAAAACATTATTTACAACAATATAGCCACATCCAAGTCCAATTCAGCGTCCAGAGACCCAGTCCAAAGTCTGTCCAAAATTGGGCTTGTTTTTTCTGTTTCCTTTACATATTCTAGATGAGTATATAGAATTTATTAAATTAAAAAGAAAGAAGAGCCCAGGTTAGCTGATGAACAAATTCCACAAATAGTTCTCCTGATTCTCGGATTGCTTATAGTTGGTGTTTTCCTTATACTGCTAAATATAGTTCTTTGATTGAATTTGATAGGATTCTAAGGCTTAAGTCTCATGAGCTTGTCCATTGTGGTACCAGCTTTTGTCTCCTGTGTCGCATGAAATGCTCACTGCTTTTAGCATTCTTCTAAGGTTGTTTGCAATAATTGCACAATGGAGAGCAGAGAATTCTTGTTAACAATCAAATTACCTCCTGAATTCAAATTAGAAGTCCATCAGACAGAGGAGAGGTAATTTTTGCATTCTTATCACACATATAGTGAAACCAAGTTGATATATTTGGAACATCATATGTTCAGTGACCACACATTGACAGTAAGATCATGCTGTATAATCCTTGATTTAGCAAAGCTTCTAGCTTGTTTGTGCTTTATCTTAGGATAGCAGTAGACCCAACACTTAATGGGAATCCTTAATCTGATCATGCTTCCCAAGTTCATGTACTGGTTCTACCTGTGTACAGCAATATGTGTGTATTCTTACTTGTAGCCTAACACACAGCAATTTGGGGGACTCACCAGATACCAGTAATGTGACACAATTGCTTTTATCAGTTGCCTAAGATGATACGCAATTTCATGCCATTTCACTGAGAAACCAACTAACACTGAACTTGTCAGTATTTTGCCATTTCTTTCTGGTCATATTTTCTTTTCTTGTATGATTCAATAGCTTTGCTATTTACTTATTTTTCTTTTTATCTCATGGAGATCTGTTAAACTTTTTGTTGTTCTTGGGCCTTTGTTGTTATTATCTTTTTAAAATCACATATTTACATTGTATTTTATTTATTTCTGCAACACTCAAATTTACACAGAGGCCCAAGCATGCAATAACCCCCTTTTAACTTCCTGGTTACTATACTATGAAAAATTGCTTGATAGTGGACTTTTAGTTTTAAACAAAAGTATGATTTTATTACATGAAAAATAACTAGAAGGGATCCTTGTAGGCATCTAAAACATGTGTCATGTGCCTTTGCTTATTTGCAGAGAAATCCCAGAACTACCAGAACGTGAAGAAGGGGAAGGAGAAGAAAGCGAACTTCAGAATGCCAGCTATAATAACTGGAACCAACCAAGACGGTACTGTGATTTTGCTACTCTAATAACCTACCCAGCTTTTTGATTTGTGAGAAATTAGGAATATATCACTAGTATCTCTGATTTTAATACTGTGAGCCACACTCATTTCTGAAAATTAAGAAAAATATGTTTTATTTAATGAACACTAATATACATGGCAGGAAATATAGTTTTAAATGAAATCTTTTTGATGCATTTCATTGTGTCACGAGTATCTGATTAAGAGTCTCATACTGGATGACTTATTTCTACTATGCTCCCTTGTTCCATGTCTTCCTCTTTACATTAGCATTTATACCCAGTGTTTGCCATTCTATGGACAGAAGATGCCCAGCATTGGTTTGCAAGAGTAATTGTATATAGACTCCTTTCTATGGCCTGGTGGTACATGAGAAGCTGCACAGTGAATATTAAAAATTATCTACCCCCATACTTGTTTCAATTGACACATGTATTCCTTGCAATGGGGGAAAACAATGCTATGGTGTCTGCAGTGGTGTTTGGTGGTAACAGCAGTTAGTCCAAGTTCTGTTTTGCAATTCTGAATATAATAAGTCACCTCCCCAAAAATATTTTGAAGAAATTGCAATATACTGACCTAAATCCTGTTGCTAGTCCTAACTTGAGTAAGGCCATAAAATCAATGGAAACTCCCTATGTGCTGACTAACCTTTCAATAAGTGTTGGAATAGGTCTTACTTTAATTAGGAGTAACTAGTGGGAATCCATCTTACATCTTTATTTGTCTTCTCAATTCATTTGTATTTATCTCTTCAAATCTCTAGCTTGTTCAACATTACCAATTAATGTGATATATAATGTGATAGGGAGAAAACTTGATTCCTAGACATATGGGTTGTAAAGCAGTGGAGCATGTATTAAATAATGCTTTTCCTGTTACATATTCAGTCTTATTAAAGGAGGATTTCAGATTATCATAGGATTATAAAAAAGGGAGATACATAATACATTATAAGACCAAATTACTGCTAATTCAAAAGGTGGAGTTAAATGTGATGATCACATACAGGGTAACATAATATTGCTGTTCCTTCATTCAAAAAATGGATGGGAGATCTCATTGACCCCCTGGGAGATCTCATTGACCCCTGGAATCTACTCCAGGCTTGGAAAAACTACCACTATTTAAAAATACAATTGATTCTGCTAGAAAACATAGTATTCATGGAGTACATTGCTTTTTTTCTAGCAGAAGGGCCTCATCATATATTATAAAGTATAATGAAAGCCTTATAATTTAGCTTTGCTGATTGTATAAACTATCCAAAGCCCTCAAAATGCAGGGCACACAACAAGAGTTTATTGGTGAAATGATGGAGTATTAATTAAAGGAAATAATAAATATCTGATCTAATAGTTTACTAAGATAGCCCCTTTTGTTCAGCAGCGGATTAGATCACTGAGTTGCTGAATTTCCTAATCGAAAGGTTGGTGGTTCGAATCCAGGGAGTGGGGTGAGTTGGAGTTGGAGATGAGATGAGATGAGCACCACCCCCAAGAGTCGGACATGACTAGACTTAATGTCAGGGGAAACCTTACTTAAGATAACCTTTGTATATTACTATATTAATATCAATAAATAATTAGATCACACTAGAGATGGTAATCAAACTTTGGCATCATTGTAATCAAGAACACTAACAAGAATAACACATAATGCCCCACCCTTTGGAGGTGTTCTTTGAGAGCAATTTCCGCTTGTAGGTAAATGGTTATAATAATTGCAGTACCGAATGTTTTACCTTAAATGTAAAACTCCTGCAAATGTTCATCACATTGAAATTCAGACAGCAAGATTGATATTTGCACATTGGTATTAGAAATGCAGACTGTTCCTGTTCCTGTTTATAGGGTTGAGCTCTGGAGGGAGCCTAGCAAATCCCTGGGAATCAGCATTGTTGGTGGACGAGGAATGGGAAGCCGCCTGAGCAGCGGAGAAGTCATGAGAGGAATCTTTATCAAGCATATTCTTGAAGACAGCCCTGCTGGCAAAAATGGAACCTTAAAAACAGGAGATAGAATAGTAGAGGTATTTTGTTGCTGTTAATTTAAAATGCATGTTTCAAATTTGGATTCTCCTCCCACACACATACAGAATTCATTATTTTGTGGTATGGAGCTTGGTTTCCAGAAGCAAAATTCATTCAGAGGAAATAGTTCATTGCATAGCTAATAAAGGTTTTATGGCTATTGTATACACACATGTACAAGTTGACCTCATGTATAAGCCAATGGCAGTTTTGGGGCCCATAGATAAGTTGACATTAACTCCACAAAGGGGGGAATACATTAGTGGCACTTGAGGGGTGAGTAGCTCCTGGGTGCTGTCATTTTCCTCCCAATGCATTAGTAAAGACCAGAAATGGAACCATTGATGGAGAGAAGGGGCCAATGCTTGTAGGTTCTTCCAGGATGGACTAAGCTCTTTCCCTTCACCACTCTACTCTGAGATCATTCCCTTTTTTATAAGAATGAAGATACAGTACTTACATGGACCTGTGGATATGTCAATCCATATTTTGGAACGGGGGTATCTATTTTTTTATTAATGCATGAGTATATACAGTATTCTTAAATAAATTTTGTAATACTTAGTTTTGATCATTTAAGTTCCAATGTTTTCCCTTCTGGAAGTTTATAGACACAGATACTACTTAGTTGTTGTTTTTTAAAAACTAAAGAGAGGGAGGTCATTTCTTTCAAATCTCTCTCTCTAATGTCCTAACTACTACTAACAGTGGATGTGCTTTATCTTGGCTTCTGGCTTCTGTAGTGATCAAATCATGAATAACTTTCTAACACTGACATTTTAACCTCATTTTCCTAAGATGCAGAACATATTTTGAATTTTTAGTCCTTCATACCTGTACAGTTAAGAGACCTCCTTTCAGGAAATGCCAGATATTAGCCTTCATTGGTAAGGCTGTAGGTATTCCCTTTAAATAGCATAGACTTCATAGAAAAACTGAAATCAGAAAAATCATGCTCACTGATTATTTTGTGTCTTTTTGTTAAATAATACTCAAGTAAGATTTCTAGAAAGTGCTGTACAATTATTTTTAGCTCCATATACCATTGTGTAAAGCTTAGGCCTTGCGATTGCAGGTGGACGGGATTAACCTCAGAGATGCGAGCCACGAACAAGCTGTGGAAGCCATACGGAGGGCAGGCAATCCTGTAGTCTTTATGGTACAAAGCATTATAAACAGACCAAGGGTAAGCATATAAACTGTGAAAAAAAAGATGTACAGAGCCAAAATATGCAGAGAGGTATTGAGTAAATGTCCAAAGTGGTGTTACTTTGGAGAGGAAAAGTCTTCACCCTGCGAGTCTCATATCCACAAACTAGGAGCAGAATTAGGGTTCTCATTTGTTCCTTGATGTGAAATATCCCAACTGCATTGTAGGTCAGTGCAGATTTCTTTTTCAAATCAAGTGATGGCAACGTGACCAGTTTATTCACAAACAATTTTATTGACCACATCTTAATATTTCTAGAGAAATAGTAGTAGTGTTGTATCCTGTGATGTGCTCAGTCAGTAGCAGCAAGGTTCTATGATTCACTACCTAACAGCTCCAAAGAACCTTGGGTTGCTCATGAACTTCACAATTTATATTCGACAATGTTAATTGCAAATTTTTCCTACTCCCAAGTATAACATTTAAATATTAGTAGTTTTTCCTATACTTTAAATTTTGCTATGAAGCACAAAACAGGAGTGATTAAACTTCATGTGCAGAGGAAATACAATCACACAGAGATACATGTTTTGCTTTACACTTTTAGCCACTTGCAAAGTAGTTTTAATATAGTAGCTTGCATCACCTGAAACCAGTTTTCTTCCTCCTTATAGATTTGCTACAAGCTGCATGTTTGATTTACTAGCTGTTTCACAACTTTTGTTTCCCAGCCAGAATCTCTCTATAGCTCTTTATCGTCTTCTGCTCCCAGTGGGCAGAAATCTAATAATCCATTTTACCACCAATCATCACAGGTAAAGTTGCATGGAGTAGCTTTGGTGAATGTTGGTGATTTGTATGCAGGACACTGATTGAGGCTTTTGCATTTGCTGTGGCATGGTCAGATTCTATTTGCTTGGTGAATGTTTACGCTACAAAACCAGAATCTTTCTTTCATGCTCTTTCTTTCAAAATTGCTTCTGTTAAGAGTAGGATATTTTAAGGGGGTTTCCATTGTTTAGTTACAAGCAGTCTTTCAGAAAGATCGCCATATTTTACATTGTGAGTTATGTTGTACAGGCAGTCTATGAGTTACATGAAGAAGAAAAAATCACCTGCAAACATTGCTGAAAAATTATTAGTGTGGCCCCTGGATACTGACAAATACTGTATCTCCTATCAGATCTGTTTCTAACAACTCCTTATTGTTGATGTTTGATTCACATTTTATGTTCTGTTCTGCATATTTGTTAAAAAAATGAACATCACAGTGACAACTATTTTTCTAACTGCTATTTTAGTAATGTTTCAATCATATAATTTAGATATATATAAAGGTCTTGTCAGTTATAACTGCAATGATTATGCATAGCTGTGTGTTGTGACCCCATTCATGCATAAGTTATTTTGTTTAGCAGTTAGATGAGCTGCAGTAGAATTGGTTCAAAGAAATAAGAGTGCCCCTTGAATGTTTTGTTCTTTCACTTTCATTCTTTTGCAATTGTAAAGCCTTTCCCTCTTCTCTCTTGCATGAAATCCCCTTCCTTTTCAGTGCCTGAGTTTACCATGTTGTGAGGTTACACCCATCTCTGCACTGGTCACATTCAAGTCACCCACTTTTAACTGTGGCTGCATACTTTGACATGGCAGCAGCCACAATTATAAAAAAAATAGCGCAGACATAGTATGACACCATTGTCACATCTACAAACGTGGAAAAGATTGAGACAACCACAACCATTATTTTTAGTTAACAAACTGGATAGTATTATACTTGGTCTTTTTTGTATTCTCATCCTACCTATGCTGGATCAGCCCTAATATTCTGTTGTATGCACACAGTTTTGTAAAGATGGGCTAGCATTGCTAGTGAAGTGATATTTAAAAAGATCTGTGTGCACTCCCATACATGTTCCAGATGATGAAAATCACAGAGATGCTACCCAGGGAAGAGAGCCTCATGAATAAAGAGTGATTCCTGCAATCATGCACATGTATTGAATGAAATCCTGTCACGCGCAGATTTTCAGTTGGAATGTGTGGACTGCTTCCCTTGAAATGTTTTGTGCTTGAGATGTTGTGGGGTGATGTAGAATTACTCTGTAGTGTTTGACCTTTGGCTACCGCTTTACGCATACAGATCATCATTTGATGATTATGCACGTGTGAATGTACCCTGAGATAACCTGCCTTTTGGATAGCAAGCCCCTTTCTGTTTTTCTTGTAGAACCTCCTTATGCCTTATCTGCAGTACAACCCTTTCAGTAAGCCTCCTGCCTTCAGCAGCACTAACCCTTTTGTTGATCCTCTCCAGTTCAACACTAACAAGGTTGGATGATGCCTGTGTGTCTGTGATGGACTCAGTGAACATTTATGTGTTTATCTCTATGTGTCCTCCCCCTCCCCATGCCCTCACTTATTACACTTTAACAAACTTTTGTAAAGTAGTGTTTTGCTGGGAGCAAATACTCTCCATTTCAGGGAGAGGCCTAACATCTGCAGCCTAATTTTTCCCCGTAATTGTCAGAAAAGTTGTCCCACAAATATGTAATGGCATAGTCAAAGCAGAGAACCTGTAGAGGGGCATTGATGGACCACATAATGTATATTTAGGAATAGTGACATTATTTTGGGGCTGTAGAGCTTGGAGTCTAATTAAAATTAATTGGACGTCTTGGTAGAAAATCTGATTTAATTGTAAACAAATTAAGTAACTATAAAAAAGTTGTTTCTGTCGCAAGTCACTAGGTTGCATTCATCTCTCACCTTCCAGTCACAATATGGTTCTGTCATCAGTCAGTATGGATAGCATGAAAAAAAAAAAATCTTGCTGCAGATGTCTATTGCTTGTAAGGTTTTCAATATATAAGACATAAACTGGCTGTAGATCTAACTAACTAAGACCTAGATCCAACCAGTCACACTCTCAGCTCCAAAAAGTGGCCTTAAGAGTCCCTGTAAGACAGAAACAACTTGAAGGCACACAACAAAAGTAGACAAATAATTTCTGTAGGTTGTTAAACACATAACAAAATAACAATTATTTAATTGAAAACTGAAATAAAACTGAAAATAAAAGCAGCTGCATAATTGTTTACTCTCACATTGTGGGGTTGTGTTTGTAATTTCCTATCTAAGAAACAATTTTGTTATTTTAAAGTTGGGGATGATAACTTCGGTGGACTTGAGGCCCAATTTCCCCACCAAACCTATTGTTAGATGTATCTTAACTGAATTTTTGCAGCGGAATGAAGGGGAAAGGACCCTGGAAATGTTTGTTTTAAAAGGGAAAAGTGTTTCTGGTTTCTCACAAAATTTCAGTGGCAAATTGCAACAAAAACAAAAATACCCTTTAAAACTAGTATTGTCTGCTTATTTGAAAGGGGAGTTTATGGTTTGTCACCAAATTTTGATTGTGTGTGTAGGAGATATTCTGGTATAAGAAAGCCAGGCATGCTGTATGCCTGCTTTAACGCCTTCGCAGGAACATATTGGATTAGTAATGAGCAACCGTACTAGATCTTCTAAGGGTGGCTCTAAACTACATGGACAAAATATGCTGGTGAAAGTCTGGTGTTTTAAGCTCCAAATGGGCCCCGGGATGGTTCTTAATGCCAGCTCCAGGCCTCGTAACTGTTTACATGGGCCCGAAATTGTAATTTGCACCAGATTACCACAAATTCCAGAGCAATCTGCGACTTTCTTTAACACAGTTAAAGGCACGGATCCACATTAACCCAAATCAGCTCTGTGTGTCATGTAGCCATCATGAAGCTGATTTGCCTTCTCTCTTTGAGGTTAAGTGTCCATGTAGATATGCTTTAAGAAATGTAGCATTTCAAATTCAAATTTCTTTAAAATGAATATTTGTATAAGAAACATTCCCTATGTAGAAGGGTTTTTTTTAAAAAAAAAAAAATCATTGCACAGTCCTGAAGTAACACAGCATCAGGGAAGCCACAATAAACAATCTGCTGTTTTCTGTTATCATAGGACGTGCAGCATCCAATTAGATTTACCTCCAGTTGCTCCCCATGTAACCCCTTTGCACCTACACCATTTAAGGTTTGTCTTAATTTGTAGTTACTGTCCTAGATAATATGTGTATCACATTTCTTGTGTGCGCTCTTGCCCCCACCTCTCAATATGGTTCTCTCATCTTTTCAGAAGGGCCATCTGTTCTTTCCAAATGTACCCGCTGCTGTCAAAGTGATGCTGTGTACATTCTCTTTCTCCCTCTGTGTGTGTGTGTGTGTGTGTATCACATGCTATCATCCAAACTGTCAGATACCACAAGGTATTACTACTACAATGGATTCAGAAATTATCTTTTTTGTGCTTGTACTTGACGCACATGAGGCCTACCTTCTGTAGGCATTTTGTCTTACATGAATATGTCTTATGTGCCTGTATTAAGATAACCCTATTCAAATATCCTAATGCTCCTGTTTATATTTTTTCACATGGGAATAACTTTTTGCAGCAGGTTCCTATGTCTGAATGGTGGAATCATATAAAGATTAGGTGCTTAGGTCTTTTGCTCTTTATTGTTGCCTTTATTGACAAGGTGATGGTCATAGCCAGATGAGATGAAGGAATCAGTTGACACTCCCAATTGATTTAATGTTACCAGAGTAGCCTTGGATCGTTCCATGTGGAACACTCTCATAGCATTCATGTAAATGTGTGAGCTTCAATTCCTGTGTTTTTTGTTTTAAAAATGCATTGTAAATGCTAAATGTAATCTCCCTTGTCATGTATTGAAGCTCTCAGCTACAATATGAGTTCTGTATCCACATGGACTGGTCCATGAGGTCACGAAGAGTCGGAAACAACTGAACAAATGAACAACAAATCCACAAGGAACACGTTCCTGGACCAAACTCTATAGAAATGAAAGACTTCCGGCCCAAGAATACCATGACACGGAGTCATGCTGGAGAATCTAGAAAATACCTAGAAATGACATACTTTGTTGGACCTTGATAAATAAAACAGTCCTGCAGATTATGGGGCTGTAGTGTATTTATACCTGAGTGCAACCCAAGATATTACATACCACTTTAACATTATTTTGTCCAGAATTAGAAGATGTGTACATGAAATAAGAAGTATATGATAGAAATAGTGGACACACATTAAATTAATGGCTTCGAACCAGTATCCCTTCCCCAAGTGGTAGGTCTCCTTCCATTTACAGAAACTCTTTATTGAACAACAGATCCCACTGGATATAAAATATGTTTTTTTCTCTCCCTTTCACCTTAATCTGTGCCTCCTCCCATACTTTTTCTTTATGCTTTCTGTTCCTCCAGAGCAGCTTTTTATGAGGAAGTAGTAATTGATGAAATTTGCCTCCCGATGCCTCCTTTTCCATAGGTAGAATTCTTCTAACAGGAGCTCTGGTTCTAAACTGATGTACATTCCAAATTAGTTGTGTATTTTCTCCATACACCATAATAATCAAATATACTTTTTTAATATGAATCAGTTGAATCACCCATATCACTTTTCTTTTAGATTCAGTGAAATACAAAAAGTTGATTGGAAAGAAAATTTTGTACCTGGGTATGCCTAGAAATCATAGGTTGCACACACATAAATCTTCACTGAATGTGTTTTATAGTATTTGTCCTGCTTGCTTAAAATGCATTTGAGCTCTTTTCCCTCACTCCTGTTCCATCTATGGTTGTTTTTCTATGTTCTTGTTGCTCCGCATTTTGACTTTAAAGCACTAGCCCTTTCTTTTTCATCATTTCATGCATTTTGTTTGCCCAGCACCAGTCCGCATGTTCTCAGCCACTATTATTTTTTGTGTTCTCCACAGGCATCCAGTCAGTCAGATTCAGAGCCAGAAAAGATTTCATCCTGTAATTTGCCTCTGCCTCCTCCTTCAGTATCTTCAGGAATGAGTGGGGAGGTGGTGCCACAGTCCTGTAACAAGCACCCAGAAGACTGGGATAAGGAAGACGAGTTTGGATACAGCTGGAGTAAGTTTGACTTTTGAGGTAGCCTTTTAGGACACAAGGCTGTAATGCCAAATTAGTACATCATCATCTGTGAAGATTTTGAGTCTGCTTTTTAGGTCTTCCTTGATCAAAATTATGTTGTAGAAATGAACACTTTCATTGTTTTGCATCCTTTCCATCCGTATGAATTTGGATTCTATTGTGAGCCTATTATATCCATGAAATGTTCCTTTACATTTGGTCGTTGTTTCATTTACAAGTCTAGGATTCGTTATTGGAAGGGAACCATCTTTACAAAACTGTAAAGAATTTTGTATTTTATAGCAAGCATTGTGCACAATACAAATATCCAAGGTAATTACGAAAAGGGGAGTGGAAGAGATAGTTTCAACTCTTAAATTAAAATAAGTAAGAGGCATTTTCTCCCAGCTACAATCAGTTTCATTGGGAAAGAAGTACAGATTTGTATTTTAATTGTTTCAGTCTACCTGAGGTTATGTGTTTAAGTTAATGATAAAGTTTCTAAAGGTCAGTGCTGTCCATGTCACCCATCAGAATTTTTCTCTTGTTTACGATTAGAAAAAATCAGTCACCGGTATGGTAATCTATCTGGAGATCTCCACATGATAGAATTGGAGAAAGGGAAGGCTGGCTTAGGACTTAGCCTTGCTGGGAACAAAGACCGGTCCAAGATGAGCGTTTTTGTTGTGGGAATTGATCCAAATGGAGCAGCTGGAAAAGATGGCAGGCTGCAGATTGCAGATGAGTTACTGGAAGTAAGTGTCTGGTAATTATACTTAAAATGAAGCCTGCTGACGCTGAGGACAGAAAAACATTTGATTATTGGTGTAAAATGCAGTCTTTAATTAACAGCATATTATTTTCATCAGTATGTCCCTTTTGTGTAATCATACTAGCTTTTTGTTATGAATGTTGCATTTGGGTCTAGAATTGGTTTTCAACTATGATAGTACTGGGGGCGAATGTGATGTGGTAAGAGAAGAAAGTACTTTTGGTAACATGTAGAATAAAGAGACAGTTATTATTTGACAACAAAACCCCACTTCAGGCTGCAATCTGTACTTGCAATACACCCACTGAACCTGACTTGGTTTAGTAGATTAATAACACATCTTTAGGCATCTTTATTCAGAACTCCAATTCCTGAAACATCTTGACCTGATCTCCTAATTTATACTCTTGTAACTAGTATTCAGATACTAATGATGTAGAAGTAGCCAGCAGATTTTAAAATGTCATTGTGTTGGTCTGAGATAAAGGGGCAATGTCATACATTGAATTGTTTTGAGTGGAGAAAAGGTGGAAGCTATTTAGGAGTAGCTATTCAATAAAAGCTGTCAGAGAACTTTGTGGATACAGGAAGCTTCCATTTGTTTGACAGGTTAGGGAGCTGAGTATAGTCATAAAGTGGAATTGGTTGAAAAGTTGAAATCACAAGAATTAAGTAATGTCTTAATTAAATAAAACAAGCAAGAAGTTGAAACAATAGTAGCACATCATCTCTAAGATGCAAGGGAACATAACGTTTTGCAAAGTTTCTACACCAAAAGCTTAGTTAAATAATATGTAATAGGTTAATACAGTATGTATTTCATAACTGATAAGGCTCATTAATTTAGAATCAATCAACCAAGGTGAGTAAAGTCTGGACTTCCAGACAAGATCGCCAGCCAGAAAGTAGATAAGTTGCTTCCTGCAACTGGCACCAATGAGAACTGGCTTTCACATGTAACTTACAGTCAACCAGCTATACCAAGATGATCAAGGTCTGGGGATCCACAGACAACTTGTTACCCCTAGGTGTGCTGTGAGCTTCACTGCTGTCCTGGCTCAGCTAGCACACACTTGCAGACTGAGCGAGGGAGGAAGCAATTAACTCAGAGGCTTTCAATACTGGGATTCTTCTCTAGGACAATGGGTGCATCACTCTTTAAAATTAATCCAGTTTGACATCACTTTGGTTGCCATGAGTAATGCTATGAATCCTGGAATTTGGAGTCTGGAGGGGCACCGGCAGAGATTGTTTTTTTAAAATGGTAAAATTACAAGTCTTATGATTCCAAAGCATTGAGCTGTGGCAGTTAAAGTGGTGTCAGACTGCATTAATTCTATCGTGTAGATACACCAAATGTGTAGTTTCCTTGTATTAATGCAACAGGTTTGTGTGTTTATTTATTTTGTGTATTAATTGGGGCCTCCATCTTGTAGATGATATGCAGCACATCCAAAACAGGTTGGATGATTCAATGATTGACAATAAGAACAGGAAACAAGTTTTTTTTTTTACGTAATTCCTTTTTATTGTTTTCATAAATAAATGCCAAGGCTCAATTGTTATTTCCAATCCTTGCTTGCATTTGTAAAATCTCCCCTAGTTCCTAATAATCAAGTTGTCATTGAAGTCCTGGATTAATTCAAAAAGGATTTGTGTTGCATTCTGACAATTTTATGTGAATAATCTTGACCGCTCAAAAGTGTTAAATCTAAAATAATTTTAAACACACCATAAACAGATTCCTTTAATGGATTTTTGTTCCCATTATACTGAAGCTATACTATTAATGTGGGAAATGTAAACACACTATTAAAACACTGTGGAATCAGTTTTATTTTTGTGCTCATTGTTATTTGAGCCATGAAATGGCCCTATTGCAAATAAATGTATTTTATTTACATTCATCTCTTACTAGCAATCTGCTCTTCCATGCCTTTCTCTTTCATACAATAACCAGTGAGTCACAAGATGATCAATTAGTTGTGGAAATTGATGATGATGTTCCCGGAATCAGCTAGCCTACTGTAACCTAGCAAAGGACATTGTCGACTAGTAAGAGAGCCAAAATGAAACAACAGCTGGTGGAAATGTTGTGACACAGGGGAAATGTTTATAAGCCAAAACAGGATTATATAGAGAAAGCAAGATTACTGCACTGCAATTTAACGGTTGAAGGGTGGTTTTAATAAATAGTTAAAAACCAAGTTTAGTTTTGTCTATGAAAGAATTGATTTGGGATAATATAAAATTAGTATTCTTATATCTTCATGTTATTCTGATTTATTTAGATAAATGGGCAAGTTCTATATGGAAAGACCCACCAGAATGCATCTTCAATAATTAAATGTGCACCTTCTAAAGTGAAAATAATATTTGTCAGGTAAGCGATTTTTTACATTTGCTTATTATTTTAGCATTTATAATTATCTACCTGCACTTCTTAATAGTAGTCACTCCATATATTTTGGATTTTGTGGAATTGGTGAAAGTTTAAAATTATTTGCATGACCAACTATTTTAAGCAACCCTTTTTTTAAAAAAAAAAGAAGAAAAACATTTAGGTATCAAAATGTCACATTTTTTTATGAATGGCATTTTGATACTGTCCACAAATATAAAATGGATGGTTTTAAGTTGTAAATGCTTCATATTGTAGAAACAAAGATGCTGTCCATCAGATGGCAGTTTGTCCTGGGAATTCAGCAGAGACCTCTACTACATCTTCTGGGACTCAGCATGATGAGGTACCATAAGGATTTGACATTATTAATTAATGAACAAGGTTTTTGTCTGTAACTTTTTTTTACTTACTGAGCAAATGCCAAGATACAATTTGACAAGGTAAGCAAATTTAATAGAGATGCTTTTCTATAAGACTGAAATAAGAGGGAAATTGTGTATGCTGGATCTGCACCATCTATAGTGGTTGAGATATGTTTGATTTTTGCATATATGTATGTTTTGATAATATGTTTCTTCTTTTATTAGGGTGAAGTGAATCAGAGTCCTGTTCCATCTGTAGATTTGAGTTTATATAAGAATATTCTAAATGTGGAACTTCCTAAGGTAAATTGTATGGATGAGTTTTGTTTGATGGAGATCTTATTACCCTTGAATGCATATCTGTCTGTGATGTCTTGAGTGTGAGCTGAGGGCGACCACTGCTGCTAAGAATTAGAAAAATGTCTACAAAAACACTTTTCTGTGTTAAGTTTCATTAACAGAATTTGTGTGGATCACCTTTAACTACAATGTTTAAGTATCTGGATCAGATATAGTCTACTTACATAGAAGATTCTAATTTAGTGATTCTGTGTAACACAACTAGTATACTGATCCAGCTGATTCTGGAAAAGCCAACAATTAATTTTATGTGATTTGTAAATATAATTTGAGTACTCCTAGCTTGTTTATATGCATGTGGTAGAGGTTTTGTCCAAATGTCTTAACTTTAAGTAAATTAACAATGTTCTTTGGCATAGTCCTAGATTCAAATTTGGATGGAGATGCAACTGAACTAGGCTTTGATGTACATATCTGTTTGCTTTTCAAGGTTTTTTTTCTGCTGCAAACTCTAATAAGCTTAGAATGGCCAGAGTTTTTTATTTGAAATGAAAAGCATCACTGCTAGCTAGCAATTAATCACATATGGATTTAATGTATGGTTCTAGGGAAAAACTGAGTGGGTGTGTTAGTACCGCTTCCATCGGCAACCCCCAACAGCAACAACTATAGTATGACTATAGTTTCTGGTTTCGTAACGGACAATACATGATAAGCTTCCTTGTTTGTTGAAAAATATAATGTTGGGATATTCAAGAATTGTCAAACTGTGAGTCAAAGGCAATTTCTTTTTCTGGCTCTACTGAAAAAGGCTGACATAAATGGCATCAACAGTGCTTTGAAAACTGTTAACTATGAGCTTGGGAGACTATTTAAATGAGCTAACCATGTAGGGTGAACCTGATCTTATGGACTCGCTCTATGTGATTTCCTTCCTCTTACTCTGAACACTCTTATTTAAAATGATTTTTCTGAGGAAGAGGTTTATCACTTTTATCGTATTCTCAAAGAGCTGGGATACCACTACCACCCATGAAAAATCCATGCTCTAAACAATGGTTTCCATTATTTGGAACTGGTTTTTGCCTTGGTGTATAATATATTATGATACTGTTATTTTTAGTTCTTAGTTTGCTTTGGTTTTAATATGATTGTTTATGTGTTTGTTCTATTTTTATTTTTGGTTTTGTACTGTAACTTATTTTTTTGTAAGCCGCCTTGAGTCCTGTTTGGAGAGGGGGCAGGACATACATTTATTTATTTATTTCCAGTAAGTAAGTAAACTTTATTACAGTCGATGACCAGATCATAACAGGGGACCCAGTCCCGCACATCCATGTGAAACCCAAGGGGTTATATACTTCAAATTCTATTTATTTCCAAATGCAGCATTTATTTGTATTTGTAATTGTCCAAAGGAAAACATTCCAAACTACATTGTTCTCTAAAATGGGTGTGTGTGTGTGTGCGGGGTCAGTCTAGACCAGGGGTCCCCAAACTATGGCCCGCGGGCTGTATACGGCCCGCCGAGGGCCTTTCTATGGCCTGCGCGGCCTGGCCTGGCCTAGCCACGCCCACCCGGAGCCGCTCCGCCCATTGCGGACACCCTCTGCTTCAGCCGCTCTGCCTGTGTGGGAGGGAGAAGCCTCCCAGGTAGGTCTTCTGCAGAGCCGAGCGGCCGGAGCAGAGGGTGTCCGCATGGGCGGAGCGGCGCAGGGTGGGCGTGGCCAGGGAATGCCGGCATTCCCTGGCCACGGCCACCCGGCGCTGCTCCACCCCATCTCGGACACCCTCTGCTCCGGCCGCTCTGCTCTCCGTGGCCACGAGGCGCCTCCCGCTCCACTACCAGCTGCGCCGGGAGAACAAGCCCCTGCAGCGCCGCTGTGAAAAGGTTTGGAATATCAGTGCCAAGTTTGCAGGTGAACTATAAATCCCAGCAAATACAACCCCCAAACGCCACCAGTGTTCACATTTGGGCATATTGAGTATCAGTGCCAAGTTTGGTCCAGATCCATCATTGTTTGAGTCCACAGTGATCTCTGGATGTAGGTGAACTACAACTCTAAAACCAAAGGACACTGCCCACCAAACCCTTCCAGTATTTTCTGTTGGTCATGGGAGAACTCTGTGTCAAGTTTGGTTCAATTCCATCGTTGATGGGGTTCAGAATGTTCTTTGATTATAGGTAAACTATAAATCCCAGCAACTACAACTCCCAAATGACAAAATCAATTTTTTTTGAGTGAAGGACATACATTGGGTTGTTAGGTATCCAGTGGTTTTTGAGTTCTGTTAATCCCACAAACGAACATTACATTTTTATATAGATTTATTTTCTATATTTATACCCTGCCCTTCTCCCCCCCGAAAGGGGACTCATGCTTACATATTCCAAAAACCACTTTCAAAACGACAGAAAATAGAATGTTTTCCTCATTTTAATTGGAACTATTTTATCTTTAGAAATGCTAAAACCATGCTTTATGTTCAGATTGTAACAATAAAAATACATGATGCATATCAGATATTTACATTACAATTCATAACAGTAGCAAAATAGGACATGTGCAGTGTGCATAGGAATTTGGTCATCGTTTTTTTTAAAAAAAACTATAGTCCGGCCCTCCAACAGTCTGGGGGACAGTAATCTGGCCCCCCGTTTAAAAAGTTTGAGGACCCCTGGTCTAGACAGCCTCTTTGCATTTGAAGCCTCTATTGCCGGACCCCTTTAACAATCCCCTCTGATGCAGATCTTCAGGCAAAGCACTTCTGTTTCTTGGAGAGGGGCAGCCTTTTTGGTAACAGGAAGGTGAAGAGAGAAGAAAGGTGAAAATCTACAAAACAGCAAATTTATTTATTTATTTATTTCGAGGTTTTATATACCGACCCTCTCACCTTCAAAGAGGGATTCGGACCGGTTCACAACATGTGTTAACATGTGTTGACATACAAAAAATATACAATAACAACACAATGCCACTTCATTACACGAGTTGTATTCATGTCCCGTCAGAGTTGTATTCAAGTCCAGTCAGAGTTAAATATTGAGATTGTCTTAGAGAGTGTTGAACATCAGAGACAATAGAAGAAATAAAGATTCAAGAGCCTCAGTTTGGCTAGAACTGTGTCTATCTCTCAAAGACTTTAGCTCTCCTCATAAAGACTTTGTAGTGAGACTCAGGAGGAAAGTCTAAAATTTTTGTCTTTTAATAAATTCTTATGTGATTCAACTATATAGTCTCCAATCTGTTCCCTGTGCAGCCAGTTCACCTTCCAAGTAGTTAAGATAGCGTGGGAGCCCAAAGTTGAAGATCTGGTGATTTTGTACAGAAATGAGCAAAGATAGGTTTTTTATACAGCTATACACTGAATAGTGTTTATTAATGCTCTTTTATAACTGTGGCTGTCTTCTATTTTACCTTAGGATCAAGGTGGCATAGGCATTGCCATTGGTGAAGAAGACACATTTAATGGTGTGGTTATTCAGAGTATAACAGAGCATGGTGCAGCAGGAAAGGTAAGTGTGGCCTATTCAGGAAGGAAATGGATAAATGTATAGGAGGTGACATTTCTTTCTCACTTCTGCCAAATCTCACCTCACTATGTTCGTTTTGATTTCAGGATGGCAGGATTAAAGTTGGAGATCAGATTTTAGCAGTGGACGATGAAATTGTTGTGGGATACCCTATAGAGAAGGTACTTGAGTAACAAATATGATGTGCTGCTTTTTTTTTATCTTTCTCCGCAACTGTTGATGTGCCATGAAGGACCAAGACAACTTTAAGTAAAGCTTATAAGAAAAGATGAATTACACTAAAACTGTTTCTAATTCTCTTCTCAACACATATTCCTGACAAAAATAATGTTTTTTGTTGGTTTGTATTGTAGAATTTTCAAAGCTAATTGAAAACAAATCTTATAAACATAGCCCAGTACACAACAATGAAGGCTTGCATACATGTTTATCCCTTTCCCTGTGGAAATTCTGGATCTTTGAATAGCAACAGGCAAATAGGGAAATTACACTCCAGCTGGGCCTCTCAAGCAGCTGTTTGTGGCAGAACTGAATCAGAAAGGCAGGATATAGAATAGAGAAATACATCTGACAGATTTTGTCAAAGAAACGGAATCTGCTCTGCTCTTGCCAGTCTAGTAAAATAGCCAATTAGAATACACTAGTCTAAAATCAAATGCCTCTATCGATTGGTTCCCTGATCGCACATTCTATTTCTTGTTTGTCAAGTTTATCAGTTTGTTGAAGACATCAAAGCCCATAGTGAAGCTCACAGTCAATTCAGTAGAACCGGAGACTCAGACAGCTGGTCAGCCACATCCCCTGAGTTGCATTACTACTTTGGGTGAGAAAACTAATATCCAGCAGCCAGCAATTCTTCCACCTTCTGAATCACCAGAACCGGAGTCAATTAAAAGTAAGGATCTTCTACTTTTCCCAGAATTAAATGAAATTAAATGAAAAATGGGTTGGCACACACACACACAGGTTCCACACATGTAGAATATTGAGCCAATCATATGTTTCTTAATATTACAGGAAGATAGGAATCATAAAGCTGTAATGAGCCGTTGAACTGCTGTCACTGAACTGGAAGTCAAAGACTATTTCTAGAACGAAGGAATGCCCACATTCAGTGAATTACTTAAAACAGATTTCTGTAGTGATCATTCACCTATGGTTTCTTTAAAAAAACTTCTTCCCATGTTTATGTCTTACCAGATTTCATACTGGATTTGTAATTTGGCCTCGTAAAATAAAAACATGGTGTTAGACCAGGGATGGGCAAACTTTGGCATCCTGGTGTTTTGGACTTCGACTCCCACAATTCCTAACAGCCTACTGGCTGTTAGGAATTGTGGGAGTTTAAATTTGAAACACCTGGAGGGCCAGAGTTTGCCAATGCCTGTACAGTTAGACCATGAAAGATGTAAAGTAATGCTTCTAGGATTCATCACATAACCAACTATAGGTATATAACAATTAGATGTGTGTAATACATTAAGTGAGAGCCAGCTTGGTGTATTTATTTGATTAAGATACTAGAGAAATGGACTTGAATTCCCTGGGTGATCCTTGGTAAGACACATTTTCAGCCTTAGGAGAAGGCAGTGGTAAACCCCCTCGGAACAAATCTTGCCAAGAAAACCCCATGATTGGTTTGCCTTAAGGTCATGTAAGTATGGAATGATTGGAAGATGCACAAGAACATCAACTTGCAATATGTTTGACTACAATTTACATTCAAAATAACTATATAGATATACATAAATATATAATAAATATATTTGGGCCTCAGATGTGTTGTGGTATCCAAATTCCATTGACAATATGAGAATTTTAGCCCATATAGAGCATTGCTTGTATGCCATGAATTTGTTCAGGTATCACAGAACAATAGTTTACAGCTTCATCCTGAAAAAGTTAAACAACAAATAAGTATACAAAGGGGCTTATTTCCATATTCCTGCTGAAGTCCCATTGAAATTCATGATATTTAAGCCATAACAGCAATTAATTCATCCCACAGATGAAATTTAAATATAGTTAGTGCTTTCTGCATTTGAGTTGTGTAAAAAATTAACTTGAGCTCAGTTATTTTACTCATTCCTGGTCTTCGATTATCTTGTAACCCAGTTGTGCTAGATTGTACATTTAGTTCCTTAATTTGAAGCATTTTTAAAATTGGTTAAAATTGGTTTCCTAAATTACCATATATAGCATTTTTCTTATAACTAGTAATAATCTGTTTTCAGACACAAGCAGGTCTTCAACGCCAGCAACATTAGCTTCTGACCCAACAACATGCCCCATCATCCCTGGCTGTGAAACTACAATTGATATATCCAAGGGGCGTACTGGTCTTGGCTTGAGCATTGTAGGAGGAGCTGACACTTTACTGGTTAGTAAAGACGGAACTTCACAATTTGTATATTATCTAGAGATGAAATTTGTTGCATGAAAACTTGGTGTTAGCACAATCCTGAGTATGCTTACTTAGAAGTAAGTTCCATTGCACTCAGTATTGGTCACCGAAAGATAAATGTATAGCAGACTGCAGTGGTAGACATATATTATGTTAGTTGAATAAATGAAAAATAAAAGCCGATACATTTCTGTTTTCAGAAATACATTTTCTGACCATAAACTGGACAAGGTTTTCAAAAATAAAATTATTCAGATTAATTCTTTTTGTATTGAAGAGTATTTGAACATCTACATAAATATTATATGTAAAATACGTAGAATAAAATATGTACCAAATATTATAAAGATATTTGTTGTCCCATCCTTTTCAGTGCCATTATAACTAATATTAGTATACCCTTCACATATAGTATAATTGTTTTTACGGTATAGTATTATATAAAATATTTGTTGATCTTTCTCATGCTTCTGGGAAAGAGTACTTTAAAATGTATTGGGCAATGAAAATCTTTATTTTTCTCTTTCCTTTCTTTTTTCTTACTGTTGCTTTCTGTCCCCTGGTTACTAATTATTATACTTTGTTTCCTGGACAAAAATATAACAAAATCCTTTAGAATTTTTTATTTTGAGTCACACATTTCTGAGTTTATTCCAGGTAGCTGATTACTTGGGGTTTCATTGTATTTAAATCCTTTGTAAACTCTCCCTATTTCTTAGGTCTGGCATCATTTCAGTACACACATATGTTAGCTAACACTATTGCCTTTCAATCTACAGGGAGCTATTATTATCCATGAAGTTTATGAAGAAGGAGCAGCTTCCAAAGATGGAAGACTGTGGGCTGGTGATCAGATCTTGGAGGTATAATATAATGTGTATTGTTTATCTTCATTCACCATACATTGCATACATTGTTGGGTGCGGGGAGGAAAGAACTAAAAGAGTTATCCAGTATCTTCTTGAATTAAAGTCATGGACGGATCCAACTTCTTATATCTGCCATACAACTCTGTTCCAGGTGAATGGTATTGACCTAAGGAATGCGACACATGATGAAGCCATAAATGTTCTCAGACAGACGCCTCAAAAAGTCCGCCTCACTGTTTATAGGGACGAAGCCCAATATAAGGAGGAAGACATGTATGATGTACTTAGCATAGAATTACAAAAGAAACCAGGAAAAGGTCTTGGACTCAGTATTGTTGGGAAAAGGTACGTTCATGAAGAGCTTTCTGAAACTGCAATAAAGGATAATGCCAGATAGAAAATATGAGCAAGAAGGCAGATACTTCACCCCTTATGTTAGATTTTGAGTATGATCCAAACATCAGAAACCTGGATCTTGGCTTCAGAGATCTATTTTCAGTCCACCCTTTTTCTTTCTGGTCCATATATTCTGCAAATCAAACTTACTTTCCTATCTGTGCAGTTCAAATAAGAGCCACCTACAAAATAGAACTCCCTAGAAGTAGAAAGATATAAGGAAATGTTGTTCTGTTTGCAACAGTGTGCTATAAATAGTTATCACAGCTTCCTCTTTGCACCAGATGGCAAACCTACTCAGCAAACAGCAAGGGCCTGTTATGTTTGTACCACTTGCATGCAGAAAGCCTTAAGGAATAATTTAAGAATGCACCTCTTTAAGCCCCTTAAGACATATGGAGCCACCTTGATCTAAAACATTGTTATACTTGAGAATTCCCTTCCTGTTGAAATTCAGATAGGAAACAAAGATAAGATGGTACTATTACTTCATAATAGGATATTGTTTCACTATGGCAATACTAAATGTGTTACTGCCATGTCACTCGTGCTGGGCATTTGGCACCAACTTTGCTCCAACAAGCATTGTTAAGAAGCTTTCTAAAAGAGTAGATCTGAGACCAACACGTTATTGGGAAATTATATCTCTCCCCCCCCCCCCCCGCCCCCACCCCCACCCCGTTCCATTAGCATATCTAGTTGACTTTATGGGAAGGAATAATGTGGAAAATAACTGCAAAAGAATCAGGACATTTCTTATATATATTTCTTCCCCATCAAATTCCCAGTGAGATTATTGTATAAGGTATTTTTAAAATAAAAATATGAGTTTTAAAAACCACATTTTAAAACATTCTAAAAAACTGGCTTACTTTCTTCCTGACATGCTGCAGTCTGACGGATGTAATTATCTGACCTTTTCAATGCCACTTTTTAAAAAGGATAATAGATATAGCAAAACAAAACCCACCTTTCGTGGAGTCTGTGACTCTTTTGTCCTTCTTTCTACCCCTGCTATTTGTTAAATGGAGCCCAAAATTCTCAGTGCTTATTATATACATGAGAATGAGATCTGGACAAATGCAAGTGCATTTCTGTGATTTTTTTTAAAAAGGTTTTGATTATTAGCATACTCATCTCTTTAAGAATATAATCCTTTTGAACACATAAGCCATTCCCTTTTGCAGCATGATGTCAGTTCCCAGCATTTTATGACCTGCAAGAAAAGAATTTGTTTTGGTGAATGGAATACAGTTTGGAAAGGTTAGTTCTTACACTACAGTTTCCTCAGCCAACATGATCAGTGGCCATGCTGGCTCAGGGATTTTAGGAGTTGTAGTCCAAATGGGTAAATTTCCCAAGCTCCTAGGTTGAAGTAATTGCGTTCATGACATTGCTAACAACAACAAGAAGAACAACAGCTTTATTTATATCGTGCCACCATCTCACAAAGGGACTCAGGGTGGCTTACAAAACAAAGTATTAGTGCTATGAAACACATAAAATACAAGTTGAAATATATCAAAAAATAAAACCCAGCTCAAATTAGATTAAATATTCAATAAAAATGTGGCGATAGCAAATAAAATGGGCAGTACTAGATTTCAAGTGACATAAAGTGCCAGAGTCAGTTTGTTTGTTCATCTGATGTCTTAGGCATTGTCGATGACCTGTTTGAAAAGCCATGTTTTCAACTCCTTCCGAAAACATTGCAGAGTAGGGGCTTGCCTAATTTCCCTGGGGAGGGTGTTCCAAAACGGGGCTACCACTGAGAAGGCCCTCTCCCTCGTCCCCACCAACCATGCTTGAGACGGAGGTGGGACTGAGAGGACAGCCTCCCAGCAGATCTTAGAGCCCGCACAGGCTCATAGGGGGAGATGCGGTCCCAAAGATAGGTTGGACCCAAACTGTGTAGGGCCTTGTAGGTAATGACCTGAACTTTGAATTGGGACTGGAAATTTATTGGCAATCAGTGGAGTTGCTTTAATAGGGACATGATATGCTTCTTCCAGGTACTCCACCTGTCAACATTACATGCATGTACCTGTACAAGGTCTGCATGTGCTGTGCTTTTGTGCTAGATTATTTGTGCTTGGAAAAGAGGAAGAAAGAATTTTGTGTCCCCACAGCAAAATAATACAACTCATTTTCATGTAGATGTGGATAGTAATTAACTTACTGGGAGGCATTCACTAACCAATATTAGATTTTTTYCCCCTGTAATATTGGTTAGTGCATGCCTCCCACAGGCCCGTAGCCAGGATTTTGATTCGGGGGGAGGGGGGCTGAGTTTGATTCGGGGGTGGGGGGGCTGAGCCTGAGTGAAAGAGGGTCTACCCTAGCAAACCTTTTGTATCGTTACCCCAATACCCCCATGCATATGAGATATATTGAGCATGGTGATCAGATCATGATATGAATAAACATAACAGTTTAAATAATGTACCAGTAAGGCCTTTTCGTGACCACCATAAGAATTTCGGGGGCGGGGGGAGAGGCTGAAGCCCCCCAAGCCCCCCCGGCTACATGCCTGGCCTCCCAGTAAGTTAATTACTATCCACATCTACATGAAAATGAGACATTTTTTTTCATTACAAGACATTATGGAATATTATAGACAAACTTTCAAACCACATAAATCCATATTGTGATTGCAGAAATGATACTGGAGTATTTGTATCAGACATTGTCAAAGGAGGTATAGCAGATCTAGATGGGAGATTAATGCAAGGCGATCAGATATTAATGGTGAATGGTGAAGATGTTCGAAATGCTAACCAGGAGGCAGTGGCTGCTTTGTTAAAGGTAAAGACAAAACAGTAAATGAAACTATTATTTTATTTCAGACCAAGACCAATGCTGCATTGAATCTATGCTTACCACTGTCTTCTACTACTTTATTTAATATGATTTGAGTGAATTGTTCATTTTAGAGACAATCTAAAGCAATTATTGATGTTCCCTTTGATTTTAAGTGTACTTCTCTTTTAAGTGTACTGCTTCTCTTATTAGATAGCATATTCATATATGACACCAAGATTAGCATTTACGTCCCCCATATTTGTAAACCAAATAAAAGTGCTGTGTTGAACAGCTTGTTTTAGAAATGACACCTACTTACATTTATTATTTCTTTCATCACACCCAGAGCTGACTTACTAGGATTTTATAAATGTGGCCTTCTTCTGATTTAGCACTAAATGGCTCAGCCAATGGTTGTAAAAGGCCATGTTCTAGACAAGATCTTCTTAGCATTTCCACTACACAAAATTTGGATTGTATTTTGTAGTGTAAGAAATAACAGGAAAGTGTCATGTAAGTGGCATGGATTTTTCCTACTTGGAAACAAAAAGGAAAAGACCTGGTGTTTTGTATGTTCTGTTTTCAACAGAATGGTTAGTAGTTAGGCTTCAGTGATCTCCTGCATTTAATTGCATATGTTGAGACCAGTGAAGATACCTAGTGGGGCATCCTTGCTGAGTATTTGGATAGGAGCTAATGTGCCGGACTCAGAATGAGCCTGCTGTAGTTGAATCTGGTGTTGCTGGAATTTTGAATCATGAGCCCAGTTTCTTCATCTGGTGAGCATTTAATGAAAACTGATTCACTCTTGGCATATTCACCACTTCAGTGAATTGTCTTTCCCCATATGTTACATTTAGATCAAAACTTTGACTCTACACCACTGGAGAGAACTGGTAGTACAATTTTGTTAGAATTGTTATCTGAATATTACTGTGCCAGTCGCCATGAAATTCATCTGATTTTACTGTCCCTTTTATGAACTTGCTCCTGTAGAAATCTCTTTTATGTCCCTGAGCCCAGTTGGCAACTGTGGGCTATGTGATGAACTCTGTGCTTCATTCATGGTTTTAGATCTGGTCCATGCCAGCACTGGTTTAGCATGCAACTGCCAACACACAACAGGGGTTTTGGTTGGTAACTGTCTGAATTAGCCTTTGTTCTTCTTTTTTAAGTGGGATGTGCCTTTAATGATCTTGGGTTAAGGAATCTGTGTCTTACAAATAATGCCTGCTCTCTAGTGCTCATTAGGTACAGTCAGACTAGAAGTTGGAAGAATAAAGGCAGGTCCATTCCATTCGGAGAGGAGAACGTCTCAGAGCAGCCAGGTTTGTAACTGCTTGCATTGGCTTCATTTGGAACCATCACAAGCACTGTTAAATTATATAAGCAAATAAAAAGGGAATTGATTTTGTAGTGCCAGTGATTTTTCTGCGGAGACGTATCGGAACTGAAACAAAACTGAAAGCCAAGTACATAAAAAAGCATTTTATGTACTCATTTCCATGCTGGATTTATCCTACATTTTGTTAAATAGATTCTCAGAGGTGAGATGTAGCAGAAACCTGATCAAAAGACAAGCCGTAGCTATAGATGTATTGAATGTTAAATTGACAGTTAGATATACGACTTCTGCTAAACTTTTAGGGCATGTTGTTTCCCCACACCCTTTGGGCAGTGTATTGTGTACTGGAATGTTCTTCTTAGTTGTGTGTCTTCAAGCCATTTCTAACTTATGGAAACCATAAGGTGATCCTTCCAATGAGGTTTTATGAGTGTGACTCACCCAGAGTCCCCCAATGGGTTTCCCTCTGGTTTCTGGAGTCATAGTCCTACATGTGCAAATTCTCTCACACCAGAAGTGACTTGCAGTTTCTCAAGTCGCTTCTGACATGAGAAAAAAATGTGCTTTATTGGTTTATGCAAATAAAGCAGTGGTTCTCAACCTGGGGTCCCCAGATGTTTTTGGCCAGAAATCCCAGCCGGTTTACCTGTTTTTATTTATTTATTTATTTATTTATTCACCATATTTATATACTGCCTTTCTCAGCCCAAAGGCGACTCAAGGTGGTTCACAGTCGGCACAATTCAATGCCCCCAGTATCATAAAAAAACAATTAAAAACATTTGACATATAATATAAAACCATACAAAGCCAATAAAAACATAAATCCTCAGCGTCTCCTTACTAAAATCATTTTCCATCTTAAGTTTTCTGGGAGTTGAAGGCAAAAAAACATCTGGGAACCCAGGTCGAGAACCACTGAAATAAAGGGACATGGTTCATCATCATCCTCTGATTTTGTGAGGGCAATCCTACAGTATCTCCTAGGACTAGGAATTCTTTTTCTCTCTCTCTAGAAATGATTTTCTGGTGCACAATATTTTATATTGATCTGTCACACACTTACTCTCCCTTATATTCAGCAAACAGTCAGAAATGCAGACCCATGCATTTGCTTTCGCTCCTTAAGAGACCTTGAGACCAACTGATAGGCATAATCAAAGAAATACATTGCTTATCAAACGTGACAAAAATAGGAGGCAACATTGGTAGAAATTCATGTAGAAAGAAAACAGGATATAAGGACCTAGGAGTTATTCTTGCTGGTGTTTCTCTCTCTCTCTCAGGTCAGTGAAGGAAGTGGCAGCCTATCATCCTTCAGTTTCCCAGGTTCTGGATTGAATGTACCTGAAAGTTATGAGAACACTCTGAAGAAGAATTCCTGTAAGTTTCAAACAGGGGAAACATCAGCTTGGAGCATTTTGGTTTGTTTGCTTGGTATATTTATTTTGGTAGTTATTCAGTTATTCACATGATTATTTCCTTTTTACAGTGGCATCTGAAATACAAGGATTACGAACAGTGGAAATCAAAAAGGCAAGTAGAATACAGAAGTTTGTATCATGCTAGATGCTGCGTTTACTGACTGCATGACTTTGGGCAAATCACACTGTCTCAGCTTAAGAAGAAAGCAAGGGCAACCATCTCAGCCAACCTAAAGGCAGGAATATTCTTGGTTTGATCATCACAACAAAGGATGTGTTTTTACAACCAATTTTAGTAGAGAAAATAAACATTGGATTATTAATTCTTCAAAACTGGAATAGTGTTTCTCTAAAACAGAATTTAAGAAAGACATAGTTCACTTGTTGCCTTTCAGATTCTCTAGAACAACACCAGCTGCCAATATTTGATTGGGATCATGGTTTTCTTTATCTAGCATAGCACTGTAACTTCCACTGCAAAAAAAAAAAAAAAAAGGGGGGGGGGGGGTTCATGTGACAGTTTGTTTATAATCAGGGCTATTTTTACTTACAAATTTACTACTTTCTTTTCTTATGAATGAGTTAAAAATATGTCGGGAAGTTAGGCAAAATATGGTACAGGATTTTGTAATCAACCAAGCAGGGTTAATGTAAGGGTTAAATGGCTTGTTTGCGCAGGTCTTTCCAGAGCTTTGCAACATTTATTTTTGGGCTACAGCTTCCAGAATTCCCCAACTAGTGGTCATTGTGGCTAGGGAATTCTGGGAATTGTAGCCCAAAACTATAGTGTTTTTTTTTTTCAAACCTTTGGATATCTTATGGAAATTATAAAGGTGCAAATGTTTTGAAAACTGAGGTGGCCATCCTGCAAATTGATCACATCTCTTTCCATTGCGAGACATTAAGAGGCAAGTCATTTCTCAAAATATTTTCCACAAGGGCTGTGGTAGTTCTCCATTACTATGATCTATTTTTGCTTTCAGTACCTATAAATGAAATGTAGAATATTCTGTCTTTCTCTCCCCCACACCCCAATTTGGTGGTGTTTTTTTTTTCAGCAATGCAGTCACCTTCTTGTAAACTAGGTTTGACCAAAAGGGCTCTCCCAGTACAAATTGTGGGACACCTTTTAGAGGGCAGCAACATGAAGCTTCAATTTTCATAAAGCCTGCTGCTGCCTTCATTCAAGGTTGAAAGAGACACAATATCTCACCATTGTGTTACTTTATGGAAAGTCACAGTACTGGCACCTAGATTCCCTGGCTGTTATTTGAAATGATGATCTCCCAGCATTCATCTGCTGTGATTTAAAACTTGTTCAAAATGTGTACAGAATGCAAGAAATATTACTGTTTGTTGTTCTTTACATTTTCTGCCACAGGGCCCTTCAGATTCTCTGGGAGTTAGTATTGCTGGAGGAGTTGGAAGCCCCCTTGGAGATGTTCCCATTTTTATAGCCATGATGCATCCCAATGGAGTTGCAGCACAAACGCAGAAACTTCGGGTAAGAAGAATGCAACATAAAATGTTCTAGCTTCAGGTATCTTGTTAAAAGTATTGCTGCTTCTATCTGTTAACCACATAAGAAAATGTTGCCTTAGCACAGAAGTGGAAATTGTGTGGCCTGTAGATTGATTGTCACCTTTGGAAAAGCTCTGTACAGCCCTTGATGCACTGAGACTCCCCCCTCAAATGTTTTTTTTTAATTTTGGTCAAAATTCCTCAACTGTTTGGAGTCAAAAACATTCCATGGGTATAGTTTATGTTTAATTACTTTTTGAGGCTTTGCTCAAGTAAAAAGTAGCAAGAACTCAATGGGCTCCTTCAAGTTGCAGAAACTGGTGATAGAAATAATAATAATGGAAAATGAACRCACAAAAATACTGTGGGACTTTCAAATCCAGACTGACAAAGTTTTGGAACACAATACAACAGACATCACGATTGTGGGAAAGAAAAAAGTTTGGATTATTGATGTCACCATACCAAGTGACAGCCGCATTGAGGAAAAACAACAGGAAAAACTTAGCCRTTATCAGGACCTCAAAATCAAACTTCAAAGGCTCTGGCATAAWCCAGTACAGGTGGTCCCAGTGGTCATTGACCAAAAGATCTCAGCCAGCATTTGGAAACCATAAACATTGAAAACATCATGATCTATCAACTGCAAAAGACCACCTTATTTGGATCTGCACACATCATTCGAAAATATGTCACACAGTCCTAGACACTTGGGAAGTGTTCAACTTGTGATTTTGTGATACGAAATCCAGCATATAGATCTTGTTTGCTGTGACATAYTGTGTTTTTGTGTCAGGATGATGATGRTGATGATRATRATAATAATAATAATAATAATAATAATAATAATAATAATAATAAACTTTATTTGTACACCTCCCTATCTCTCAGAAGGGACTCAGGGCGGTTTCCAACACATACGGCAAACATTCAGTGTCTACAAAGAACATATAAACTGTGGCCCACAAAAGGGTTATGAGGTGCTGAAAATGGCCCTCCAGTTCCATGTACACACTCCTGTCTTAGTAGGCAATCTTTGTGTGTGTGTTTTTTTAGTAGTCTGAAAAACTCCTGAAACATTCTACTTGTTTCACTCCTTATCAAGTAGGCATTATTTTTTCCATGCAGAATTGCTGATAATTCAGTCTCGGGGTATTGAAATGAGAGCAGCATGGCATAGTGCAGTGTTTCTCAACCTGTGGGTCCCCAGATTATTTGGCCTTCAACTCCCAGAAATCCTTACAGCTAGGAACCTGGCTGGGGTGTCTGGGAGTTGTAGGCCAAAACACCTGGGGACCCACAGGTTGAGAACCACTGGCATAGTGGTTTGAGTGTTGGACTATGACTTTGGAAAGCAGGTCTAACTCTCTTCAAAGGCAAAAGCAAACCTTTGGCCTGTTCATTATCATTACTTAAATGCTAAAAATGAGGTAGGTGTACAAAGGCTTTGTAAAAAGAAGCTTCTTTTTCAGATGTTCTTTACACTGTTGTATTTCTGCACTGTTATTGAAGTTGAAAACTTAGCTATTATTGATGTCTTATTTTTCTTTCACCATGACTCCATATCTTTATAGGTTGGAGACAGAATTGTGAGCATTTGCGGAACATCTACAGAAGGCATGACTCATTCTCAGGCTGTTAGTTTGCTGAAAAATGCTTTGGGCACAATTGAAATACAGGTAAAATTTTAAAGCATGTTTTCATTAATCTTCAGAGAATGGATCCAAGTTTTATTTTCAAGTTGTGGACATGAAAAAGAAATTATAATCTATGAAGTTTAGAGGAGAATGTGGCTTTTGATGGCTATCAGTTTTGATATGTTTTGTTTGTCTTATGATGTATCTATGTTAAAAGCGTCAATGCTTTATTGCATTTTTTCTGTGAAATTCCCAGAGATTTGTAATCAGTATGTTTCTGAAGATGTTTTTGGGTAGTCATGTGCTGGGGAGACAGGGGGATAGGAGTGCAATTGGGAGCATTTGAAAGTGATCACAGATTAGCCTTTTTTAAACAGAAAAAAAGATTTACCTAGTCTTGTCTGTAAAATATATATGTCCTTTATGTGATGTTCTATTGTATAAAAAGTTTCAAAACAACTTTTGTATCAAAATGTTTCTGTCCCAGCCATGCTTAAAGCTGGCAAGGTAATTTCATGTTGTCCCATATGTGATATATAGTTTATTTATTTATGACATTTATATGCTGCCCTTCTCACCCCGAAGGGGACTCAGAGCGGATTACAAGTAATATACAATACAATAAATAAAATAAATACAATATCTTCCTGGATCCCCCTCTTTACTCTGGTCCCAGAGCAGCAGTTGGTGTTGGGGGAGGGGTTCCCAACTGATGAAATTGAAGACAGGCATTCAGAGAACCAATATCTTTAAAAGATGTTCTGAAGTACATGGGTCAAAAAAAAAAACCCACGAATCTTACTGACTTTAGTCCACACAGACCTAAATCTGTTTGCAGGTCCCAGCTAGAATACACTTATTAAATCAATGAGATTTATATCACGGTTGACGTAGACTGCAGCAAGTGATTCAGTGGATCTACTCCAGTTGAAACTAGTGTTCAGATTAAGATTTGAGGCTGCATCTATGCAGTAAGATTCCTCCCTTTCTGGCCATATTTTGAGGCTGAGTACTGCAGTGGCTGGCTGACCCTTGTGATAGTCACAGAATACTGCCCTAGAGCAGTGTTTCAAGTCATTTTTAGAAAGAAAAGATGCACTGGAAAACATTTTTTTAAAACCCGCAAAGCACTTGAATTAACCTGTTATACAATCAAAAAGGCAACATTCCACCAGTATAGGGTTGGAGGAAACATAACATTGGAATGAATGTGTAATGCAGAAGCTTTCAGTGTTGGTTCCATTGTTGAATTCATATTAATCACTTAGGATTGAAAGACTGAGGAAGCCAAGCATACAGAGCATGGGAAAAGAGAAACCTTGTTAATAGGGATAAGAGCAGTCAGAGCTCCCTCTCAAAGTTCTTAGTGACCTACCAGTGGTAGCATGAAAAAAAAAGCCAGAATAATTAGAAGCTTGGGGAGGTAGCTGTTTGATATGTAGAATTCCATTCTGTTTCACTTTATAATCTGGGTACACATTTCCTTTATAAACCAGGTTGTAGCTGGTGGAGATGTCAGTGTTATTACCAGCCAGCAGCAAGATCCACCAACGTCAAGTCTTTCATTTGCAGGACTAACGTCAAGCAGCATATTTCAAGATGATTTAGGGTAAGCACTTAAAAAATAAATATCTTTGAATGTTATTTCTCTTAATTCATCAGTAAGCAAACTAATTTAAAATAGACACCATCCTATATAAAAGTTGTCAAAGTTTTCGGGGTTTGAATCCAATTGAGATTGATGGCTTCGGTGTCAATGGAGCAAGTGAATCTCCTCCATGTTTTAGACTAAAGGTTCATAAAAGTTTGCCAACCTCAATACTTTGGTCTTCACAAAAACAATGCATTTGATTAGTATGGATATAGACATGTGTTTGAACTCGTGACTTGAAAACTAGAACATTATAAGGAACTATAGTCCTATTTCTGCAATTTTGTTTGAAAGCTTCCCTTACATTGCATGTTGGTCCATCATCCCAATTCTTGGAAACTCTTCTCAACATTTCAGATTCTGAAAGCATTAGACACACTAATATGGGATTGGAGGCAGGGAGGATGTTTTTTCAGGGCCGACCTTTTCACGGATGCGACAGTAATCCGTGTACCAATGAGTTTGTGTGGAGGGGAATCTTGAGGAAATTGTAGTGAACATTCAGGGTTCTTGCTTTGTGAGAATATGAGAGCCTTGTTGAATAAGAACCTGAAGTGCTGAGATGTGACTACTGCTGGGCTTCAAGCATCAAAGAGAGGAACTCATCCCCACCTTCATTACAGACCTCCACAATACAAAACCATCACTTTGGATCGAGGACCAGATGGCTTGGGCTTCAGTATTGTTGGTGGGTACGGAAGTCCTCATGGAGATCTACCCATTTATGTTAAGACAGTATTTGCAAAGGTAAGAGCAAAATCAGAAGACTCATATTGTTCCATATTAACATATCAGATATAGATATATCCAACTTAGCCAGCAGAGAATGGGTTAACTCCTGCCACTGCCCAGGCTAGGTAAGAGAACATGTTATATTAAAATGAACATCTGTTGTCCTCGTCTCTTCATGCTTCAGTTGTTCCTCACTGCCTCACCCAGAAAAAGGCATATGTCTGTCTCCTCCACTTTCTCTGGCCTTATTTCTAAATCTGCTTTCTTCAAGATTGAACATATTCTCGAATTCCAACTAACAGATCTTGACATTGGATTTAAACCAGACAACAATACTAGCAATGATTTTATCTTAATCTAACATACGAGGGTGATCCAGAAAGTAAGGTTACAAGATTTTTTTAAAAAAATACAAAGAATGAATATATTTTAGTAAAATTTAACATGGATTGTAGCATAGGTATTACATTATTTTTCCACATAATCATCATTCAGTTCAATACATTTTGTCATCTGTGGGACGAGTTTTGATACTTGTGCCATAGAGATTCCCCTCCGCCTTTTTCAGCCACTTAGTCACTTCGATTTTCACCTTGTCGTCGGAAAAGTGTTTTCCACAAAGCTGTTCCTTCAATTTAGTGAACAGATGATAGTCACTGAGTGTGAGATCAGGGCTGTGAGAGGGGTGGCGTAAACCATCCCAACAAAATGAAGTCAACAATTCTTGTGTTGCATGAGCAGTGTGCAGACACGCATTGTCATGAAAGAGACAGACCCCCACCATCAGCATCCCATGAGATTTGTTTTGGATGGCTCTGCAAAGCTTCTTCATGGTTTCACTATATATTCCGTATCCATTTTGTCATATGCTGTCGTGACATTACATTCTCTCCATAAACTGACACAATTTCACCATGAATCACACGGGCATTCATGCCCTTAGCATTTAGGTAACGTATTACAGTGCAAATTTTGCTGTTTGAGGGAAACGGAATGAGGATGCTCATCTCTAACCTTCACCACAATACCAGTCCATGAGCTACTGGCACTGCCCGTTCGCTTCTGCTGGCTTCCCACTTACATGGCAGTGATACCAACTTCCTCTGAGAAAATTCCCCATGAGAGCTACATGCCTTGTAACCTTACTTTCTGGATAACCCTCATATATTGCGAGATTTTTCAGCAGGGCAACCCTCTTCAGCTCCCCTGTGATCCATAAATTTCCCTCCTGGGATTGCACAGTACTCAAGTCCTACCTAAGCCTCCCTGTGAACTACATGAAATTAGAGCACTTAGGACTCTAACAACATCTTGTTTCCCATTGCAGTCACCTCAGTCAGAAGGTTTTCAGAACTCACTGCCTTGTCCACTACTGTATCTCAGAGCAAATTTAAAGCTGACACAGTCACAGTTTTTCTATGACTGGATCCTTTTTATCACCTAAGATAAACTCTATATCTTTCCCACCGCATACTTTTTATTTCTGTCTTCACCCATCACACTCCTTGGAAAAATAATGGCATAAACTAGATGTGAGAAGAGTTCTGAAACCAGGTGTATCAAAGCATTCTGAAAATCAGAGGCACTTACTTTAACTTTTTTTCCATCTCTCTGAAAATGAAGGTTTTGTTGGCTACTAACCAGATGGATCAAAGCATTACTCTGTTTGGCTTGCAAAACCCCAGGTTTCCAAAACTACAGTATGTAATACCACACTGAACTAGATCAGATGTGCCTTCTCCAAGCAGCCACATTCACCAAACACTATAAACGAGAATTGGCCACAGCCAGAGCCTCCTTCAGTAGAAGGGTTCTACAACAGGGGGTGCTTCGTTGAAACATACTTTTGTCATCTCCTGCCCTAATGTACATGTCAGTTTGTCTACAGCCCATTTCTGGGTGGCTCCTGCTTTGCTGGCCCAGGATAGCACATTGGAGGACTTACCACAGATCTCCATTCTTGACAAGGAGAAGGAGCCATCTAGCCAAAGCTGGGGTGGCAAAATCTCAAATGTTTTCTGGGTACAAAGAGCCTTTTCTGTTCTTCCTCTGTCTTGGCTTGTGAACTGACTAAAGTGATACCTTCCCAAGCCAGGGCAGAGTCCTGACAACAATGGACCTTCACTCTATGTCCTTTAGTGTGCCATTTCATATGCCATTTTTCCGTCTCCCTGAAAGGCACATGATCTGAAATGGTGACTGGATGATAATCTACAGATATATTTTAATCCTCTGTTTTTCATTCATTGCACGGTCCTCATTGTTTATTATTGTGTGTTCCAGCTTATATGGAATGTATATTCATATACCTAAAGGGTATTTTCTGCCCAGTCTCTGGTTCTTTTAAAAACATGTTACTCCTACCTACTATGGATCTTGTTTTCATTCTCAGCTTCTTTTAGCTAGCATGCATCTGTTTGTTCATGACCTTCTCTTCAGTACACTTTCTCTGTAAATCCATCCCTGCTTGTTTGTTTGTGTGTTCAGGAATAATTTAGTGAAAAGATAGCATTTTATTTTTTTACTTGAATGTTGTAGGGTAACACCAAATAAAGGTAAGTGCTAGTAAACTCTGAAGCAAAATGAGGGAGGAGGGGAAGACAGTGCATGCATAGCTCTCATAACTTGATAAATATTGGTATTTCTGGAATATATTGATAGTGGCATAAACTATAGTCTGTACACAGTTTTGTGTGTGTGGGCTTCTCAAAAGAATGATGCTTTTAAGGAAGAGATGGCAGAATGGAAAAATAGTTTTATTCACTGGAAATACTAGGGTAGTAACAGGGTAACCAGAGAAATGATTCAGGTCCTGATCGAGTAAGATCTGCTTTGCTTTAAAAATTGCAATATCATATATTTCTGGAGGTACTTGGGGTCTCTCCAGATATATCATATTTCATTGCATAATAGTAACCATCGCATAGTAGATTCCCCCTCAGCTTTTTGGGAAGGCAAAAACTAATATTCCCTATATATTAGTTACACTCTCGGTTCACTTGCCTGGGCGAGTTAACTAAGGGTTAGATTAGAGTTTTGGTGCTATGGGGCTGGGAGGTGAGTCAAGCCCCATCTCCAAAAGGTGCAGTCCCCTTAAAAGGTGCACCCATGCAGGTGGATGAAGTATCACCATGCAAGTGCTGCTTTTGAGGGTACAGCCACGTGGGAGAATGAAGCGCACTCACTTGCGCAGTTCTGCCCTCATGTGGATCACAATTACACAGTGAAAGAAACCCCTCAGATGGGGCATTTCTCACTGGTTAATAGTTGCCATTGCATAAGAGTTACACCCCCCTTTCCCCAACAAATGTGGTGGGGAGTGTGACTATTATGTGATGAAAAATGGTGTTTAACATTTCAGGAAGTCAGAATAATACATGTATTGTCAAAGGCTTTCATGGCTGAAATCACTGGGTTACTGTAAGATTTTTGGCCTGTATGGCCATGTTCCAGAAGCATTCTCTCCTGACATTTCACCTACATCTATGGCAGGCATCCTCAGAGGTTGTGAGGTCTGACCACCTCTGAGGATGCCTGCAATAGATGCAGGTGAAACGTCAGGACAGAATGCTTCTGGAACATGGCCATACAGCCCGAAAAACTTACAGCAAGCTAGAATAATATAAATTGGAAACGTAGAATTGCCGAGCCTTTCTGCTTTATTTGGGGGCAGAGAGGTGAAAAATATGAACCTAACTGAGCCAGTAATGTTTAGTGGTTTGAGTGTTGGACTAAGGCTCTAGAGACCAGGATGCAATTTCCCACATGACCATGTAAACCCACTGGATGACCTTCAGTAAGTCACTTCCTTAGCCCCAGAATACACTGTGATAGGTTCACCATAGGGTCATTAATTATGAGTCAAAAACAACTTGAAGACACCCAACCACAGCCACGTTTGCTAGAGAGCCCAGCAACTGAGCAACAAGCTTCCATTCAAAGTACTGCATCACTTTGCATGTGCGAGACTAGTACTTTGTTATTTTGTCATTTGCAGGGCGCTGCTGCAGAAGATGGACGCCTAAAGCGAGGGGATCAGATCATCGCTGTCAATGGACAGAGCTTGGAAGGGGTCACACATGAAGAAGCTGTATCTATTCTGAAAAGGACAAAAGGAACTGTCACATTGACTGTTCTCTCTTGAACCCTCTAACCAAAGAGGTCAGCACACAATTACTCTGTCCAAATTCGTTTAGCAAAGAGAATGGACATGTTTATGTAGCTCTCTTGTAGTTGCAAGTTGTCAGGTTCTTCTACATCAAAGGTGAAAAATTAACAAATGATCCTATTTTTATAAACAGTAGAAATATTTTCTTGCAAAGGATTTCAGAGATTGGTTCTGTAGTATAGGACTGTGACAGGAGACCTGAAGAACAGCATTAATACATCGGAGGGGCATGGAGACAACATGGAGGCAGAATAAAAGGACCAAAAAAATAAGAGATATTTTGATAATGTTGAGACACATGGTGTTGGGTGAAATAAGTTGGATGTTTTGGTGTTCCAAACATGCATAATCCTTGGATGTTTGTTTATACCAGCATTACATAACGAATGCTAAGTTAACAGACAGAAGTTTTAAAAACCTGAATTGATCAGACTGATTAACTTGTACTGCTGCTGTTAATTATATGCTCAGCAGTCAAATGTGAAGTTTCAACCCTTTTCTGTAATAATTTTGGATGGGGAAAAACACATGTTTTTTTTTTAAAAAAGAAAAGGTTTTAGAAGCTTGTTCAGCATTCATGAAAACTGTCGTTTCTGACCATTGTTTTTATTCACTAGTAGCAAAAAGCCCGTCATTGCAGTCAGTGCCTCTCTGTTATGTCCCAGGGATATAGGTCACCTCCTCTTCCTTCTCTGTACAGTTTCTGGCAGTGATAGCCAGGCCATCCAAGGTCAAAGTGGCAAAGTAGATTTTCCTATTTGCATTGTGTCTACTATTCCCTACAGGGGCGAATGTTAATTATTACACAGATGCATGCATAAATGCACACACCTAATAGCTTTTGTTGGAGATTTTGATCTTAAATCCTGGCTTTGACCCTAAATCTTTATATTAATTGCAGAGGAAACTTTGGAAATGTTAACATTCTAGAAGGTAAATGTAGAGGCTGTTATTTTCAATAATTTTATGTACTTAACTATATAAATTTGGCCTCCTCTATATGATATTTGGAATCCCCTATATAATGAGTTACAGCATGACTCCCGTATCTGCGAAGAATATATTTTGAATTTAGAGTGAAAATGTGAAACAACTAATAGTGAACCTTATTGAAATGAACAACTTATGGTGAAAATATACTATAGAATCACGCTGGAGGACCTAGAAAATGCTCAGAAGAACTTCATTTCAAGAATTGGAGGATATGAATTTATCAACATTTGAAAATTTCTTCATCTGAAAAACAGAAGAATTTAAAACATCCCGCTGTGGTAAAAGATGAAACTAATTTGTTTTTCCAAACTTTGAACTATAAATTTTTGAACTCTCAGAAGTCTGGAAGATTAGAACTCTTGGCTTTTAGGGATGAATTGGGATTGCTACCCATTTTATATATAAACAGATACAACCTAGTACTCTCCAAACTGAGAAGTGAATGTATTGAAGTGGTGGAATATTTTTGTTGGATTCTTTTGCAAAATTCATTGAGACTCATACATTTCTTTTTATTTGTTTTTTAAAACCTTTGAATTCTAGAAAAAAAAGCTAAAGCCCATCCTTACTCAGGAACCTGAGTTAGTAAGAGTATGAAGTCAGATGTCTTAAGGAAGGCATTGCGTTAAATCATACTTAAGTCTCTCCAAGTATAGTTTAGAAGAGTTAATTCTTGGAGCTACAACTCTCAGAAACCTCCAGGCAACATAGTCAACCCTCAACCTTATGATTCCATTCTTGTACTGTCGTCATTTGTCTAAGAGGTTGTGAATGCAATTCAAGAGATGTCTGTAAAATTAAAGTGTAGTTTTGGGATGTAACCCAAAGAGAATTATAATCACTATTGCCAGGAGCCAAGAGGAACGAGAGATCACATCTGGGGCAAATTTTAGAGAGCTGTCTGTGCCTGCTGTTTTTATATGATGTATACCTAAATTCATAACAAATAGATTATTTGCTCTTTCTTATCAGTACAGTGAGAACTTGTTTCTGTGAAAATTTATTCCTCATAACAGCATATTATATTTGTGGTTGACGGGAACAAATGCTTCTCATCCCCAGACATTATTTGATGCTGGATGTTGTTTGCTCTTGTTCATGTCTGGTATTTTAATTCAAATGCTCATAAAATGGTTAATATCAGGACATAAGGAGCACACTAGGCTCCCACCATGATCATACCACATCTGCAGTCATGAATTCTGATGAGTGACGCTTAGACTCTCCTGTGCAGACTATCACTCCAAATCTGAAATGATGGATGTAACAATATGGCGAGGTCCTGCAATGCCCCCTCTGCATACATTAATTTTAAACCTTTTTGTGATTACTGCTATAGGGCTTAACTTTGTGCATATTCAAACAATACCAAACCCTAGGACACATTGGATTTTTCTCACTCATATGATTCTCAAAACAAAGAGTAGCTCTGTGATGTTGAAGGAAAACAAGGAACAAAAATAATTTGCAGTTGAAAACATATGCAGTTGATATTCAGAAATCGGTGAGGGAGAAGCAAAAGTTTAAAGCATAATAATCCTAAGTATATTCACCCAGATCGAAGTGACTTCGACTGTAATCCTATACACACCTAAATAGGACAAGGTCCTGTTGAACTCCTTTTTTCTGAGTTGGTGTTTATAGTGTATTGCCATTCTGTCCCTTGTGAGTATCTACTCTTTCAATCTGCATATAATGTTGTATTCGTTTCTCTAACTTCTTACCTTGCCCCACAGTACAGTTTTCTATGGGCATCACAGAGCCCTCTGTATTTTATCTTATTCTGCTTATCCTACATTAAAAGTTTAAATTTCATAAGAATAGCCCAAACCAGGATTTTGTGAACCTTTTCTTTTATCTGTAGCATGTACCTAGTTTTCAGAGAGTAAGCAGTGGTTAATTATCACTTTGAGAGAGAGAGAGATGATGCAGAAGAAAGTAAGTTCAAAAGAACCACAAGTCCTTTTCCTACCCATCCTAGATATGCCAAGGTTTTTCACTGTTCTCAGGGCTTGCTGGTTAGGTCTCATTTTGTTTAAAGCATTCCATTTTTACCCTTTTTGTGGAAATCATGATGCATCACTTTGTGCTTTACTATCAAGGGTTCTTAGAGAATGGAAACTTCTATAGATTTAAGGCAATCTAGCACTGGCCTCATGCTAAATTACCTTTGTAAGTTACTAATGGCTGGCATTGCTTCTACTAAGAAGAAAAACTAATTTTCAAGTAAAATATTGCACCAGAGGAGAAGACTGTGAAGTCTATGAAAGCAGCTTGAAAAAAAGGTTAAACATGTACAAGTCTTGCAGGAAACATTTTCCCCATCCCCAAATCCCTTTCTTATGCTGGAAATAGCCACTTGACTACAGAGTTCATAAGACAGTAAACTTTTACAGCCAAATTAGGAAGGCTATCCAAATGTGTGCTATTTCCTTAGAACATTGTAATGGGAAAAATTTAAACTTCTTTTCATAGCAATATGTTATGCTTGTTGCTAAAGTAGTGTTACATCTTTTGATGCATTCTCTCTTTAAACTATAATGGAAAAGTAAGGTTTTTCATTCACCAGAACAAAGATGTGTCATCAGTTTCCTACTGTTTTCTTGAGTCTTGTTGATTGCTTCACAAATTTTCAAGAAAATATAAGAGGCTATTGACTGAATTGTTGATGTTTAATGAAAGGGGAAATTTAAAGACAAACCAGTTAGAAAAAATAGGAGAGGCACAAGTAGCTTTTCTTCAGAATGAGGGGGAAATAGGACGTTTCTAGAGCTATTTTTAGAAATCTGTTAGTTAAGAAAAATTTAAATGAATGAAGTCATTTGGTATCATTAATTAATTACAGATGTTCCATGGGCTAGTCCCCATAAAATACAGTAACTGGAAGCAATCAGTGTTGAATTACTGTCTTGTATGCACTAACAGCTTAGAATGTGTCATGGCTACTTTACAATATGTGCAACCACTTGAAATATTCTCTATATTTGTAACAGATGTAGTGTACAGATATTTTATTACTGCCATTGTGTCTAAATGCAGAATTTTAGTTTAATAAATGTGAAGCTGTCTGTGGTGAACAAATTTCAGGTGTCTTGGTGATTTCGTGAGGTTGATTTTATGGGGTTGACCTTCAGAAGCACTATGATGTCAATTCTGCTTACTTGGTTAACAAAGAACTAATTATTTGCACAACACCACATCTTTACTGAATCTTTTAGAGGTCATCATCACTACCAGAAATGGCTGCTAAAAACAAACTAATATTTACATATTGAGCACTTCAGTTTTCTAATCCTGAGCAACTGTGCAAGATAAGAAAGAACCAACAAGTCATGGATGATTTCAGAATTCTGGAGTTTACTTTTTCTACTGCTCTACCCAGAAACCTGAGTCAGCAAGCTGTTTTTAGTTCTTAAATATGTAACTTTTTTCCAAGGCACAAGCAATCTTATCAGACACTTCAGCGCCATAGTTACTGAATAAATTCCATGTTCACAAGCCTTTAAGAGCCAGTAGTTAATGTGACATTTCTGTTGAAACCCTCTAAAAGCATGGTTTTATGCACAGGTATGCTGTGAGGGAGCCATCATTGTGTGAAAACTGGTCATTATGTACATGACACTGGTTGGAATTTCCATTCCACTAATGGCAATTGGCAAATAATACATCTTAGTGTGGTTGAGAATGATCCATGTGTGAGCAGTTTTCAAACATTTTAGATACATGAAAGCAATGAAATATTCTGACTATTGGATATATTCAGGGCCTAAATACCCTAAAGACACAAGATCCTGTCTGATCTTGGAAGCTATGCAGAGTGAGTCCTGAGAGAATCATAGAGTTGGAAGAGACCACATGGGCCATCGAGTCCAAACCCCATGTAGGAAAAGCACAATTAAAGCACTCCTGACAGATGGACTGTTTAAAAACATCCAAAGAAGGAGCCTCCACCATACTCTGTGACTGTGAGTTCCACTATTGAACAGTTCTTACCATCAGGAAGTTCTATCCTAAAGTTCTTGTTGTGCCCTATGAAGATTCTCTCGTTTTATCCCTAGTTTAGCCATTTTTAGTTAGAGGGATTAATATTTTATGTTTGGTTTCTGGGGGGGGCGGGGGTCAGTCTAGACCACCTCTTTGCATTTGAAGCCTCTCCCATCCTGCCCCTTTAAGAATCCCCCCAGGAGCAAAGCCTCAGGCAAAGCACTTCTGGTTCTTGGAAGAGTCAGCCTTTTGTGACTGGAAGGTGAAGAGAGAGGAAGGCTGGAAAGTCTACAAAATAGCATGTCCAATTGGAGCTGTATTCAGTCCAGTCAGAGTTAAATATTGAGACCAACTTAGACACAGTTGAATACCATACAAGAAAGTGACAATAAGAAGAAATAAAGATTCAAGAGCCTCAGTTCAGCCAGAACTGTGTCTATCTCTCAAAGACTTTACCTCTCCTCATAAAGACTTTGTAGTGAGACTCAGAAGGAGAAAAAGTCTAAAATTATTGTCAGTTAATAAATTCCTGTTTGATTCAACTATATAGTCTCTGATCTGTTCCCTTCACAGCAAGTTCACCTTCCAAGTAGTTAAGATAGTGTAGAGGCAAAACGGTTCAGGTTTAATTTGAACCCATTGCACTAGCACATGGATCCACTTTAAATCCAGTTGCTGCCTCCTGCAGAATTAAAGTGGATCCACGCTCTAGTGTGATGAGGTCTCTAGGGCAGCAGAAAACAAGCCTGCTCCCTCTTCCTTATGACATCCTTTCACATATTTATATATGGGTATCATGTCTCCTCTCAAAAGTCTCTTCTGCAGGCTAAAAATACCCCAGCTCTTTAAGATGCTACTCATAGAGCATGGTCTCTAGACTTTTGATTGTTTTAGTCTCCCTCCTCTGGAGACCTTCCAACTTGTCAATATCTCTCTTGGATTGTGGTGCCCAGAATGAGACACAGTATTTCAGGTGAGGTCTAACCAAAGACAAATAGAGAGGCCCCATGACTTTCCTTAATCTAGACACTATACAATGTTCTCTCACTTATCGTGGGGGTTCAATTCCAGGATTAAGTGAAAATCCGCAAAGTGGGAATGCCATATCAATTTTAATATTTATACATTATTTTATATATTTTATATATTATTTTCTTACCTGTGCTTCCTTACCTGCCTCCCGGCCCATACCAAGGGCACCTGCCCGCCTCCACACAGCCTCTGGAGCCGCGCAGACAGCAGCAAGCCAGGGAGGCAGGCCTTCCCTGTCGTGCCTCAGGCCGCCACACTTCCAGGGTCCCTGGCCTCCACTGGACATAAATTAATATTTTTATTAATATTTTCAAAAACCCGCAAAACAACAAGTCTGCTAAAAGCGAACTGCAAAGTAGCGAGAGAACACTGTACTCCTTTTCACGTAACCAAAAATTCCATTGGCTTTTTTAGTTGCTGAATCACATTGTTGGCTCATGTTTAGCTTGTTGTCCACTAAGACTCCAAGATCTGTTCTCCAAGAATTTTCAAAGTTTACTGCCAGTAGTTCTGCAATGACTTCTGAATCCCTTAATCCTCTTGGATGTAGTTCATCCGGCTGTGGACATTTGAACTTGTTTAGAGTAGCCAGGTATACTTTGAGTACTTCTTTATCTATTTTGGGTTGCATATCCCCTATTCCTTCATCCATCCCATATTGTTCAGATTGAATATTGGTTTCCTTTTGAGAGACTTGACTGGGAGACCACCAACAAATACCAGGTATTGCAGGCTCCATTTCAGAGGAATCCTAGGAAATGCATGTGGTCCCAATAAGTCAACAGGTGACTTGAAAGCACATACACAAACCCACTGGTTCCTCAGGTTTGTTTTCTTTTATACTCTTAAAAATAAGAAATCTTTTGTTGTGAGAAAACAATCAAAGTGCAGTTTTGCACACTAGAGCTCAATTAAGGGAGTTTGCTGCAATATGTGAATCTGAAAATCATGTTGGAGGAAATTAATCAGGTGACACATCCATCATAAGCAAGGATTTGGAGTACGTAAAATACCACTGGTTGCCTTAAACTGGAATATCTTTCACATACTCCGGCTCTTAGAACTAGTAACAATGCACCAATTGTCCCTAAAGTTTGTTTTGTTAACATCTAAGTCTTCAAAATTAATCAATATGAAATATTAATTTGCTAAGATCATATTACCTGGATGCAGTACAAACCAAACATTTGCTCTTAGGAGGATCTAGCTTCAAGTGTAAAACTAGGTCCTGTACATGAGTGTTTTCTAGTTCCAAGTTTGCTATGAGTTTGACCTGAAAGTTCTTCCTGAAAAAAATGACTTTCATTTGAGAGGACAGATAAACTCACCCCATCACCCAATTCAATTTATTTGGGTAATGCTTCCTTCCTATCACCTTCTCAAGTCTGTCCTAAGACAATTCTCATTTGTCAACTCATCACATGCCATTCAGGTTGGGTAATACCAGTAATGGGTGCCATCCAAAATGTCACTACAACTTATATTTCTTTCACTCCTGCTTGCCAAGGATTGTCAAAATAGCTACCCAATGTTACCTGTCAGTGGGCAACAATAGACCATTTCATGAACCCCCAAAACTTTGATCCAGACACCAGAAGTTATTCAGAGATAACTCAACTCTTTTATCCATGATTTACTGGGTCCTTAGACATTGTCCTTAGGTGACGTTTGCATACTGAGCAGTAATTATTTTTTAAGAAGCTAACTGCAAAAAACAAAAGAAGAAGTTATAATAGCCCCTCCCTCAAAAAAACAGGTAGGGGTTATTTCTTTACTTCATTTTTCACAGATCCTTGTGATTGGTAACCTATCTCTGAATGTGTGGAAGTTTGCACATTATTAGAAGGAGTTGTTACTGTCGCTGGCTCAAACATACAGACATAAAAAGAGTCTTCCTTCTTCAGACCACTAGTCCAGAATGGTCTTCATACAGAAACCAATAAATTGTCCAAGGGAATCATAGAATCATAGAATCAAAGAGTTGGAAGAGACCTCATGGGCCATCCAGTCCAACCCCCTGCCAAGAAGCAGGAATATTGCATTCAAATCACCCCTGACAGATGGCCATCCAGCCTCTGCTTAAAAGCTTCCAAGGAAGGAGCCTCCACCACACTCCGGGGCAGAGAGTTCCACTGCCGAATGGCTCTCACAGTCAGGAAGTTCTTCCTAATGTTCAGATGGAATCTCCTCTCTTGTAGTTTGAAGCCATTGTTCCACCTCCTAGTTTCCAGGGAAGCAGAAAACAAGCTTGCTCCCTCCTCCCTGTGGCTTCCTCTCACATATTTATACATGGCTATCATATCTCCTCTCAGCCTTCTCTTCTTCAGGCTAAACATGCCCAGCTCCTTAAGCCGCTCCTCATAGGGCTTGTTCTCCAGACCCTTTATCATTTTAGTCGCCCTTCTCTGGACACATTCCAGCTTGTCAAATCATATTGTGTAGACCTTTAGTTTGGACATTATAGAGCTCACACTTATATCTTTTCACTTGTGCCCCATTTAAACTGCCAAATAATAGTTTGAAACTACACTTCTATATACTGCAGTTTGGAGACCTGGATGAAAGTAAACAGTCAACTAAGATGGCAGTCCTTATCAAGATTCATCCAAGTGGCATAAATCAAATTGCTAGTCCCAACTGGCATTTATCTACCCAGTCAATTTTAAATTGTGAATTTTAATCTGCATTTAATCAGTGAATTTTAACTTGTATTTTAACTCTGTGCATCTTGTATGTCTTTTAATAGTGATTTATCTTTTGTTTTAATAATGTTCTGTCTCACATCAAGCTGCAGGGAGAGATGGGTAATAAATTCATCATCATCATCATCTATGGAATTAGTGGCTGAGTTTACAATTGCATAAATCTTATTTATTCAGTGGGTTTATTCTCATTGTGATTTTATAATTGGATTTTGACCACCAAATTCAATGGAGCTTCCTTTGGATCAAGTATGCTAATAGTTCTACTTATATTATATTCTAAACATTCAGTGGGTGAATAGACCTTCCAAGTTATACTTGGCTTGAACAGGGTTGAAGAATAGCACATTTGCTTACAATCAG